ACTTATTTGGATTCTTTAAAAATCAATTTTTTGAATTTTTATCGATACTATATTTTCTCTTTTCATCTCTCGGATAATATATTTAAATTTTTAATTAGGAACTATAAGTAAGTACATATAATTGTAAACTAAAAAATTATTTCTTACAATTTTCATCATCGGTGTCATGAAATAAAATCACTGAAGGGCATATATTTTAGATCGCTTATAAGTATGACTAAATTATAAGCAAATTATTTGGTTTATGATAATTAAAAAAAACGCACTATTTGATACAAGTTAACAAGATTGTATTAAAATTATATTTCCTACCTATTTAAAACTATACAGGGAATCACTTTGAAATATCAACATAATATAATTCATTATGAAATTCATCCATGAAGTCTGCAATTATAAATTAATTTAATTAATTTGTTGTTTAGATATTAAACTAACAGTATATCTCTTAAAGTTATCTAATATTGTACTCAATAGATAATGAAATATTATCAGTATGATATTAATATTATCTCCTTTTATTATATTTTATTTTAAGCAATTTAAATTTACTATATATTTTATATATAGGGTTTATTAATAAATATTGGTTTATCACTAAATTCAATACTAACTTATCAATATATTTATTATCAAAAATCAAATCATAATGAAAAAAGAGTTTGAAAAATCAAACAAGAAATATATAGGGCTAACAGATATATTAAACAAAACAATATCGATTACATTGCACTCTAAAAAAAGTATAATATTGAATTCGAAATTCTAACTAATACTTCTATTTATTTGTAGGTTTTAGCTGATATACTTTTTGCTATACTTTGATTACGATTGGACGGAAGGAAAAAATTTATATTTTTTTAACAAAGTTTTACTTGTAATATTTAGGATTGACTTGTTTTTGTAAACTTTTGAAGTTGTTAATACTTTTGTTGTTTATTTGATTTTAGGAATTCTCATTATAGAGAAACTAGTTTATGCATTATTAATATTGGAAGAGAAAAAAGAAAACGAAATATATTTATCTAAATAAAATGCTTGGGATTTATATTTAATTACATTACACTTTATTTCATATCTTATTTACAACATTATGTTGTTTATTTTTAAGTTATTAATTTTATTAATTGTAAGTAAACCAACGTAATTACATTCATATATTATTTGGAATTTTATGTTTTGTGATATTATAATTGGAGGCAATATATCATTTATAAATAACTGAAGAATCAATAGATGGTAAGATTATATGTTTTGATCGATTAAGAGTAACAGTTAAAGAATACATAATTTAATTTTTAAATTTAATTATTATTATTTTATTTTCAGTTGTGGAAAAATCTTAGATTTTTTCTTGGGTTATTCATTTACTTGTTTTATTAAGCTCTTCATTGGATGCCCTCAATTTACAACAGAATTAAATAGTCATAGAAAACTCTAAAAAATTTATTATTTACTTTTCTGATTCATTTAACATACTCTATGTATTTTATTCACTTCTCTAATTAATCCTTTAAATGCAATCATTTCAGGTATTTATCTACACATTATTTTCCTTTCCTTTATTACTTTAAATAATGCTAAAAATTGATGCTAAGATTAATATAAAATTGGAAAACTTAGCATTTTCAAAGTAACAAACTGACTTATTTGCCATTACTCAAATTTTAGTAAAAAAGTAAAATAATTATTTTCAACCTCTAATTTACAAGCTTTACATTTATAATTATCATTAAAAAAGATGTAGAATTGCAAAATGCATTTGTAATCAATAAATCAATTACATAGATTCAAGGGATGCTGCTGCACTTACTTATGAAATTGATAAAGATTTTGTTAATTAAAAATTAAAATAGGTAAGAAGATATATCTTTAGTTAAAATTTTGCAAGTAATTAACTCTAATATTATATAATTCTATATGGAGCATTATTAGCGAACAATGGATGGCCTATTTAATCGATAAAGCACTTTAATTAATTAATGTACGGGAAATTGAATTAAAAAACGTCTACTAAAAGCTTAAATTAGAGCCTTTAAAATCTTTATTCTTTTTCTGCAACTTTAAGAAATGATTTTCAATCGTCGACTCAAATAGATCCCGATAAATAACTTGAGAATAAATAGAGGAACAAAAAAATAAGTTCATAACAGTAAGTGATTAAATATTAGATTAAATTGGAGTTTGTTTAATTATCGAAAATAATGTACCTTTCAAATGAAATTAAATAAAACTTAAGATATATGTTTGGCACATCATAGTTAACTCCAGAAATGCATTATCTATCTGAAAAAATATAAAATTTTATGTAACAAGAAATGAAATTAGATGAATATATAAAAGAAATAAAGAAAATAGTAAATATAAAACTAAAATATTTTGAAAATTTAGTTCTATAAATAAAAGAAATGAAAATCTCTGATCTTATGAAATCATTGATGGATCTAACCTGCAGAATGATTGTATTAAAAAGTGGATTATAGTCCTAATATGAAATTACAAAAAGCAAAAGAATAAAATCATTGTAAATTTTTTATGAAGCTGAAGTTTTTTAAAATTACTTAGAGGCCTATAAAATGCATAGTTAGTCTACTCTATCAGAAGACTAAATAACAATTAAGAATAAAGATCTCAAAATTAATTTTCATTCAAATGATATGAGCTATATTATAATCTAAATAGATGATGATCTTTAAACAGCAGAATTAATAAAATATTCATCAAATTTGCTCTAAATGATTGATTTTCATTAAAATGAAGAGTTAATTTTTGAAAAATTATTATTACCGTTCATTTTAAGAGAACATCCTCTCCTTATTTCAAGGTTTTTTAAAATAGGATATTCAAAGTATTTTAAGCGATTTAGTTAAACATTTATTAAAACAGGAAAGAATATGGCAAAAGTAGTAGAATTTAGTTTCGATAATGTTATTTCATCCAACCAGGATAAAATAATCCTAGTCGGACTATTGCAAGAAATTGTAATTGAATAAGCCTATATACTGGTCGATGTAAATTAAGTAGTAGGGGGAATAACAAATGCTTTTTTCTAGATGTTAGGATACAATTCTTAATAAATTGATAGTATAAGTGACTTTTCAATATTTTATTAATTAAAGATATCTTAGATCATTCCAAGTTTTAATGATTTTATTGAAAATGAAGATTAATTACCGATAATTAAATTTAATAATATTGATACTTATTTCATAGACTTAGAAGTTTTACTTAATGAATTTTAGAATGAAAACTGCGCAACTTTACAGTAACAGTCTTTAGTATTAAATAGACTTTTGGGGAAACAAATTTATACAAAGTACTTCCTATCCAACATTACAATTTAAGTTTATAAACTGTATGGATATTATTATTACATTATATAAATAGAATAATCATTTTAGAGATTAGAATACATGAACAGTTGCAAAACTTAGGAAAGATTTACTGATGACAAGAAAAAAACAGAATTAATACCAAATTTGTAAATAAGCCAAATAAATGTATCTTTAGACGAAGCCTAACCATAATTAATCAATTTAATTTCAGTTGGAAGTAGAGATGGATATATAGAAAAAAATTAAACTAATAATAATAATACTGATTTAGATGGAGTTCAGGAACTTTAAAAAGATTATGTAGAATAAAATTTAGAATAATTAGGAATGATCCTCTCCCCAAATAAAAGCTGCAGTGAATTGATTTCTCATTAAAAGGATAAATTACTTTAATAAACGTCACAATAAGACTATTACACTTTACACACAAATTTAAAATAAAATCAATATAGTTAAAGCAATGAGGCTAATGATTGCAGTCTAAAAGGGAATTAATTAATAGATCAACTATTTCCTAGTGTTTAAAAAAGCCATGAATTTGGAATCGGTAATAGTGAGGTAATCAAGAAGTATGAATTATTAGGTAGGCTAACAAACGAAAAGACACCTTAAATTTTAAAATTATCTATTAGTACTATTGTAATCTTTATCTTAATATAAACTATCGGTCTCTCATTAGTAATCTCTATTCTTCATAATGATATTCTTACATTCATTTCAGACATTGAGATTATAGCTTTACATGCAAGTATCTAAGGACCTCATGACTTATTTTTTTCAATGCGAAACACTATTTCTGCCTATCAATAAATGGGAAGGGAGGGCTTTATTCCAAATTCTATAGTGCCAAACTTAACAGCACCCTATGAAAAAAATTTAGGATATGGATATTATGAACTAAGAGATAGTTTCTATAAATAGCTAAATAATGAATATTTGAGAGGTTTTCTAGATGGATAAAGTATGCAGTTATTCTTTATGAAAAATAATGATACATAAAATTATGTTTTTGAAATAAAAACATTTAGAGAATGTTTGTTCATCATTTTATAATATCAATATGCATAAATGAGAGTTTTGTAGAATAAATTAAGCTCCTCTGGATAACCTTTTCAAGTATTTTTATTTTCAAATTACTATAACATACAAGATAAACTTGAAAATATAACAAGTGATATACTATCATTCTCAAAGACAAGAAGTAGATAAGTTGGAAAAAAGTGGACTTCAATAGGTGTTTGTTTTTCTATTATAACATTGATGATAGCCTTTACTATTTTAGTTTAGTTTCATCAATATTATAAATTATATGATAGATTTTTGTAGTTATTAAATTTTGTGGAAAAATAAAAAGTACAAATGGAAATCGACAAACTTAATCAAATATAGAAATTAATGACTTCAAATTAAGAATTTATATATTCATATTAGTTTGATCTTCAACGCTAAGAATAATTGATGAACAATTATGAATCTTTAAATAAAATATCAAATGCTAAGAAAAATGTTGAAAGCAATTCAAAAATTAAATCTTCAAGAACCAATTTCTTAATTATTTGGATATTTATTGCTTGCATATTTTAAGTTTATATAATTGCTATTTTAGTAAAAACAAATGATTATATAAGTAAGTATGAAGATACTGCAGATTTTTACTTTATGATCTAAAATTTAAAATTCAGAAGTGGATCATTATATATGTATAGAGAACATCTTTTCCGATTTAAAAATTTTACTTATTTAACAGCTTACGATTTAGATAGAGCATATTTACTAATTGACAAAGCATAAATTAATATTTAGCAATATTTAGATTTTACAAGTTCCTTTTAAGCAAATAAATATTTATTATCTGACTAATTTATTTCTTTTTTTGAATATTAGTAAACTCATGATCTCTGCGAATTTGTAGATTAAGTAATTTCTATTTTATTATTTCTAGATTTATCTCAATTTTATGTCATTGTATTGTGAAAAGTCATTTGATGGCCTATTAAAAACAGGTTCAATATCAGTTCTTAATTTTATGTCAAGTCAAATTAAAAGTTAATAAGCTGTTAATAATTTTACTAAAAGAGCTGAAGTAAATCTGTATGAATTAGAAGGGTCTTAAATAGTTATTAGATCATTTTTTAGGATTTCAGATGAATTTTAGGTAGGATTGAAATAAATTACCACCGAATAAAATGAATTCAATCTCATAATTACGGTAATATTTATTTGCTATTTGATTATTTTCTTATATATCCTATTATTCATAGCTAAATAACGATTGATAAAATAATATGCTTAGTTAAGAAATATAGTATATTTGATGCCTTAATAGATTATATTAGGAGATGAATCATATAAGAGGTTTCTAAAATAGTTAGCATTGACCTAATAATTAACATTGATACATATTCACACATTATTTAATATATTGTCACTAGCTAGGGCTTGATAAAAGCATTTTATTCATTTTTGTTGTAGGATTATTAAATATTAATTATTTCAATAATTAAGATATCATTTTTATTATTTACAATACATAAAATTTAGAAATTCAATGAAAATTCTAAAATCTTCTGAATTCTATAGAAACTAGGATACAAATTGATCAACTTTGAAAACGATTTGCTAAAGAATATACCATTAAATGCTCCTTTATTTATTCATAAACTTAAAATAAATATGAAAACTCGATAGCTCATAATTAATCCTACATTATTAGAACAAAACTATCTCATATTTGAAAACTCTTTATTAATAAATTTAATATTTTGAGGCCGTTACGCCTATTTTTGCGATGTGTGTTAGAGACTTCTAGAGTACCTATAATATTATGGGCTATATATTTTTCTTATTTATTAGTTCAGATTACAGTCCTTCTTCTAGATATATGACTAGAAAGTTCCTTACCCATAGATTGACTGAATTATTTATTTATAATTTTTATTATAATATGGATAGCATTAGAGAAAGACTTTTACAATTGGACTAGCAAGCCTAACAATTCTAACAATAAAATAAATACTTAGAAGCTTTGAATGTTTTTGAGGAGATGCTGATGATAAAGAAGTCTGCATATGGTGAGGATTCTGAAGAATATTTCAAAACTAGTGATAAATTGTGTGAATTATGTAACTTAATAGCTATGATTTTCTTACAAAAAGAAAAATTCGATGCTTCATTAGAGTTTTTAAAGAAGGCAGACCTATTAGCATAATCTAGTACTAGATATAAGTATTGATCTCTTAATATTTATTCTTTTTTATTAGAGCGATAACCTACAACAATTTGGCTTGTTTCTACAGAAGAAATGGGAAACTCAGAAGTGCTCTGTAATATTTGTAATAAGCATTGGAAATAGAAATTAGACAGGAAGCCGCACCATCTTTGGCTGACACCCATTTAAATATGTGTGCTGTCCTATCATAATTAAATAGAGTAAGGAATGTTATATAATAGCACGCTGAAGCATTGGAACATGCTTTGATATCAGTAGTATTATTATAAGATGAATTTTTAATGAAACCACCAGATTAAAAAATGGAACAAAGTTAAAATTAGGATTAAAAATCAGGAGAGCAAAAGATGAAAGATAGAGTTGCAGTCTTAGCAATAGCTTATCATAATTTAGGTGTTGAATTTGAATATTTGAAGAGATTCGATGAGGCGATTTAAACCTATTAAAAGGCAGTCAAATTTGGTGAACTACACCTCCCATCCGATCATTAATTAGTAAATCTATATTAGCCAATTTTAGATTGGAAACTTAAAAAATGTTTTAGGAAATGCTCAGGAATAAATTAACTAATAAAGAGCAAAGGATAGTAATAAAAGATAATAGAAAGAATTATAAAGTAGAAATCAAAATAAAAGAAAATTGGTAGAAGTTGAAGCCACATACAAACAGAATAATAAAAAGAAGACTGAAAAGGGTGGTTAGCAATAATAACAATAAGTAATGGGTTAGACGATGCGTTCTAATCCATAAAATAATAGTGTTAATATCAAAGAAGATGATCAAGAATAATAAGGAAGCGATCAATAAGAATCCAGCTACAATGAACATGATGAATTAAAATAAGAGGCTTAAATATAATTATAATAGCAATTATCATATTGTTTATATATTCATTTTCATATATATATAATTATTTATTGTTATTTTTAGGTGAAATAATAATAATAATCAGAATAATACATAATTAAACTTAAGACTGAAATAGATGATATCAAATTCTTGATCAATAAAGCAATAAATTAGTATTACAAATCTCTCATCGTCAGAAAATCGAAACTAATTTGTTTAATTAGAGTAGTAATTAAAGTCTGAGAGTAAATATTTATTAATGCCTTAAGAAAAATTTGGTTTTTAACTAATTAATACGAAAAAATATTATTTGATAAAAGCAATAAATAAAATCATAATGATAACCAAACAATTAGTCATTTATAAATCCATTAAAATTAAACAGCAGAAAACATATGCTCAAAATCATAAAATTTAGAAATATTGATTTTGGTATCCTGAAATTTAAGATTAAACAGCTTTACAAGAAGTTATGTTTGAATATTTAGACTGAAATTAGCTTTTGTTCTCTTTTTTTAATATAAAATAAGTTTAATGTAAATAATTATTTCATATCCATATTACTATCAATCAAAATAATTTGAATCAAACATAATTCTCATATTATTGGCATCTTAATGTTGGTTTCTTTTAGGGTAATTGACTATTAAATTCAATGAAACATGAAAAATATTAGAAAATGTCTAATTAATTCAATTAATAAAAACATTTTAAATTTGGAGGGCTGCAAAAAAATAAATGGAACCCTCTCATAGCACTAGAAAATAATTGAAACTCTCATTTTTTGAAAATCTATTGTTTGTCCATTAGTTTTACTAATTACCAAATTATTTACAATATCTCATATTTTCACTTGGTACATTCTAATACATTACCTATTTATAATTGCCCTAATATAAAGACAAATAAAACCTGTTGTATTAATAATTTAATTACTAATATTTTATTACCTATCTCTCAAGATTTGACATTGCACTATGCGCTTAATTTTAAATAGAAGAGGAGCAATATTTACTAAGCTTTAGTATATTTTTAATTTTCATAATTTTCCCATTTTTGGTGGCGACTTTAATGAAAAAGAAACAAATATTTTATTAGAGCTCCTTATTTCATACATTAATAAACATTTCATCTGTAATTACATAAATATTTTAATAATATTTATATATACCTTTAACATTGCTTGTTGTGAATAGTATGACTCACTATACTATTCATGATGAGTTTTCAGAATAAATTCTTCAAATTTTCATAGCTATTTTAACATTTATATTCATTATCTGTTTCCAGATAACTTTACAAATAGTTTGCCTTAAAAGTTTTGACTTAAAATTGACATCATTTAATCAAATTTATGTGTCATTCTTAGATTATGTCCTATAACTACTCTATATAATTTAATTTATTAGTTATTCTATAGTAAACAATCTCAAAAATGCATTGATAATTTAATCTATCTTAATAATAATAATTTCTGCTATCAAAATTTTGAGAGTTTTTGAATTACACACTTGCAAGTCAGTTGAGTAATAAATTATCCTGGTATTTTCTTGTTTTGGATTGCAGTTAGGATTTAATACTTTAATACTTTACCTTTTAGACGAATATGAACGTTTTATTAATGTTCTTACTCTAATTTTATTTTTATTGTTTTATTAGGTTATAAATCAAGAATTCAAATCCTTCGAAACAACTCAACTTTTAAAATTTGTTAAATAAAATAAAATATCATTTATTAAATATTTGTTTGGAAAAATAATAAATCTTTAATTTAATAAGACATAATACTATCTAATAAACTCTTTGATTTATTAACATTATGGATATATGAATTATAATGGAGGAAATACACGTGAGCATATATTTGAAACATTGGATCCAGATGTGGAGTTAAAATTTAATAGTAAATAATTATCAATTCTAAGTAAATTAATATAGGAGGATAAGAATTTTGACATTCAATATGTGTCTATCCTTTTTTAATTGAAATTCTATAATTTAGCATATAAATAAATTATGATTGCTAATAGTCAAAGTTAAGGGAAAAGGTTAAACTATAGCTCTGACATTTATATAAAGGATAGTGAAGTGTCAAGGATGTAAACCTTTAACAATAAGGCAAAGGAGTCTATTAGATCTATGAGTAAATCAGGTAAATCTAACTCAGAAGATTTAAATAATATTATTTAAAAGAAGATATTAAAAAAGAATAAGCTGCTAATATCAATAAAAGATAAAATTCCAATGATAACTTAAGCTCAGTTGAATTACTTAAAATAGATGATTCGTTAAGATATTAAATTACATATGTTAATGGTTAATAACAAAAAATATAAATTTACTGAAATTTAACTAGGAGTTGAAATGTTTTTGAAAAACGAGAAAAGAAATAACAATTTAAGATATTCAATACTGCAATTATTGTAAGAAAAGGTTCAATTTTACACTTAATTCGTAAATAAAAAGATATTGAATCATCAAAAGTTGTTTGAATCGGCTAAAAAAATAAGTGGTTAAATGCATAAGATCGAATAAAAATTGAATCGAAGATATGATTAATATCCCAGTCATAAAATATAATCTATGTTAATTTATTTTTAAGCAGAATTATAAAACAATTTTATAGAAGCCTATCGAATAAAGAACTTAACATCAATATCTGAATAACAGTTAATTGATATTGAATAAAATCTTTAAATTTCCTTGTTCTCCAAAGAAGTTGTATATATGAGTGCAGCTTAATTGGAAGATTAAGGAGAAATATTAGTCCTAAACTGTTCTGAAAATACATAAAAGTTTTTTGATTTTAGTAATGAGCAATAAAAAGAGTTTACAACTATAAGTTATATCTTACCAGATTTTATATTAAATGAGCACAATATTCTAGTAAATAACTTTATATAAACAGGAGAAGCAAAATATTATTTATCTTATTCTCAATCATTTTATAAATCAGCAAATAACTTTGTTAAATGTTGTGATTTGTTATTTGATATTCATTTTGATGAATATTATTTATTTAGATACTCCATATTTTTGTAGAATACTGCTACTACCTAATCTTACATCTTTGTTGATGTAAATGAACAATTAGGAGGATTTACAGAAACAGTTTTCGAAAAATTGAAATATTCCAATACATTTATAGATGAGTTTAGCGATTTTAATTTAAAAATATTGAGCATAGATTTCATATTTCCTGAATTCCCAATGATTATTAAACATAAGAAAAATAGCATTTCAACTGAATTAAGATTTTTAAAATAGGATGTATTCAGTTAATATTTACAGTAATCTGATCATAAGATTTCCCTGCAGGGACTTTGGAACGATAGTAAAAATTTAAATTTATACATGGTTGATCTTCGCATACAATTTCATAATATTTGGGATTTTAATTATTATATTATTGAATTGGGAGATTGTAGACCTCAGAATTAATTAAATATGATATCATTACCAGTCTTTAAATCGTAAAATGATATTGAGAATATGTTTTAATTGAGCTAACTTACGGAATCTGAAGCACCAGCTCTTAATGCTAAAGAATTTTAGAAGAAACTAAATAAATTCAATATCATAGAATAAATATAGTAAGAGGAAATACTATTAGCATCTAAAATGCCTGCTGTTTATATTTAACATATACCCCAATCTGATTTTGAACCCAACATATTGAGTCCTAATTCAAGTTAAATTGGGTTAAATGAGATATCCTACTCAAAATAGCCTTAATTATAATAGCAAGATTACTTTAATTAAAGCATTCGAGATAATTCTTACAGTATGCAAAAATCTATTTAATAAATATAGCATCAAAACATTCTTCCTATTGATTAAAAAGAAGATTTCTATGAGCAATAATACAAGAAAAATACAACTTTGACATCCAAATAAACTGGAATTTAGAGATCAATGTTTTATAAAAAATATGAGCTCGTTCATGATTCACTGTTTTCATAAACACCACCTTCAATGAATAAATTATTGTTGCTTATTCTGGTTAGTTTATTGATCTGTCTTATTTTTTATATAATTGTACTTGCTTTGGTTTCGTAAGATTTAACTAGATTTATAGCTGAAATTGATATGATACAATTGCATTCAGGAGTCATGGTACCTCATGATTTTTACTTTCAAATGAGGTTCGCAATATTTACTTATACAGGATTCTTAAATAAAAAAGTAATCACCAAAGACAGGTTCAATAATTTAACTGATCTTTTTTACAATAATATGCATATTGGTTATAATGAATTTAAGAATGGATTCACTGAACAATTAAATAATCAATATCTTTAACCATTTTATAATGATAAGAATGTAACTGTGTATTACATGTACGAATTTGGTTTGAATACTTACCCAGTGACATACAACGTGAGAGAAGTGTTCTTTACTTTTCTAACCTATTACTATGAATTTCTTTTGAGATTTTAAGCAAGGTTAACTCCAGCAAATTAGACCTATTAGGTATTTCAATTTGCAAATGCTTTCAAACTGCATAACCTTCTTGAAGACTTAGCTTAAGATGCATGGGCTTATTCCAAATAAAGAAGTATAGTAATAAAGGATAAATGGAACCAAATTTGGATGATTTTTTTAATCTTTAGTTTTTTGCCTGTTGGTCTTGCCATTTATTATATGAAACTTTATCGATAGCTCTAAGATAAATATTTGAACTTATTTAGATACTTTTCAAATATAAAGGTTTAAAGGGAGATAGAGAAAACTAAAACGTTAATTAAATAATTAAAATAAAATCCGGATCGTCTTTATCATTATAAGTTTGAGGTTGAATAGTTTGAGGAATAAATAGTGTATGAAAAAGGAATAATTGAAAAGGAATAACAAAAGTATAAGGAATCAAAATATTTACCCTAATTTAAACAGTTGTCTATTACCTACTCAGTTATCATTCTACTAGGAGTTTGGATGTTGTTTTTTTTATTCAGTTTTTTTAGCAATTAACAAGTCTAATAGTATTTGGACAAATACCCGAATTCATGCGACCTATATAAATTTCTTTAAAATATGTCATTATCAACAGGATCACTACCCAGAAATAGGGAATTTAAATTAACTTTTCCATCTTTGCCATATATAAGGGAGGAGGACAACCTATTGTTTTATGAAACAATAAGAGATAGTTTAAATGATATATCAAGCTTTCTCAAATTGTGTTTAAATTTTGACCCCGATTTATATTATTCGTCAGAAGGATTTTCAGATTATTTTAATACAGTGCAAGAACAAAACGTATGCGATGTTTTAGGAGATGAGTAAGTTGGATTTCTGAGTTATTATTGTGACATCTCTTTTAATGGAAATTTAAAATTAGGATTGTTGCCCACAATCAAATATCTTTATAATGAGATTTTACAAGAATAGTCAATTAATAATTTTACATAGAGAGTAGAATATATATTTTTTGATATGGAGGGAGGATTGATAATAACAAGAGCATTTTAATACATGAGTAAGATATTCAAGAATGGGATGGTGACAATAACTTAGGAATAAATAAACATTTCAAATGTAGAATATATTACTTTATTATAGGCATTATCTATATGTTACATAATCTTGAATATCTTGTTAATAGTTTATTTTTCCGGAATATTGCCAATAATAATGATAAAAGAATTGAATTAAGTGAGAAGATTTGTACTTATTGTTCCAAGAACTGTGTTGTTATTAGATGATTAATTTGAGCGTCATGCTAGGATGATCGGAGTGAATGAGAAATACTGACATTTTAAAAAGATTTCATTCTGGAATTTATTATATAATTAATTTAATTTTAATTTCTTACGATGGGCTCTTTTAAAAACACAATGATAGTTTTCTTTATGCTGATGACCTGTGGATTGGGATAGCAGATTAGAGCTATTACAGCTTATTAGAACTGTGATCAGAAATGGCATAGCGAATAAATCAACGGCGATTCCCAAAAAACTATTTGCTAAAATGGTAGCTTGGTAAGTTGCATATCAATGATATTACAAACAAGTGGCAAGACAATAAACAATAGAGCTGTGAACCCAGCAATATTGAATAAATACTTGACCAATAACAATGGGTATAAATAAGGAAGTGAAATTAATTTTTCAGTTTTGGACAAGGTTGGCTTACACATTGTGAAAACAGTATCTGATTTAAGGACAGCCATAGGTAATATACAAGTTAAATGTAGAATATTATAACAACAAGTACTACATTGTATTGAACATAAATTACGGAAAGAACTATGGAGTCTTAATTGGATATAATGAAAAGGATGCGATCTACCTAATTAATAATCCAATCAACCCATCAGAAACCAAAGTAGCAGCCAAAGACATTACTGTGGCGTTGATCTTTAAACCCCTTTGAAATATAAGATAAATAGGAACATATATATTATTATAATATTTGAACATAATACCATTTAATACTCAATAATCGTCAGGTGCAATAACATCATCTATTTTTAATATCATTTTGACAACTTGGGTGGCTAATTAAATTTGCTATTTCTTTGAGCTCAAAGTTTCGTAAATTCTTTATTCCTTCATATCAGTGGTACCCTTAAATATAATCAATAGTAATTACTAATTCCATGCAATCAATTCCAATTCTTGGGTTGTTTTCTTGTAATTATCTTGACTTGGCTTAAGCAACAGATGTAATAGGATTAAGACCACAATTATCTGCTAAGCAACAAGGAATACCCTCTAAGGCATCTGCGAATGACCTGATGGCATATTATTCAACTGATGAGACCTAAACTATTATAAATGAGATACCTCATCAGCATATTAGAGTACTTAGATAGCACAAGCTAATTCAGCAGAACCTCCTCCGTAGACGATTCTATTATCTTTGATTAAGTTTCTGATGACACAGATTGCATCATGGATAGACCTTTTGGCTTCATCGACAATCATTTGACTTCCTCCTCTAATAAGAATAGTGACAGCCTTGGTGCATTGACAATTCTCGATGACTAACATCCTTTCGTTGGAAGTTCCGAATTGTACTTCTTTGACTGAACCAGCTTTTCCTAATTTTTCAGGTGTGATTTCTTAAAATCTGGGAATGATTCTAGCTCCAGTAGCCATAGCAATGAGTTCAACATCAGTTCCTGATACCCATCTAACAGCAGGGAGTTCATTTTATAACAATAAGTGATTGGCTTCATCATCAAAACCCCATTAACATAAGGCTATGTTGGCTCCACTATCTTTGACTAACTTGACCATATCAACAAAGTATTGTTATTCCTATTAGTATAATTTCTTGTAGTCTTCTGCACTAGAAATGTTGATGTTGTGCTTGGTCTTTGGTTTGGGTGGTTCGAATGGACATGTTAATAAACAGATTTTGGCTTCCTTAACCTCCTTTGGCATTTGTGGATGACTCATATCTTTGTCAATAAGAATTCCTGAAATCAATCTTGTATCTTCTACACTTCCTCCAGTTTTGGTTTGAATTTTGATCAAATCCAAATTGACATCTTTCCTGGCTAAGTCAGCCACATCCAAGACTGCAGTGACTGCAATCTTACCAAGTTCTCTCTTTCTTTTAGATACAACTTTAGATCCAAGAGCTGTGCAGGCTGCTTAGATCAAAGCCTCATGCTCATTTGCTTGAATATCTATTTCTTCAGATATTGTTTCCAAATGTTCTAGATTATTAGTAATATAGATGTTTACTTATGGCAACATCGCATGCTCTATCGAATCCATCACTAATCTTCAATGGATGATTTCCTTTATCTAACAAAGTGAGAGCCTACTCTAACAATTTTCCAGCCAACACTACTACGCCTGTTGTGCCATCACCGATCTCAGCATCTTGTGATTATGACAATTCAACTAATAATTTCGCGGTTGGATGCTATATTTCCTATAATTTATTTAAAATAATTCCTTACCATCTTCTCCACTATGATCGAACCATCGTTTGTTACTGAAACATCGCCGTCTGGAGAGACCAACATCTTATCCATTCCCTTTGGTCCAAGAGATGATGATAGTGTATTTGCAACAGCCTTGGCAGCCAATATATTGCTTTTATATGCCTCCAATCCCTTCATTCTTTTCTTCGATCCTTGATCCCTCAAAATAATGTATGGTCTGCCATAGTCATCAAATGCTAAACTCATATTTTAAATAAATATTTTTAAAATTTAATCATCGTCTCACAATTACTGTAACTTTGTATATATATATATCAAATTCCAAAAAAGCCCTTTATTTTAATTTATTAATTATTAATATGCGCAATCGATTCCAAGCCTGCTCCTTCAAGAACTTCACTAACTCACTCTCCTCCAATATTCCAAGCAACTTAAATAAAACAAGGTCATGCGAATCTAACTTATTCGGATATGCTAATAAAAAAATGCTATATGTAACTACTATCTTACCCACTTTTTAACCTTACTAAAACATCATTTCCAAACTCAAAGACCACAACATCAAAATGCAACAAAGAAAGCAAATTAAAATGAGAAATAAAAGACATTAAATTTAAAAAAAGACCCTCATTGAAATTATTAAAAAATAAGAACAAAAACCTAAAAAAAGAACCAACAAACATCATAACACTGCATTTTACAATCACTAGGCTAGTCCAAAAGCCCAACCTAATCTTTGTTCTGATGATACTCATTAAAATCCCTCCAGAGAAAATTCGAAGCATTCCATCTAATTACATGTGTACAATTCGCTCTCTCCTCCAAAACTTTACATTGACAAGAGGACTACAAAGTTATAGACCTTTTCATAAAGATTGAAAACGTTTTACTTACCTATTACAGCGCCCTTTGATTCTCAAACCATTCTGAAGTTGGAGAGGATACAAAATGGAAGAGCTAAGGTCATTAAATAATAAGGCTCTCGCGATGATTATTAAGTTAACATAAGGTTGTATAAATTTGAAGATGATGAAAATGTATGGTGACGACCAAGGCAAAAATCAAGAAACCCAACTTCCCACTCTGCATCAAGAGGATGACGAGGAGGACGAGTAAACTGAACATGATACTCTAGGCCATTTAAAACAGCTATCTCATAATCATCAAAAGCAAGCCTATAAAAATATTTTCAAATTTAATAGACGCAGTCTTCAAAGCCTGATTGACAAATAATAATTAGGGAAAAGTAGAATTAAAGAAATATTGACAACTGGTAATGTAATTATAATTACGTTTCTCTAGAGTACAGTTAGAGAGCAATTACTGCTAATCTGTCCCCTTAGTGTAATTGTATTCTTGGGTATTATCCAATACCTTCGATGAAACTCTTGGATGCAAAATGGAAAAGACCTATTCAGAAGCTACTCCCTTTAAATATCAAGCCAGTTAGTCAATCCTCGTTCTCCAACATGATACCTCTTTTACCAGTTTCGGTCATTACTCAATCTACACAGTCGACAAAAAACAGTAATGAAAAGAAGAAGCTCGCGAGGAAGATCATTAATGCAGGAGAGAAGAAACACAAGAAGAACATTACGTTTGGATAATTGTTGATTAAAGTTTGAAAACAAATCTGATCTCATCCTTGAATAATGAGTGATATATTGATATAAATTAACTAAATTAACAAATTTGTGACAATTAGAGTGGAAGTGTTTATTAATAATAAAATTGAATTGACAATTAATGATAATAACATTATTAATTAATAATAAGAGATGAAGGATCTTTATATAAATATAGAAATTTTAATTGATAACCTTAAATAATATTAATGGAAAATAATCCATATCCTACATCTGAGCTCAAAATCGAAGGACAAACATTCAAATATTACAATTTGGTTTAATTATTTGGTGAGAAAGTAACAAGATTGCCATACTCAATAAGAATGATTCATTAGAGTAAGCAGTCAGGAATTGCGATGGATTCAATGTCAAAACAGAGGATGTCGAAAGAATATTGAATTGGGAAGATACATCCAAAAAAGACACTGAAGTGGCCTTCAAACCTGCAAGAGTAATATTATAAGATTTTACAGGTTATCAAATATCATATATTTTCTTAGGTGTTCCTTTGGTAGTTGACTTGGCAGCTATGAGGTCATAAGCTCAAGCTATGGGCAAGGATCCTGAATTGATTAATCCTTTGTGCCCTGTTGATTTAGTGATTGATCATTCTGTGCAAGTGGATTTTCATGGAAATAAAGATGCTAGAGAATAGAATGAATAGACAGAATTTGAGAGAAATTTAGAGAGATTTAGATTCTTAAAATGGGGAAGCTCAGCTTTCAAGAATTTCGAAATAGTGCCACCAGGCAGTGGAATTGTGCATTAAGTGAATTTGGAATACTTAGCAAGAGTAGTGTTTGAGAAGGATAGCCTCTTATATCCAGACTCAGTAGTAGGAACAGACTCTCATACAACTATGATTAATGGTTTGGGAGTCTTAGGTTGGGGAGTAGGTGGAATAGAAGCCGAAGCAAACATGTTAGGTGAATGCACAAGCATGGTACTTCCATAAGTCGTTGGATTTAAACTGACAGGATAATTGAGTGCTCATATTTCAGCAACAGATTTGGTCTTGACTTGCACTGAGATGTTAAGAAAGAAGAAAGGTATATCAAATCAATATATAATAAAGTTGTGGGAAAATTCGTTGAGTTTTATGGTCCAGGAGTATCCACTTTGTCTTTGGCTGATAGAGCAACTGTTTCAAATATGGCCCCAGAGTATGGAGCCACTATGGGATTCTTCCCAGTTGACAACAAAACTATCGATTACTTGAAGTAAACAGGAAGAAGTGAAGAGAAATGCAATTTAATCACCTAATATTTGAAGGCAGCCCATCTATTTTATGAGGAAAGTCAAACAACTTTTAGTGACACTTTAGAATTAGATTTATCAACTATTCAACCTTGTGTTGCTGGTCCAAAGAGACCATAAGATAGAGTCACTCTAAATTAATTGAAATAAGAGTTTACCTAAGGTTTGACTGCTCCAGTTTCCTTTAAGGGATTCAATGTTAAAGCTGCTTAAGATGTTGAGTTTTAATATCAAGGATAGAAATACAGTTTGAATCACGGATCTGTTGTTATTGCAGCCATTACATCATGCACAAACACTTCAAATCCAGGAGTCATGTTGGCTGCTGGTTTAGTGGCTAAAAAGGCTGTCTAAGCTGGATTAGCAATAAGACCATACATAAAGACATCCTTAAGTCCTGGATCATAATGTGTTACATAATATTATAAGGCAGCAGGATTGGATGTGTTTTTGGATTAATTGGGTTTCCATAATACAGGATATGGTTGTATGACTTGTATTGGTAACAGTGGTCCAATCGATCAAGCTGTGAGTGAAACTGTTTCAAATAACGATTTGGTTGTAGCTGCAGTTCTGTCAGGAAACAGAAACTTTGAAGGAAGAGTACATCCAATCACAAGAGCTAACTATTTGGCATCTCCTCCTTTGGTTGTTGCATTTGCCTTGGCAGGAAGAATGGATATTGACTTTGAGAGTGAACCCATTGGAGTTGTGAATGGTTAAAGTGTATTTTTGAAAGACATTTGGCCAACTAGAGATGAAATCAAATAATTGGAAGACTAAGTTGTTTAACCATAAATGTTCATTCAAACTTATTAATAAATCAAATAAGGAACCAAAAATTGGAATGAATTATAAGTACCAAAGGATTAACTTTATTAATGGGATCAATAATCTACTTATATTCATCATCCACCATACTTCCAAGGATTAAGTTTAGAATTGCCAGTCATTAATCCAGTTACTAATGCTTATTGTTTAGCAGTTTTTGGAGATTCCATTACAACTGATCACATTAGTCCAGCTGGTAATATTTCTGCAAACAGTCCTGCTGGTAGATATCTTAAAGAAAGAGGAGTTGCTTAGAAGGACTTCAATACATATGGTGCAAGAAGAGGAAATGATGAAATTATGGTCAGAGGAACATTTGCTAATGTTAGAATCAAGAACAAAATGTTATAAGGAAAGGAGTGTCCTAATACTATTTATGTGCCTACAGGAGAAGTTGTAGCTATATATGATGCAGCTGAAAAGTATCTACATTCAAATCAATAAACTATTGTAATTGGAGGTGCTGAATATGGATCTGGATCATCTAGAGATTGGGCAGCCAAAGGACCCTATCTTCAAGGAGTCAAGGCTGTCATTGCTATTTCTTATGAAAGAATCCATAGAAGCAATCTTGCCGGAATGGGAGTATTGCCTCTTGAATTCACAAACGGATAAACTGCTGAATCTTTGGGATTGACAGGCCACGAACTCTTCACTTTGAATGTCAATAAGGATAACATTAAAGTATTGCATTAGTTTATTCTAGGTTAATCAAATTGTTGAAATTGTTGCCAAGAGATCTGATGATACTACTTTCAATTTTAACACCCTTTTGAGATTGGATACAGACGTAGAAATTGAATATTATAAGCATGGAGGTATCTTACAATACGTTTTGAGAAAAATATTGAAATGAGTTTATGATATCAAATAAAAATTTATCTATGTTTATTTTATTATATTTAACTATCGCAGCTGCAAAATTCACCAGAGTCACCTTTCCTGTGAATGATTTAAGAGATAACATCTATTTCTTATAAAAATTTGGGATCGATCTAGGAAAAGGCACATACTCTTTCAGAGCTAGACTAACCAAACCATTCGATGAATAAACAGATGATTTTGTTTACTTCAGATTCCACATCTTCACTGATGATTATTGGCCTATGTAAAAGAGGGAACCTAAGTGTAGCAATAAGAGATCGTTGGGCACTTATTAAGAGAGAGAAAAATTGCCATTAAATGGTAATTGGAGTAATCTTAAATAAAAGAAGATAAATTTGTATTACAGAGATAAGATCTACATTGTGGCTACTTCAGATTGCGATGGAGAGTTGGCTAAGGTTGAAGGATATTCAATAGAAATGGAAATTACCGCTTTAAATAATGAATCTCACTTTTCTTGTGAAGATAATGGAATTCAAAAACTATATGGAATCCAAATTATTTGCAGTATTCTTATTGGAGCGTATTGTCTAATAAAAGGAAAGGACGATCAGTTTATCAAATATGTCACGAGAGTACTCTTAATCGATATCATCGCTGAAGTGCTGTTTTTCCTGCATTATACATTATACAGTTTATAATGGAGTGGGGATCTATTTCTTTGATCTATTAGGCAGCATATGTAACAATGCCTCTTAATTGTTGTTCGCATTTCTATTTGTGGCATTGTCACAAGGCTGGACTATTACGAAGCAAGAACTCAATACAGTTTAATTCTTTCCCTTCATCTCAATGATCGTAGTGTATCAGTCGATTATTATGATAATCATTAAGTATTTTGATGGAAGTGAAGACAAGTATCATAATTTTTATGGAATTGGAGGATGGTTGTTGATGTTATCGAAAATTGGATTGACATTTCTATACTCTTATGGAATTCATAATCTGAATAAGTAAGTTAAATAAAAACAATTTATTTTCTTAATTGCTCTGGTTGGAATCTTATACTAGATTCACTACCCGGTTGTGGTATTTATCTCCGAGGTATTCGTGGTTTCATATTGGAAAAATCGAGTAATTACAATGACTTCTATTCTGGTTTCCCATTTTTGCATGGTTTTTTGTGCTTTTATTTGCACTACCAAATCCACTGCCTATTTTTAATTGAAAAATTAGAGTTAGACTATAATCTGAATTATATATATAAAAAATATAGAACATCTATTATTATTTATTATTCAATGATCACTCCATTTTTAAAATATTCAAATAATTCAAATATGTATTCCCAGAAAATGTGAGAGGAGGAGATAGACGCTTTAGAGAGGGTTCCTTTGGAGGTGTGAGGCTATAATTATTTAAAAATATTTAATTTAACGATCTCTATTCAAATTATATGAATGTTTAATTAATTTTAAATTAAATATTCAAATATTTTCAAACTTTCTTCATTTTTATATTGACTTTTAAGAAATTTTAAAAAATTAAGTTTAAATTCAAATCAAAGTGCTTAATATTAGAGCAATTATAATAATATGAAAAATCTTCTTCAAATATAATTGAATTCTATAATGATATTTTATAAGATGGTTTATATTTTGAATAGTGTAATTTTATGTGGATATTTATCATTAATCAATTATCTTCAGCATTCTCTAATATACAAGTATACCCAGGTTTATATCTAGCATTTTTCATATAAAACAGAGAGATATTTTATTGATTCTGAGGTCCAAATCGCTAATCTTGTTATTAATCATCCTATTAAAAGTTGGTGTAATCTTAATCCTGCTATTGTTCAATATTATCCAAAGAGGGAAGGATGGGAAGGGCAACAATAAAATAACGATGAGCCAGAGCCTAACTTGCATTCGGTCGTTTCAGAGGATTGTAGCGAAGCATCTAAGAAATTAAATCAAGAGCATCATCACTAGCTTAAGTAATGACTTATGACAATGGTTTTGGTTAAATGTTCTTAGGAAAACGGTGTTGTATTTTAGCAGCTAATTTATAACCTAATAATTGGATTTTAAACGTTATACCATCTGGCCAATCCTATTCTGAAGGTGTTCCCATGATTTCGCAGATCTTTTGCAATTAATCCGTATCACAAGTGCCAGGAAAGAGAGGCCATAATCTGTATAACTCAGCCATTATACAACCTATTGCAAAGATGTCAATAGGAGAGTTGTATTCATTAGATCTCAAAATTACTTCTGGAGCTCTATACCATCTTGTAGAAACGTAATCTGTGAATGGAGGAGAAGACCTGATGTCTCTTGCCAATCCAAAATCCGCTATTTTTATCGTGCCATTCGACTCTAACAAATTTTCTGGTTTTAAATCTCTGTGGAAGTAACCTATTTTATGCCTATTATTCTAATTGAGTTTTACATGTATGCCAGTCCCTGTAAGGTTTAATATATGATATTCCGAATATGAATCTCGTTAAATGGCTTTTATCTATCTTTCATTAGATGATAGACATTGCGTTCCATAAATTCAAATACAAAATGCAATTCATCGTTCTGCTTAATAATCTCGTATAATTTCACTATGTTCGGATGATGCAATTTCAACAGCGATTTGATTTCCGGAAGATTTATGCATTCATCCCATTTGTTATATTTGTGCTTCATTTTCTTAATAGCAACAATTTAACCAGTTGTTTCATCTACTGCTTTATAGACTGACCCAAAGGTTCCATCTCCTAATACCTTTCCAATTTTATATTTATCCATAGTTTTTGGTAAATTATATATTAACGTAATTATTATTGCAAAAATCTCAATTTCCATTAGAAAACAATTCATAGACTGTTCTAATATCGATGAAATATAAACCAAACCAATTCCAATTTGGATTATAAATTTTTAACATAAAGTATAACCATCTAGAATAAAAGAAATCAGAACCTATAATTTGATAGAGAATATAGAATTCAGAAGAAATTACAACTCCTTAAGCATAATAACTTGATTTCTCAGGTAATACTTTCTTTTAACTAATATGTAATTATTCAAACTTATTGGAATAAGCAATTATTAATAGAATTAAATTATCTCAATAACACATATAAAATGTTAATGTAATATGCTGTAATTGTATTTGAATGCTTTAGCAACTATTTAGTTGAATAAATAGATTGAAAAATGAAATAGTATTTATACCCTTTTACAAAACAACGAATACCTAATAGTTATTCTAAAAATAAACAAATATTTATCCTAATGTAAAAAAAATGTAAATTAAATTCAAATAAAGATTGATTTAAAGAAATTCATAAAGGCTTGTAATTACTTAATTAAAATGCTAAATAACAATCAACTTGGGGAGGAGAGTTTCAATACAATGAAGTAAAATGTTATTTTAATTATTGAAGGACTTTCAAATGAGAATCAATTATCCTATGATTCCAAACGATTTGTATAAAATGAATAATACAGTTTATTTGAGTGAATAATAATCTATTATCTTCAATAAAATAAAATCACAAAAATAGATAAAATCTGATAGAGTTCATTGAGTAGTCCTAGTAAGAAGAAGAGTATATCCTTGTTTTGTAGATAGATATTTGGTTGTAGTATCAGTTCCTTTTTTGTTGAAAGTTAGAAAAGGAGTTTTTCTGAAAGGTTTTACAAGAATTGATTATGCCACATGATCATTATTTCTAGTCCCTCTGCTATTCGATCTGCTACTCCTAATTATAAAACTTTCTTAAACCTAATAGTTTATAAGTCTTGAGTAATCTTTTAGGTTGGAATGGTATTAATGTGTTAGATTTGCATAGTGGTATGAAATGTGAATGCCTCGTCATTAATATTGAGAGTTTGTTCCTTGTATATTAAAACTCATTACTAGAGAATGTTGATGATTATTCAGCTTATTTTGAGCTGATTGTGCTGATTTCTTTTTTACATTTGAGCAACAAAACATTATTAAAAAAAATATTTATTCAATATTAACAAAAAAATTGATTATCATTATCAGCATCTATGGAATTACGACTGATTTGTTGAATGCAAAACAAATTTATTTGACGATTCTATTAATATACTAATCTCTATAAATTTATAGAACTGGTTCATATACTATTATTATAATATTTGCATATCTCTCTTTAATTTGTAATTAATCAAACATTCTATATTATTCCTCATATTTAAATGCTCACTGACTCTTTTTATTTTCGATATTTCTAAATTAAGCAATATTATTCCTATTATTAATGAATTCAATTTTTTAAATTGGGGAAATCACCTTACAATCCAATCAATTCATTCTAGATGAGTTCCTCAATAATATGATTACATTTAAACATAGTTATATTAAGGTAGTTTATTTATTCATAGTAGTTCTTTTAAACTAATTTAAACATTTAAATTCGTCTAATAATTAAAACTTACACATTTAATTTATCAAAAAGAGATGTCCTCAGTCTCATAAAATAATGTTTGATTGTATTTTTAAACATTTTATATTTAATTCTAAAGTGATATTCAAGTTCTACTTGAAATTTTGAAAAATTTATGAAATAAATGAATTTAATGAATGTTTTATTGTGTATTGCATAATCAATTTTCTCAACAACGATCTTTTCCAATAAATGCGGTATCAATATGTTTCCATAAATGCTCATTATAAAAACAGTAGACAAGTCCTCCTCGATGCCACTAAGATTCCTGTCTATTCAAATCACTGACACAAACATATTTATCCTCTTTCTCTGCTGCCTTTCTTTTTGCTGGAGGAGCTGAATCCTCATCATCATCATCGTCATCACCTGCTTTCCTCTTTGTGGTAGTGGGTTTAGTATCAACTTCCATGCCAGAAGATGTTTCTCCTCCTCCTCCTCCTCCTTGTCCTAATTAGATATCTTCTTCTTCTAGACTCTTTTTTCTTAGGTGCTTTCCACTTACTAAGATTTAACCATTCAAAGATGGATGTGAATAATCTGTTGCGATAAACGATCCTCCTTTTGAGGCGGATGCAACTTCTTTTGGTTAAGTTATTCCATATTTCGAATGATCTTTAGTGTAGGAATATTCAAACGTAATTGTGTCACCACCTGCAGTTTTTCCAGAATAGGATACTTTTTCATTAGAAGAAGATTCATAAGTGTCGCATACTGGTTTTTCCAGACCCGCTGCTTTAGGTCGTCTGACCCATGTCTCCATAATCAAATTTTGCATAAGTTCTCCTACTATCAGTTCAGAGTAGATATCTTGGCCATACTTAGGATTTTGTGCAAAAACTTTAAATTTCTGATTTCCTCTTGTGGTAAATACTGTGTGACTATGATCAGCCTTGATAAATATAAATAAGGAATGTTACATCTTGAGAATAACGATGACGTGTTTCACCCTTTCCAGGTAATTTAGAGTACCATAAGTTTTATAAAGCTGTATATTTATCTGTACCTAAAAATGTATTCTTCTTAGGAGTAGAACTAACCTAGTCTATCAAGATTTCAGCTTGGTAATACATATCAGCTAAATCGTCATTTATGGCATCTGTAGTTGTTGAAAAACACAAAAAATGTTAGCCGTTTCTAGGAAAATTGTTCTCTACATTGGTATCTACTCTAAATATGTTGAATAAGAATAATACTTTCCATTATCATCTAGTTTTGGGAATCTTGGTGTTGAATGGGAGATAATAAACGCATTTTTAGTTCCAACTAAACTTGCACTCATAATTCCCTTTGAATGAGCATGATTTGAATGATGCACTTTATGTTTTGGCTAGTCGCTCCATAACATACTAATGACACTCGTATCACTAAAATTAACCTAATCGAGTGTTTTCATTAGTGGAGATGTACTGTCATTTACATCGTCATCTTGTAAATCGAATTTCTTGCATTCATCCACACTGTCACAATAAAAATACTCAAGACCTTATGTTGATACCTTATGATTATTTACCTGTCCATTCATCATCTCGGTTCAATGGCATTTTTAAGATAAACCACCAATCTACTTCTTTTCCATCTGAGTTTAAACAACTTTAAGATAGTGAAGTAATAATCAATAATGTTAGTACAAGACACTAAAATATGATATGCATTTAGATATATTTAATTGATTAATATATGATCACATTCATAATTTGTTATGATATTACATTTTATACAAATTAATCACTGTCACTTATATGAAAATACACTCAATGGTATATTCCATTAGTTAGATATTGAAATTAATCATAAAGCTTAGTACTAGTACGAGAGTCTTCAATGCTCATTTATATTAATTTGTCAATCTCTTGTCTACACTAATTTATATTATTAAATTACAATTTACTTATATCTCAGTCTTATTCAACAAAAATCGTTATTTGAATTCAGAAAAATCAAAATATTTAAAACAATTAAAATTGCTCTTTTCCATCATTATCTCAATAATTTAAAAGATAGAAGCACAGTATTTTCTGATTTCCATAAATCCACTAAACATCAATCTTCTAAAATATTCAAACATGCTCGAATTTTTATTATCCATTATTTCTAAATAATCCTTCGTCATCTTAAATGGAGCAGTCTCAAATCCAGCATTACCTGGTGAAATTGAAAGAGCAAATCCAAAATCTATGTGAATCAAATGCCCCTAATTATCAACAAGAATATTTCCATTATGTCTATCCTTTATTTATAAAAAATAGCTCAGTAGAGAATATCCTGCCAAGCTTTCTACAAAATTCTTTTGAGCTTAATGGTAATCAGAGTCAAAATATTATTTATAAAACTAAACCAAACTTAATTTTTGCTTATCCAAATATTTCTTTAGTCCATCCATTGAAACTGTATTTTAAACAAATTCTATCAAATAACTCATTATACTTTACCTAATATCCCAGAATTCTCAGACACTACTATTATTTCATATGGTTTCAAAAATAAATTCAATTAAGCTGATCTAAAAATCTCATGCATCTTTTATATCACCTGCATTATTAGTAACTCTTGCCTTAAATCATCACCTCCTTTCACCATTATAATCCTAATCTATAAAGATTCGAAATCTTTAAATTTTGATTCTTGTTTAATTCTATTAATTTTATCTTTCCAATCTTCTCCCCATGGATTTAAATTAGAATTCGATTTATTCTGAATATAATTTACAGAAGATCTTTATTATATTGGAGATTAAATAATTCCCTAAATTTACTAATTTTATTCGACAACACCAATTTTTAATATAGAAATCTGATGTTCTGAACTGGATTATGAAAAGCTATCCTCCAAATCTTTACTTTTTTAAGGACTACGTGTTTCCTAGCGTTCTACAGCTGCTTATGAATTTTCAGTGTCTGACCAAGAACTACTTCTTTTTTTAAGCATATCTTAATTTTAGTTTGCTTCTAAAGTTTGATTCAAATCATCAAAATCTTTAAAACTGGAACTCTAACTATCGTATTTTATCAATTAGTTGAAAATCGTATCCTACTATTTCTCATTGGTTAACTGTTTCATTTACTCTTCTAAATTATTAGGTACATCCATTTATATAAAATCTTCAGTATCATTCAAGGCATCGCATTCATTTTCATCTACTTTTGTTGAATCAATCTTTTCTTGCTGTTCTATGATGCTGATGGTTTCAATTACAATTCTATAAGGAACTCTAGTTTTTGTGTTAAAACATGCTGCTCCCTCCTCGCATATATTTACCATCTTTAACTTTTAAATGAAAAAATACTAAATTAGATGCTTCGGAATATTCATTATCCCTCTAAAATGGTATTACTATTCCCCTGAAATAAGCTAACCTCCTATTCATGTTAGTCATTCGCTTGATCGCATTATTACCCTTTTAAATTTAGGATACTAGATATTTCTTTCTGCTATCATTTTCAATTGATTTTAGTGTTAAGGATAATTGAATCATTTAAATAATGAATCGGTCTTGGGCAATCATGTAATGAGATCTGAACTCCTTCTCCATGCATTTCTTCATCAATACTATAGAAATGTTAGACAAATAGTATACACTCCTAAAACTATGGATTATCCTTGTTTTACTCAATTTCATCGTTACTCATTTTAAGAGCACCATTAATCATTTCTTTCTCTAATCGCTTAAATAAATGGATACAAATTTACCCTTTAAAAGGATTCCAATTTAGAATATATTTTGCTATACCTTTTTTCATCTTAAGAATAGGCAATCAGACACCAAAGTATTTTAAAATAATTTGCAATGCTTAAGGAACTTAATGATTCTAAGAAAGTTTCCATACTTTAAGACCCATTCTTGACCACCATATATCTAGATATTAGACTGAAATATTACACAAATTAGGGAATATAATATTCGATGAACTTTTTGGGCATATGATACAAACTGTTAGTTAAATATTGATGAGGTCCAGCCTCATTGAAAGTTGCCATAAAATAATGTATCAATATCTCTGGAGTAAAGTTGTCTGACTGAAAAATAGAGAGGACAGCCTTCCAATTTTATAATTATCGAATTCTTCTATTCAACTCTTTAGTGTCAATATCTAATTCTTAAATAGTTGTTGGTAATTATTGATTATTCATAAATTCCTTAAATTAATTAAATTGAGGACCTTATTTCTTATTAAAATTATCTTGCAGAATGATTGTATATTTATATTACAAAAGAATTAATTTCATTGATCATTATTCAAAATCATCGTCAGCATTTGGATCAATTATTCGAGCATTTTCGTTGTTTACAATGTGACTAATCAATGACTAACCAGATTACAGCTTTTAGAAGTACTAATTTCTAAACTCTGAAAAATGATAAAGCAAGATCTCCTCGTAAAGCATATCTAAAAATATAAGCCTCTGATTCAATTACCTTTCAATTGCTCTTTGGTCAATTCGTATTTTTCAAACTCGAATTCCAAGGGATTTACTGGCACAGATATGGGCTATAAGTAAACATAAAAATATTGCATTACTTCATCTTCCTCGCTGTGCAAAATCTGTAGGAATGAATGTTTCAATGCTTAAGCAGCTGTCAAACGATCTCTATGATCGAATTTTAAAAGTCCTTTCAACAAATCCAGAACTATTCATTACTATTTTTTATATACGATCTTAATTAATATGTCCAAATATCTAATTCAATCCAATACCATTTTAATGCCCATACTCTTAAATGATTTTTCGTAGATTTTGCTGTACTTTTAAATCGGGGAATGACTGAATATACTGCTCATTTGGTGTTCCTAACAATTCAAAAATAACTTTGATTTGATGCTTAGTAGAATCTCCTCTCAAAAACGGTCTCCTGAGAATCATCTCAGCTAAAATGCATCCAACTGACCAAATATCAACTGAATATTATAAAATTTAATATTTACCAGCTGAACTGTAATTCTGATATCCAATTAATAATTCAGGAGCTCTGTACCATCTAGTTTCAACATAATATGTCATCATAATGTTATTTTGAATGTTTTCTGCTATTGCTCTACCTAAACCGAAATCGCATATCTTCACATCACAACTTCTATTCAATAATAAATTTCTTGGTTTCTAAATTAAATATGATTATCACTAAATCTCTATGCAAAATGCCAGCTGAATGTAAGTACTTTAGACCTCGCAATACTTGATAAATAAACAGTCGCATATGATCATCATTTAAGAGTGAATCGCTTTTAATAACTTATGATAAATCTGCTTCCAATAGGTCCATCACCATATAGACATCTTCAAATTCTTCTCTACTCGGAGGCAATAAGACTTGTTTTAAATCTACTACCTAAAGATTCTATAGAATCATTCATCATACATTGTCATGCTTTATCAATCTTAGAATTTTCAATTCCCTCAGGGTTCTCTTAGCAAACAAACGATGATTGAATGTTCTTTCTATTTTTTTTATAGCAACAGGTTTGTTTGTTAATTTGTCAATTGCTTGTATTACACAACCATAGGCCCCTTGACCAACTAATTTATATTGTAAATGTTCACTTATATCAATAGGCATATATCTTTAATCTAAATAAAATGTATGCCCTTGTAGAACATGTTTAACACTTTCGAACTATTTCTTGTAAGGCTTGTATAAATCTATGATCTTTTAGGGCACATTTGATTCTATAATCATATTATAATTCTCTATTTATATTTTATTAAATTGATTGATTTATATTAAAGTTATAAATCAAAAAGTATATAAACTTATAATTATCATTTCAATTTTTTAATCTATGCTTCTAAGGTCTCAAAATGTTTAGGATGAAATTCAGCCACAAATTATTTTACTATAAATTATTTGAAGCCATGTGAAAGCCTTTACTTTTATTAATGGATTTATATTAAATGAGGTTAGTTTGCCTTTTAACTTTTAGTATTATAATTTATTATTAGTTTTTCATCATGAAGCTAACTATTTAACCATTTTGAAGAGAATTTTTGATTGTATTCTTCTTGTCCTTGTATTAAATATTGGATATACTAATCTAAAATTTCAAAGAATATCCAGAGCTTTGCTTCCAGATAACCAGAATAAGTTAAATTAATTTAATATATTAAGAAACATCACCATCAAATTGGATTTCATATAATCAACTTTGGATCCACTAAAATAATGAAACCATAATTTCATTCTTAAATGAATTCCTTATTTACATAATTCACAGGATAAGTGTTTTCAAAGCACTAAACAATATAAACAGATGATATAAGCTTTCTTATTATAGGTTAAATTTATTTAATTGAACAATCACTCAACAATTAAAATTAGGTTTTTGATATTTTTATGAGTGTTCCTTGAGTTCAGTTGCTCTAAACCCTATCTATCTATGTATTCTCATAAATTTAAGTGAGAAGGCAAGGAGTTTTACATTAATTTTAAGCTATATATTCTAATTTATATGGAAAATTTGATGAAATAATTTGAAAGAAATATATTAATTGATATTATTTCACTTAAGCATTGTATCAATTGGATATTATGTGAAAATAGCTAATAAAAAAAAAAAAAAAAAAATTATGATTAGAATTAAATTTAAATAAATTTCTTATTAGAAATTGACAAATGAAAAGGATTTTATCTTTACCTCCTTTAAGAATTATATGAAAGTCTCATAATAAGAAATTTCATTAAAGAAAGTTTCATATGTTTTAATATGTTTTCTTTCTTTTTTTGATATTTTTATAAATTAAATCCTCTTAATTATTTAGAAGTATTAGTATTGATTAATATATACTAAAATTGCAGCACCTTAACTTATTTATTATTATTTATAGGCATCATTTAATTAAATAAATTAATGAATTTTAATTTAATTTTAAATAATTGTGATTGTTAATATAACACTTGTTTTGTACATAGTTTTATCTAATATAAGAGCATGTTATATTTTTCAAACAATATCAATAAAGTATGTTTGAAATTATAAATAATTAATGAATGATTCTAAAAAGATTGTTTATAATTTTGTCTAATTGATTTGACCTATCATTCTGGAATGTAGAATTAATAGAAAATACGAAGCGAACTTAGATTTAAAGCAAAATTTATGATTATCTCAATTCTTAGAAAGAATTAATTGTATAAACATTACTTTGAATACAGTAATTTTCATGCAAAATTTTATTCAGTTTTTGGATTATGATTTGAAAAAGTCTGATTCAAAGACGATAATATTAAAAATATGAGTGCGAACTTTCCTTATGCTAATAAATGTCAATTTCATAGATTTTTATATATGAGTTGTAATTAATACACTTCAACTCTGATTCGATTTTGCATAAAAATCATACTCATTCACTAGTTTGCCCTTGATAAGAATTTTCATTGTCATGTTCTGTTATCTTGAATTCGAAATGGGCTTAACGACTGCTGACTTAGGAGGTCTATGTCTCAGAGTATAGAGTATTGTTTTGGCTGTGGAATAATTTAAACTGCATATAGAAGCAGCCTATTGTAATTCAATACATAATAAGTACATCTTTGATTCTTAGCTTTTTATCGAGCACTAGAGAAATTAACTAATTCTTTCTATCTGGAGATATATGACAGTATTTTCTTTTGGATTTTTGAATAGAAGGTTGTATGCCTTTTTGTTATTAACGGGTTTTGACTCTGTAAGTATGTAGTGAAGATAAAGAAGCATCATCGAAATTCATTACGATTCTTGAAATTAGAAGTGTTAAAAAAAGATTTTTTAAATAATTTTCCAAAAGAATAAATTAAGTTATCAACTCGGATACGGAAAATCAAGTCGTAAGTAATGATATAAATGATATTTCGTATTTTCAAGTTTATATTAAACTTCGATTTTTTAAAATAATACTCTTGCAGACCGAAAAAAACTGAATCAATTAAATGAAATTGATAAATATTTATATAAATAAATCACAATTTTGGGTGTTGCCTCTTTTACATTTCCAAAACCTCAAAAACCTACCAATTTATATACTAAATTCAATTTTATTTCTCCGTTCTGATGAAATGGTAAATAAAAATCTAATGAAAATCAATTGAACAAAATTACTTTTTAAAAATATGCTAAAGTACTGTTTAAATATTCGTAACAACTTCCATTAGGTCCTTTAACTATATTCAATCATGTTACACCCATAAAGGGATCAATTCCTCTTGAATTTAGAACCTTATACTTTGTTTTTAAGATCTATGACAACTACTGGGTAAAGCCTGAGATGAAAATAACTTTAAGTTGCTTTTTACCAAAATTTACAATCTTCAACAACATCTCTTTGTATATGCATACTCCTTTTCCTTAGAATGCTCTGACCAATTATTTATTCTGACGTTGGTAACTTATATTATTCAAATTCCAAAGTTTGTATTCAAAAACCAAGATAACTAAAATATGCTCAAAACCTCTAATTCATTGGGCTTATTCAGTTGGTTTTTTTGGAATCCTCAAATATTCAACTACTTGGAGACCAAGTTAATAACACACTTGATAATAACCTACCTTGAATATTTAATTTTTATTCTTTTATTTTTTCAAAATTATTGGGATTAATTATTTTCAAGCTCTGTTAAATAATAAAAGAGTTTTTATTTTTTTTTTCTATCTTTATGACTATTTTGAATAGGTTTCTTGTATTGTTTTCATTTTTGTACTAAGAGGTTCATTATTCCTAATGATCTTAAAGCATAACAAATTCTAATTGAACAAAAACTAATTGTGAAATATTGTTTAATTTATACTTAGCGTTGAGTGGTGGACTAAAAATACTAAATCCAACTTTCAGAATGAGTAAAAAAGATTGATTTTGCCCAAAACATCAATTTTGATCACCTGAAATTTAACCCAAAATACATAAGAAGTCAAGGTACCTTTGGTCTAGTTATATGAAAATCCGATATTCTTTCTGAATAAATTTTAGTTTGATTTCGTAAAGTTTGAGGATAAACACTAATAGGCACAAGTATTAGATAATTCAATCTAAACATTTAAACCATGTGTGGTATAATTAATCTCTTTAATTATGACTTAAGAATTTGGTGCCCAATTTTGAGCCATTTAAAATTGCAAAGGGATTTACTTGTAATATTTAATCTTTTGAAGTTCCCATAATGTCATAAGTATTTTAGAATCTTAAGATCTAAATTTCTTCCATCAGGAATTTTATAATAATATTACTTATTGAATATAATAATCCATTTAATATGACCATAATGAATTAGGTAGGAATACATAGTATATATAAATATAGAGGAGAGGATAAGTGATCATTTAATAAGTCCTTGGTATAATAATGTTATTAAACAGATATTTCAATCAATTTACTAGTGAATCATTTATGTGATGTTATTAATTTATTTCAAATAGTTAAAATATTTTAGACTGAGAAAGTAAACAACGAAAAGAATCTACAATTATAATGAAATCTCATTAAATCAAATGATGCTAAAATACATCAATTGAGAATTTCAAATTGATTGCATTTATATATATAGAGTTGAATTGAGAAATAAGAGATGAGGTTAATTTAGATGATCGATTTAATATTGTAATTATTATATCAAAAACACGTCAATTGTACTGAATATAAGTAAATGCAATACCTTGTGAAAGCCTATCAATTCATAATTCTCTCTGAAACATCTTCTGCACACATTCATACCATATTTTCTAATCAAACCTTATCTGGCAGCGCAAACTCTGCATTCTATGAAATGTCAATTTGAATTACCTCTTGAATCCTTTCCATAAGTTCTGGGGTGAGTTCTGAATAAATGGTTTGGCATAATTTGTTTTATTTTATTTAAATATTTATTAAAATCATATTAAAAAAATCACATTATAATTAGAATTAATATAATAGAATAGATGATATCCATAAACATAGAGACTCCTAATCATACTCGATATTAAGGGATGCTTCACAAAATAGACACAACTGAGAATACAATTTTGTTGCATTCCGTTGTCAACTATGGAAAAGCCAAGAGACCCATCAAACAAATCATATCAGATGCAGAAAAACACAACTATTTTGTACAATTTCCTTTAGAATTTGTCAAAGCAGATACGGTTATAACTACAAATGATGGAAAATCTTATAAGGCTAAATTACAAAAGATAGATCCTTATACTAAATTTCCAATTTTCCAGAATATCTAATTAATATGTAAAGAATGCGAAGAAAGTGAAAGAAAATCTTTTGACTTCAAATCACATAGGGTGATATCGATCAATAAGAAATAGTAGATCAAAATGAAATAATCCCTACACAATTAAAATAAGTCTGTAGATCTCAGATCATCATATCCACCCTGTATCACTAATAATTATAGGTAAATGGCAAAATTTAAAGAATTAATCGAATAGATAGGATATAGACCTAAATTAAAGTGCAAAAATTGAGCCCATGTTTAATTAATCTATATATAATACTCATTTCCATTTTCCAATGACTTCTAAAATGGTTGCTAGTATATCTGCAGAAACCTTCGCAAATCTCTCTGGGTTGCTGAGGATGTCGTTCCTAACTTCAAACAGAGTTCCAACTATGGGTTTAGCAAATGTCAAACACGCACTTGAAAAAGTTACTTAAACATTCATACCAGTCAATAGAATAATTTAAACCTTTTTTTCCAGTATAAGGTTCATTGACTCTACAATCGTATCCTTTATTTTTTAGTATTTGTTGATGTGCCTCTCCGAATTCGTCGAAAAGGCTAGTCAATATGCCTATCTCAACATCTCTCTTTTTTCCCTCATATTCAGGTGTAAAGGAGTGAATTGAGTATATGAACTTAGGTTTCAATTCATGAATAGCTTATCTGACTTCGAAATGATAATTAGAATGGTATTGGATTCTTATCCATTGTTCTTCGAGAGATAAATCTGAAACATTAATTTTGTTCGTTACTTTAATTCAATTCAATTTTTTGGTTATCTCCTGTCTATCTGAAGAGTGATTCTGACTAAATTTGCCTGTTGACATCGCAATAAAGACGACTAAATATTTTCGGATTTTGTACCTGTATTTACTATTCACAAGAGTAGACTCAGTATGATTGGCCAAATATTTCGCCAAATTCAATGCTCTTTAAATAGAGAATTCTTTTACCCTATGTCGACAGCCCAATGAGTGTTTGCGAAATTTCTTTGATCCTCCTCTGACCATTCATGACCTTATGGCAATCTAATTAATTTAATGATTATTTACACATTAGTAGCATGGTCACAAGTGAACAACAATCCGACGTTGTTCCCATATTTTACAACATCTGAATTTTCATATTGTTTATAAATTTGCTTTTGCATTATGAAAAATATAATATTAAACTAAATCTATTTGTAATATATTATTGAATTAAGAATAACAAAAACTTTTTATCAAATTTAATGTCTCTCACAAAAGTACCCATAAATGACAATGAGTATAAATAATCAGGGTCTCAATTTCATCAAAATGATGCTCCCTTGCTTCCGAAGAGGGAATATAAAATGATATCGAAGGAGAAAAAGACTTAGCTGATCCGAACTGTTCTTCTCTAGAAATGCAAAATCAAAAGAGTACTCTATATTAATATATTCCTTTTAGATTGCTAAGGATCTTAACATCAATTATGCTACTGCTAAAACCATACTACATAATTACAGAAAAAAAAATATTCAATTCGACCAAAAAGAACATCTTAAATAGGTGTCCTACTCGAGCACAAGAAAATTCTCAAAATTGAATCTCAAAATAATTCTTAACGATAAAGTAGTAAAGGAACAGGAGTACGTGTTGCCCACCATTTGAAAAATATACACATTTATTATTTATATCCATTTCAACTCAGAAGTTTATCCCAGTCCGCATTTAGAGATGCTGCAAGACTGGAAAAATGATATTTGCCTGATTTTATTATATAAAAAAGAGAGTTCAGTAAATGCTTAATTAAAAATATATAATTTTATAACTATAATAATATAATTGTATTTATTATGGATAGTTATACATTATATAGCATAGTTATACATTATAATTATGCTTTAAAGGTTTTAGAACTTAATTATGCGAATCAGAAGAATTTATTGTGTGAAACTCAATGATAGTTGTCTAATTATGAATTCCCAAAAAATTAAATTAATGTAAAAGTTTTCAAAAAATGTGTGAGTAATAAAATGACCAGAGCGAATAAATGATAGATTTAATTAAAAAAATACATTTTGACACCACCTAAGAATGAGGAAGGAGTCGTTTTGAAAAGCTATCCTTATAAGTTTGATGGGTTAGGCCATAAAAATTAAATTAGTTATTTTTATATTAGCTAGTGTTTCAAAAATGTATTAATATTGGTTAATAAATTAGTAATATTAATTATATATTATACACAACAATAAATTAAGTGAATGACCATTCAGGATTGTGTCATTTCTTTTAGGAAATCAGACTCACAACTATCGTGCATATCAGAATCAGATTTTGATATCTCTGTTTATTTTTAAGTGAGAAAATATTTTTAATCAAAACTTACGATCAATGGTGTTTATTGTTTCATGCAGAGTTCTTAACTGGATCTGTTTGAAAAATGGAACCTTTCACTACTAGTTGAAGCACTTAATTCTGATTGCTAAGTTTCAATTTGCTTTTGATAATCCTTAATAGTAATGCATTAATTGAGTAGACTTTTAATGACATCTTGATGATGTGAAGTCCACTCCTCAATAATGATGAGGGTGATTTTCGATGACAAGATTTCCCTTTTGTATTTTTGAGTCATCTGTATTTCTTAATCAAATTGAGAGAGAATATTGTGAAAGGTATCATCATCAACTTCTGATACAATTTCCTATCTATTGCTTAGAATATCATTTGAGATATTAAAAATAACAGATTGGATTTGAGTTACTTGTTGGAGTAGATTTTTGAATGTTTTGTCCAATTCTTGCTCATGAGTATTTAATAAAGTCATTAACTCATTCTTCTTTTATTCCAGCAAGGTGTAAATATATTTAAATTGATGTTCAATTCTGCATTTCTATTAAGCATAGTGTTTCTTGATGGTTTGGATTTTTGAATTCAAACTCTTTAGACTACTTTGATCTTCCTGAGATATCTCATTGCAAATGCTCAGAAACTCCTCCAGAATTTCGTCTTTATTGAGTGAAGAACATAGACTCTCTTGCACACTCTAATGCATCTACCATTACTTTGACATATTAAAACAAATATTATATATATTAACTGTATATTGTAATACTTGATTGATTGTTAATTTCACTCTCCATCTGAATCAGTTTAATTATTAGAATTGTTGTTGCCTTCCTCCGTATCATTGTCATGATCAGATTGATGTTCAATAACCATTTCGTAACTCTGGTTATTGTACCCTAATATAAATGATAGCAATGGACAATACCAGGTATTTTGTTGTTATTGGATAGAGTGTTAAATGGAGCAAGTCTTTCGTTGTCTAATTCAATGTCCATATTTTAAGGAGCCATTTTACCACTGAAAGTTAAATGAATATAGTCACCCATCACTTTGCTTACAGTTGCAGTAATCCATTAGTTTTAATCACTTTAAATATATGTTAAAATTACTAAAAATCTATCTTGTCATCCACCTTAACATTTTTTTCAGTTAAATCATCATCAGTGTCAAAATCGTCATTTGGTTTGAATGGTTCTTTGGGTAAATTGAGATATTGTAATTTTTTCCAACTCAATAACTTTGCATAGGCTTAAGATGTATTTGGCAAGTAGATATTATGTAATCTGTGCAGACATTTTTATGGAATCTGATTATTGGCAATTAATCTGTCATTAGGATGTGGTTGTGAATTATTGATTTCAATTACCCATTACCAGGATCTTTAATTTTTAATCATCCATTGATGGACTAATTAGTTCTTGGAAACCATCTATAGATATTGAGAATATATATGTACCCTTAAAATGTATTGCTAACATACGTCGGTTTCTAAGAAGTATTGCCCTTGTTTTTGCATTGCATCCAATAACTTAGACATACCTACATTGATCTAAAATTTAATAATGTTATTGTACTCTTTAAACTTAAAGTTGATCCTTCATTTGAAACAATCTTTTCAGAACTACTAAGTACTTTCTATACTCTTTGTATTCCTTGTCGTTTACTTACTTTATGATGGAGGCTATAACAGAATCGCTTTATTTTTGATTATCCATCGAAATAACACTCAAAATATCCGAAATCATTCTGATGGCTAATTTACAATCGCCCTCTTCTAGAAGAAATGATATAAATTGAGTATCGAATTGAAGTAGATTTAACTCCTCTGTACTTAGAAATTGCTTTTACTCTCCTTTTATTAAGTAGGCTATCACTCTCCACATGTACACTCTACTAGTTGAAGGTCCTGAATTCATTGATTTTTCAAATTTCTTCTCCAATAATTCATCGTAATAACTTGAAGCAACATCAACATTTTAATAATTCTATTATCCCAAATAATTACCAGGATCATCAGTAAATTTAATGACTTTAACATCATCCATTCTTTTTACTACTTCCCTTTGAGGTATTAAGGTCTTATTTGAATTAATTTAAAACACATCGATGGCAAGATCCAACAATTTACCAACTAGCTTCTTTAATATCAAGTATTAAGCATTAGATTTGTGCAATTTGGCAAACTTGTAGAAAAGATCATAGAATTCAACTGAATTTTTTAAACTCTTTTTCAACTCAGGTATCATCTAAATCCAAGCATTTATTAAAGAAGCCACCAAAGACTTTGGTTTGTCATCAACAATCTCATATAGATCCTTGTATCCTTCTTGCTATTAAACTGTCTCTATTGCTGTAATTATCATCGAAATTACAAACTTCCTAACCATCTTCTTTGAACAATCAAATTAAAATTCTCTAATATATTATGGCTAATTGAAACATTTTAATAGCCATTACGAAGTGATCGGTGATTTTCTTAATAATTCCTATATATCTAGGATGTTATTTGAAACAAATGTTTTGTCATTTTCCCTCACTGCACATGTCAAATAAAAGTAGACCAGTGTTCTTACGATTTAATCTTAAATCTGTAATTGCTGTAATTAAAACTTAATCAAATTCTGCATAAAAGCAAAATATTCTGGACTAAATATGAATCGTTGTATTTGGAATTTCCTGTTTTCATCCTTGATCTCATCCAAAAATTACACCGTCTTCTAATCCAATTCTACATCTATTTGTTATGTTTATTCAGCAACGTTTACAGGGTTAATTCTTTCGTAAAACAACATATACGCACTTTTGGATTTGTCCTTTAATTGAGGAGGGTACTTAAGCTTCAACATTTTGTCTGCACTCCCAAAAGCATCATTCTTGAGTTCTTGCATGTCTGCTGGAGTAACGATAATGTCGTTGAATTCATACCACTTATTTAAATCATTCTTGTCCTGAATGAACGAATAATAATGTCCACTATCTGCTGAACCCATATGAATTACAACTCCGGTCAATCTATACTAATAATATTCTTAAGGATTGTCTTGTCCATTTGAATTATTTGTCCTATTTTCCTAACTCCTTAATCCCTACTAAGAGTAAGGAAACATATCCAATTCAAATGGGAACTCAATCCTATCGTTGATTTTGGCTTTGGCCATCAAATCGAAATCAAAATTGAATCGCTTCAAAACCAGTATGAGATGATCAGGCAATTTCTTGATGCACATTCTCTTCAAAGCACTGACTTTCTTATTGCATTATTCACAGTTGTAAGCATTCTCTCCTTCAAGCAAATCTCCATGTACTAAAGTTTGCAAACATTCTTCTAAATTCTTCTTATTTGCAACAGGCAATGATATAGCAAAGAAGGGTTCTTCTCTTTCAGAATAGTGAGGACACGTCTTACCAATGATTTCATTAGACATTACACCTCCAAAGAAGCGTTTAACTAAATCTTCATCTGAGGTTGACTTAACATTTAATTCAATTCTATCCATAAGCAAATTACAAAATTCATCCACATCCATCTATTCAAAGATATTTGTTGGATTTCCATCCAGATCCTTAAAAGCATGACAGAACTTCTTTGGGTTATGATATTATTTTTAGGAATGCTTCAAAGCCAAGAATAGACATTTCAATTAATGCAATAGATTCTCCTCTTATACACAAGTGTTCTTGTCTTCTACCTTCAACAATTTCTCTCTAAAGGCTGGAACCATGTATAATTATTAGAGCAAAGAATTCATATAACAAATGCATCCTAAATTATATAATCCTACGTATCCTGTAGATGATTTTTCGTGGAATTTGCTCTATATATTCCAGTCATTTAGGTGTTTAGTTCTCCAGGTGTTTGTAGAGTGTAGAGGGGAAACATTGGTTAAGAATTTATTCATGTTTTATTAATTTTTCAAGAGAGTAGATAGGCAATTGAATCCAGCAGTTCTTGATTGTTGAGACTTACACTTGCATCTAGTTTCGCCTTCATTTTCAAATAAATAACTTAAGATCTACTCAAATAACTAATTATTATTCGACAAATGAGGGAGTTTATCTATAAGCACATTAAGTAGTTTTAATAGGCCTATCAAAATTTAATCTTAATCTTTAACTGTGATTTCATTTTGTGGTAACTACAATAGTTTTTATTTAATGTAGGATAGGAGATCTTCAAATACAAAATTCTCTATATTCAAGTTGTTTTCTTGTAAGAGTAGATTGCAACAAATCTCAAAAAAGTGCTCGCATTTTTATTTGTTATTTGTAATCACATTCTTTAGTACATCACCCAATAGAATTTTAATCAGTAATTTGCTTTCTTGAGTGTTCTTCAAATTCAACAATTAAAGACTGTACTCTTTTTTGAGTTCCTGATTTTCATGTTCCACATAGTAATTATAAAGTTGTTGTTGTAATTCATGATTTTATTTGATGTACTATTTACAACCAGATTCATCCAAGTAAGTAAAGCATCTCCTGAGAAGACGTGTTTCGATTTCATTCATTTCTTTTTGTTGAGGTGTTTTCTTCTAACCTGCCTCCAACTTTTTCTTTGTCTTAATGTAATGGCAGAGTTCTTGCAGGATTTCCAGTATTTTGTGCTTGATTTAATCAATTATTTGAGGTTCCTTAATCTTGATGTTTTAATGACTGAGGATGTCTAAATAAGTTAAACAAGATTTAATCTCAAGTGGGCGTTACTAAAATTGCAAATGTTAACCTAAGAATTTTTGAGTTACCAAATCCACTCCATCAGAATTATTAAATTATTCACACCATTATCCATTTACTAATAATGCTTATATGATTTATAATACATAAAACATATCGAAGAATGAGTGATCCAAGTATTTTTTCCAATCCTTACAATTTTCTACTTACTTTTTTATTTATATATTAGTAGGCAATCTATTAATCAAATCCCAAACCTGACTCAAGAATTCCGTGCTTTCCTATTTGTCAAGCAATTTGAAGAGAATGTCAAAAGTGCGCTGTTCTTGGGAAAGGTAATTTTTAGGATGGTTTTTATTATTGATTCTCGCCTTCACTGCAGCCATTTGATGGAATACTTGATTTACATTAGTCTCTACAATATCAAATAATTATTCAAATTATTTATTATCAACAGTGATGTCTAATTATTAATACGCTACTTATAATTCCTCAGCCAACTTTTATTTCCATTGATTCACTGTTGTTGTATCTCCTTCTTTGTACTCTTTGATTGCAATTTAATTATTTGTGTTTATGATTTAAACCTTAAATTAGGTGTAGTTATTTGGTTTGAGTGATTTCTTTGATGATGGACCACTTTGGAAGTAATTGAATAGGGAGAGTAGTAGATTGATGGATCTGGTGGTTAGACTAGGACACTGTTGTTGGATCAGTTCCAAACACTTATCCATCATTTCCTAATAGATCTTATCGCATTTAGGATCGAGTGTCAGATTGAGTTGAGTGTATAGATTGATTATAAAATTGGCGATTTGATCAAGCAAGACCAGATCCTTTACTTTAGCAAAAATTTACCAGATAGCGTTTTTGCCTTCAAAATTATGATCGTTCACAATGAAGCGGATAGAGTTTCCATAATATTTCAACATCTGTCTATTTTGATTGTAGGATTTGAAAAACACTTAAAATAATTCGAAGTCTTCGATTGTGTAACTAAATTATTGATTAAACACTTTTACTTTTCATAATCATTCCTTTCCGGATTACATAAGACTTAAGTGAAAAACTTAGATTCACCCTCCTTATCAAAATAAGTTTGATTAATTTTAAATGAGGAAATATCTGGATAATAATTACTGATGAGAATTTTATTTAATTCTTTCTTCTGAATTCCTCCCTTTGTTTTAGCAGCCAAAGCATCCCACAACCTGACACTTTGATCATAATTAATCTTTAATTCAGTTTGCTGAAGTAAGTAATTCAACATCTGCAATCTGAAGAACACATTCTGACTGAACTTCTAAACTCCATTGATAATGATGTCTTGAGGCTCTTCATTCTTGAAGTACTATCTCACCTTCTCCATGTAGACCTCAATATCTTTGACGAAGAGTTCAATGATGTTGTACTTGTCATCTGTAGATTGGATCAATTCCCTCTTGCCTTTGTCATCCTTGAATTGCTTGTCAAGGAAATAATGAACCAAACTAATAGCCTAATAGACAGACTTGTGACTGCCGATCAATTCAAAGCATTTTCCAAAGTATTAGGAGATGAACTGCTTTGTCTGTGGAATCTGAGAAATGATCATGCGAGCTGCTTAAAAGCATTGCTCCTGGATATGACTTCCTACCAATTGGTCATCCCTATCCTGAAGCAATTCCCACAATTAATTGAATGTCATAAACCTCCTATCCGGCTTCAATTGTAATTGTTGCTCATGAAATTTCTGGGATAAGGCTGCCTCCGTGAATGTTCTGATCATGCTTACGATGTTCTCATTATACTTATTGTATGGGATGTTCAGAATATGATTGTACAGGTTCTCAATCCCTTGGAATTAGAGAACTGGGGAGATTGCCTTGAAAAACTCGTACAATGCTAATTGAGTGGTCTCATGCTTGTCGTAATTGTTCAACCAGATTTTGTCAACGTAATCGTTGGGGAATACTTGATTTTTGCATAAGAATATAGCCACATCGCTGGATCTCTTTATTAGTTCAGGATGCACTGAATCGCCCAGGAGAGTATAATCTAGAATCCTATTCTAAGTTATCCATTTGATGAGTTCATCTTTATTGGTTGAGTTTTTGATCTTGATTTAACTGTTTGTCTCAAATTTCAACTTCTCCGTAAAGTCTTTGATCTCACTGAGTCCTTTGACTCTCTTCTCGAGGAAGGTGGACTTGAGGAACTTCAATGCCATTTGCAATTGAAGGTCATCCACTAATTTATTTAAATTATCTAAGGAATATCCTTTTAAGAAATAATATTGTAGATCCTATACGATTTCTCTGATCTAATCGATGTCAGTGTCTTTGATGTCTTAAATGGTCAGATTGGCCACTCGAAGCTGGAACCATTCAAAGGTCCTCTTGGCCATATTGCTTTGTTCTTGGGGTGGGAAGTATTATGATAAGTATTGTTAAGTTAGGATGATCTTTTGCATAGCCTTCAGGGGAATGTAAGTATATTCTCCACCCTCCTATGGTTTCAATAGGTTCTCCCAACTTTGAAGACCGCCGATGGAGCGAAAGTACGACATGGTCTTTAAGTAAAAGGACCATGATCGTTTTATGCATTTAATTATATCGCCAGCACCCTGGTAGAGTTTCCAATCCTCTATGTTGGGATTGGTCACGAAGCCTTGGTAGACTGGAACTGGGAAGAACTTATCGATTTATTATTGCAAGAGGTCATGATTTTGCTAATGTAATTGGGTAGAGATACGTAGAAAAAGGAATTCTCTTATTTCAACAGTCTCCAAATGGATCCGAATAACATACAGAATGCTTCGCTTACTTCTTGAATGCAACTTGCTATTGAGGCTCGTTCATCGATGATAAAGAGTTCATTATTGTTCATGTGCCTCATAAACTACTTAAATAGATTGATTTACGTCTGCAAAGTATTTGGGAAATTAATCAAAGTACCACTTAATGAAGTTATAGTAGGTTTTAATGTATTCTAATGCTATGGGGAGTTCCTTTGGCTAGAATTCCGTCGAAAGGACCATGTCCAAATAGATGAACTATCTTACTCGCACACACTGGGTAATTTCAATGGGAGTCATTCCCTGAAAATTCGTTTACATAATTGTTATTAATTCCTTAGTGTATTTCTCACAATCTTCGCGAGAATATTTTAAATAATCACGAGCTGTTTTTTATTGTCTATAGTCATCACCCGTATAATCTTGATTTAGATGATTACTTACTTGTAGTAGATCTCCTCGCAAATTATACTCGATTTTACTATAATTTAATTATCTAGTCAAAGTTTAGAGACAGAAACATACCTCATTTTCCTTTTTTGATAACCCATCATATGTGACTTCAATTTCCTTATCTGTTCTCTACAAAATGTACGCTAACTTAAATTGTTTGCTTCCTTGATGGTAAACATCCACGTAATTCCCAACGAATAACTGCTCACTTAATTCAGGTTTCTTTTTAGTTTTCTTCATGTCCATATTTTATTTAAATTAATATTTATGAATACTCAATAGGATACCACCATTATAATGCAACATCAAATCCCTCAAGACATCTCTCTCACTTTTATCAACAGTGTCCTTCAGCCATCCAACTCTCCAACCATATCATCCAAGCATACCAGGATCATCGAAGTTCCTCCTTATCGAACATTATATATTATATAAATCTAACAACCAACGACCTTGCTGAGGATGATCATAAGCCAAATCGCCAAATTTTATGAATTTACTATGTTATAAAATCTCAAAATCTAATAATAATAAATTTTAATAATGAATAATGACTTCAGACTCATTCTAAATAAAATCAAAGCTACCCAACAAAATACTCTACGCCAAACCTGTCTAGTTTCATTATCCAACTCCCAAATCGAAGAAATCAACAAAACCATACCCCTCTTAAAACAAACTCTGACCATCTATCACAATCACAAAGATTCTTTAATCCTCAATCCTGTCACTCTCATACCCAACCTACTCATCATTCAAAACGAGTACCTGGTCCTTTCCAATTGCACCATCAACAAATTTAAATCGAACCAAGCACAATGCATACAACTCACAAACGGCTTAGGAAACCTACTAATCTTTTTTCTTAGCAATGAACATTACAAACAATGGATAGACAAGTTGAAACAATTCTGCAAACTGTCAAATTTCTCCAAGAAATTTTATGTCAAAGAATAAACTGTTGCCGATTACTACATCATTCAACACAAAAAAACCAATAAATTGTATATTGCCAATATGTCTTCCATCTCGAATGCACAAATGGAACTCTTGAACAGCGAAATGCAAACCCTAAGAAGTGTCAAACACACCTCCCTCCTCGACTTAAAATGGGTGTATCAAGACTGTCGTTTCATCTACTTGATTTACGAGTACTTTCGATGCGAAAAACTCACCACCCTACTCAAACAAGGACTGATCTTGGACTAAACCCAATTGGCATCTGTAAAGAATTGATTTATTTGTAGATCATACTTTAATTACTACAGCTATGCAAATTCTTAAACAAACAATCAATTTATCACGGCAACATCACTCTAAACAATATCTTAATCAACTTACAATCCTCCTACTTGTCAATTTACCCCATCAACATGAAGCCTCTCATCAAAAACGACAAAGACTCCATTGAACAATATAAGCAATCCATTGAACTTCCATATCTGGCTCCGGAGATACTCGAGGGATCCTCCAATCCTTCCATTGACACTGATCTCTATCAAATTGGAGCTGTCCTATATTAGCTAACTTTTTACATTAAATCCGACAAGGACGATGTCAAATAGGATTCAATCAAAATGGAACTCATTAATAAGATGGAAGAATAGTTTATTGAGGCCTCCAAAATTCAGGCCAAGCAAATCAACCTGCAATAGGAATACAAGATGGTCTTTAGTACTTCATAATTAGATTTGCTCAAGAGGCTCTTGGAGAAAAGAGATCAACGAGTGAAATTAGAGGAGGCGATGAAACATCATTGGTTTGTTAATATCAAGTAGAAATTCAAGCCGAAACAAGAAAGAAGAAAATAGCATTTACCATCCTTAAATACCATTATCGAACTTTGTGAATAGAGCGAATCCACCAAGTCATTTTTAAATAACCAGCTAAGGGTTGATGATGAGTAAGGTAGATTTTTATGTATAATTCTCTAGTTCTTGACGAAAATAATTTAATTTAAGAATTTATGTCAGAGTTGAAAAAAAATAATTACTAAAAACCTCCTTCAAGAGAAAATCACGAAAAATTAAAGGATTTCTAGATTTTCAAAACATCGTATGAGCAAGAGAAATCTAATCCCCAAGATCAATTCAAAGTTTCAAAAACTGTAGTTTGATATTTAAATATGTGTCAATTTTATATAAACTCAACACTACGAAGATTCGGATATTAGCCATTAAACTCCTTTTGTGGAAGTGCTGGAGTCCATGAGACGCCCATTTATTGGAAACCACGTGGAGAACCAATAGGATATTGCGAATTCCTGATTAAAGTTATAAGCATATATATTACAGTTTATTATCTTAATTCTCTTTTTAGTTTGATGAATTAAAGAGATTTGTTTATTATAATAGTTGAGAGTTGCCCAAATTTTAATTGAAATCAATATTATAAATTTGGAATTCAGGATTTGCGATCTACATCTAATTACTCTAAATTTTCATAATTTCATTCTAATGAATTGACGAGCTTCGAAGAATATTAAAACCAAATAGATGGGCTTCATATTATTGAAGTTGCTTCATAAACCCAGGATTGGGATTAATGATAGGCCTAAGTTACTGAACATATTTAAATGCCTCATCCAAAGTCATTTTATATGATTTCATCAGATAGGCAATTACAATCGTTGCAGATCGTGAGATTCCAGCATAGCAATGCACTAGAACGTTTGTAAACAATCTATTCTAATCAATAAAATCAATGGCTTATTAAAAATATTAGCTTAAATTAACAAAGTCGGCATCATCTACACGAATGAACTTAGAGCTATTAAGATATGACATTTACCATTGATGAGATGTTTCCATCATAAATATACTCCTATGAACTCATGGTAGTCAAAATAGCACCGATTTTGTAGACACCTAATAAGTTTCCGTTTCCAGCACTTTCTATATTGCCTAAATATAATCCTCCTCTCTAATTCTAGCCTTAAACTATACAATCCATCATATCTAAGATATAATCTGCAATACTTATTTTGATTACACTATAGGGTTGGAACATTAGAATAAAACAGAGAAATTAAAATTACTTTATAAAACCAATTTAAATGCTTATAAAGCTAGATGTATAATGTAATAATTCGCCATATGATATTAAAAAATTAGGTTTATGATTTAATCTTCTTATAATCCCTACTTCAAAATTAGCCTGAAAATATTAGGTTTAACAATGAAGACATAACTTATAAATTAATTTATATAAATCAGGAAATATAATTAAGGAGAACAAGGAATTACATGTTTTTGATTATTATGAATAATTTCCAAAATTACTATGTTATTCTTTGAGATCAATATTAAGGGTAGGTTAGTAATGTGATTAAAGTCGTATCACGAGGTTAAAACAAGAGATTTATTGTTTTTCTGTTAAAATTTGTATAGGACTAAAATCAGGGGAAGTATGAGCCTTATTATGTATTTAGGTCTTGAACAGTAAATTCTAATGATATTATGTCCAAGTTACTTGGTTGAGTTTGGTTTTTAAGTTGAATGAGATACTTAAAACTTACATAATCATGACACTTATGAAATTATTATGTTTATTATATTAATCATTGTACCATTATTACAGCAGTCTTCCTAATCTATACAATTGTAAATTATCGTTGCAATAAATAACTTCTCTTTTAATTGTGATAATCATATCTCAAATTATGTAATAATATAAAACCAATATTTAAGAGAAATTATAATCTACTCTTTTAACCTTTACAAGAATAACTGGTACAGATTTAACATCGTGAAAAACACAAAAATTTTAATTAAATAATCACTTTTTAATGGAATTGCCAAATAAAATTTGCATTCTTACACAAATTGAAATTTTAAAAGAATAAGTCACCTACCCTTATTGATTTAAAGGAACTAAACTTAAACACCTTTAAAAAGAGTCTATCTCCATAAGGACGAAAATGTGAGGTTATTTTATCTGATTATTTTATAATTATTGTCATATCAATCACTAAGAGCTACGATTACAGGAACCTTTGGATCAAATCTATCTTTCCCTTTCAAATCTTTTAGTTCAATTACAAAAACATATCCAACAGTATTACCTTGAGCTTTATGGATTAGTTCATTTGCTGCTACTGCTGTTCCTCCGGTTGCTAAACTTATCCAAATTTTATACCTAATAAATCGTCACAAATTAAAATTTTAGATCCTGGCTCAAAAGCATCTGCTTGAATTTCAATTATATCACTGCCGTACTCCAATTTATATTCTAAAGATATCTTCTCTCCTGGCAATTTGTTCTTCTTACGAATTGGAATGAAACCTTTGTTCAATCTCTATGATAATAATATCCCAAATAGAAATCCTCTTGATTCTAATCCTGCAATATAATCAAATTCAAAGTTGATTTTTCCAGCGAAATACTCTATTACTTTGTTTAAGGCTTCAATGTTTTTTAATAGGGGACAGATGTCTCTAAAATTTATACCAGGTTTAGGATAATTTGGGATACATCGAACTATTTTATCGACCAATTATGAAATTTCTAATTCCATTGAAATAATTTATGGGTAAAAATGTTATTAAATAGAGTTATATAATACCAAACATGTGAATTTTTCTGATGAATTCAAAAAAGAATATCATTGTATCTACTCATCTTTGATAATATTACTTATTATTTCAATAACAATAGTGCATATTATTGCCTATTATCAAGATATTATGTTATAGTATAAGTTAGTGATTATAATTTTAAGGAAATACATCATATTTTTGTAATAGAAAGGATGGATTTTATTGTACATTTACAACTCTTTAATGGATAAATATAATAGGGTTATTGTGATATTTAGATGTTGATAAATCAATTTTTATTAGTTTATATTAAGAGTTGGTTAAAATTGCTCCCAAAGGTTTCATCAATATCTGGATTGATCTAATTTTGAATTAAAAGGTAATGTCATTCAACTAATCGAAATGAGGATAGAAATAATTTTAGAGCAAGAACCTAAGCAGCATAAAGAAACAAGTTTTAATCATTTTTAATTCAAATGCTTGTTAAATGAAATAAAGAAAAACTTTTTCTCATAATATTAGAAATCTCCCACTCATTAAGTGTGAACCTTTTCCTTCTAATGATTAGTTAACTTGATAAATTCGTTTAACATTTAAAATAAAATAAATTAGATATTTCATAGGTGAATGTTTAAGAACCAGGTTCACATTCAAATATTTAGTTTATATAAAAGTGGATTTATAAGGTTAAGCATTGTTTGATTAGTATAATATTTCTTATTATAAAATAATTTAAATGATAATTTAATTAAATTTAATTTATTTAACAATCAAGATATGAAATAATATATTGATATGAGAAAAGAAGAATAATTATTCTTTAAAATCACATATATATGAACATTATCATTTAATTTCACATCTCTTTATATACTATCTCTTATTTTCAAAGTCATTAATAATGAACTTAAGACATGATTAATTCAATTATCCATAATAACCCAATTGACCATTCTTTGTAATCTGTTTGTTTTAATCAATTTCAAGATTGAATGATGTGAATCCGTCTGTGATAATTGGATTATTAGTATTTTATACAGATGAAACCATTGATTTAGCACAATTTGAATTCACCCACTCATTAGTTAGACTAATAACGACACTTACACTTTTACTGGAAGTCAGCTTTTCATGTAAGGTTAATTTGTAATTTATCTGTCTGTTAGATTCCTTGCATTCAATTTCAATCAAATCATTGCAACAATGTTTGAAGATATCCTCTTAGCTGAGATGTTAAAATGGATTCAAAATACCAATGATTCCATTATATAAGTTTTTCCAAATCACCTTCAAATCCGGATTGGTTAATTAATTTAATGGTAATTTTCTAAGTTTCAGAGCTTAAGCATAATACTCACAATCTTCATTAAGAATTTCATTAAATTATCCATCTATTAAAATCTAAGATTATAATTCTAGACTTATTAAGAAATCTTTCTTTGCAATTTAAATGCTTAAAAAACAACTATCCTATAAATCGTATATTTCATTGATACTCTCATTATTGCATTTATATTTGCTGACAAATTGACATTGCTAAATTACAGTTCTTTATCTTATTGATATTAATCTATTCAATTTTATTTCTCTTTAGTACAAGGCATCATTATACGATAGAAATAGATTCAATGATATTTTCTTAATGAGATGAGTCTTGTGAGGAATCTTTGGGATTTAGAAGTGCATCAAATTATTTTGATTTACCATTTAAAAATCACTCAGTAGAATATTCACAGAACTAAATCCGTCTAAACAGAAGTTCTAGATTATTTATTTATATTCATATATAGGAGGATCTTCAGATTCAATAATTATTTCAAAGGCAAGATTTTATATACATTTTTCAGCTTTATTCTTAATTATAAATTAGTAAGTAAACAATTCACTAGGATCAAAATAAACAGCCTCTACTTCATTAATTAATGTAGAATCCCTGTATATTTATGCCTAGACATATGGGATATCTTCTATTATTTGGATATTATGCAGATTATAAAGGGATTGTTCCTATTTTTAGTTTTCTGGGGATAGAAGTGCAGAAAAGCCAAATTAATTGATTTTATGAATGTATTCATAGTTTAAATATTGAACTTTAATTCCAACTATTTTAAAGGAACCTACAGATTGAGGTCTAATCGAAAAGGTGATAGGCCAATTTTTAGTATTGGCTGGCAAATTAATTCCTTTAGGGTAAGTAATACAATCACAACCCTCTATTTATAAAACCAATTTATCTAATTAAAAGTCGAAGGAATATTCATTGGAAATGTACAATACTAATTCAATAATTGAATTGAGAGGGTATTTCAATTCATTTTTTGCATCCTTATTTGCCCAAGGATTCACAATAAATATATCCTAACTTGCAGATTCTGTCTTAACTTCTTTATTGATCAAACTAAACTTTTCTTTGAAAGGTTATATTTCAAATCTTTCTATTTTTGGTATCATTAGCAAATAGTTTTATTTTAATTCATGCTTAACAGAGTCTTACTTTAAGATTTAGAGCATAAGTTCTAATTGTTGTTAAGTAAAATCTGCTTTGAACATTTGTATTCTTTAAATCTATGTGTTGTGTTAGAAATATGGTCTAATAACATAATAATGAATACATTCCTTAAAAATTATGTTAGATCTCCTGCACAAAATTATGCTAAAGAGAAGTCCAAAATATAGTACTTGACTCATCAGAAAAGTAAGAATTAAGGCCATACATAGAACTGGATATTTTAGAAAGTTCTAAAGCCATTGATTTATTGATTGTAGCCAATTAGAAACTGGCTAAGCGAATGAAATAAGCTTGTTTTCTTTTCATTTGTATCTGACCATAAAGATCTGAAACAAACAGATAAAATTTGCACTTTTCAATTGGGGATTCAGGATCAAAGGTTTTTGTGAATAAATCAATAGTCTTATTCAGTCCTAGTTTATCATTAGAGGCCTTTCGATAATGCATTAATTTAAAAAAGCACTCGATTTCCAAATTGATGAACTTAGTCTTTTTAAGAGCTGTAAGTGATTCTCTAAAATGTTCCTCGATTTCGTCAAAGGAAGATTTAGATGCTGCCAAATGCTATTATATAATCCCACACCAGAGATAATCATTGTTTTTATTCAAATTGTCTAAGGCTTACTTGTAATAATCAATGGCATCTTACGGATCATTGATCATGAGTGCCAGATCACCCATTATTTTGATTTGCCTACCTTGTTTTCTCTTTTTCAATTTGGATTGATCACTAATCTTTTCCTCTTTCATATTAAACAAAACAATTTAGGATTGATCATTTCTTTTATTAATTAAATAGTAATACTTCAATCTCAGGATTTCTGATGCAAAATGCTCAATGATTTAGCATAAATATAATTGCAATTGATCTTCTAAATAGTATACCATTTTATCATCACTAAGTGGGGGAATGATAATGAAAGTTTGTTCTTACTCTATATTTTAGAAAGAATTCACTCCACAATTTAATAACATAAATCTAATCAATTTTTCATCATTGACTTTTCTTTTTTACTTATTAATCTCATCAATAGGTATCAGCCCTTCTTGTAGATCAATAACGTAAAACATCAAAAAAGGCTTCCTAATATGATTACCTTAATATCTACATATAAATCATTAACTCTGGCCAATCAGCTTAAAGTTCCTAATCTATTACGCTTATTGCAACATGGTCACTATTCCAATCTTTTTTAGAAAATACTCCCATAGTATTTTTGTACAATTGATTTTGATAAAAGTTGCTAAAGTATATCTTTTGAGGCATGGCTTAGAAAATTTTGATCATCCTATCAAGCTAATCTTATGTTGTCTCTCCTAACCTTTTACATAACAACTTGACTGATTTCATTTCTTCTAAAGTGCGTTCAAATGCATTCATTTTAAAACAATATAAAATTTATTATATATTAAAAAGCGACAAAGAATCATAACCAATAAAATATAAACTTCAAAGTACAAAACCTTTAATATAATTTCAATGATTAGGCAATTGCTGCTGAATTAGCTTTATTAAGTTTTCCTAATGACTCTTATCAATCTTATTTTTCTCTATGAATTAGGAGGCTAATTTTTCTGCAGTATCATTTTAATTTACGACAATTCTCTCCTTTTTGTTGTTATCAATAATAACATCTATGAACATTAATGGTTGCCTATGACCCAACTCTTGTTCATAGATTTATTCTTCTAACTATTATCTCTTTTTGGAATTACAGGTTCCTTACTTAATAATTGCCTAGCTCAATTATCTTTGAACTCTTCCCTTTATCATCCTTTCAATCGCCACATTGCTATTTGCTGGCTTTGTCTAAACAACTGCAAGCTTGCTTTTTACAGTGTTGGGTATAAACAGAGGTGTATTATTTTAGACCTGATTTCCTTAATCATTGGACTTCTGTGGTTTGGATTATAGATATTTTGATTTCACTTGAGCATCATTTATTTATGGATTAAAGGTGCATTACTCTTAGTTGATTTTCTCTTATTCTTCAATTAATTTCTATTTCTTTTTGTTGTATAATTAGTCGTAATCATTTAGAGTGATATTTTGATGTTAAATTTCTGAAGCCACTCTTTTTCTATGTTAAATTGCCAACACTTAAGTTTATTTATTAGTCTTAAAAGACGTATTTACATCTTATTACAAATCTCTATTTTTTTTATAAGCCAAATGATTCACATTTAATATACCATATTTCTATAGTAATAGATCTGGGTTGTAGACTCTTAAGTTTCCATTGATAAACTGTGTTATTCCGTTGTTATATTAAATAGGGAACTTAATTTTGTATTAATTTTCATAATTTGGAATTTATTCGATTTCGTTATGATAACCTTATACGCATAATAAGAAACACAGTAAATTTCTGGACAATATCAAATCAAAATCAGTAGGACATTGTAAATGTTGAAATATTTCAAATTATAATGGTTTATTATCCAATGGAACAAATCCTAAATTATCCAAAATCTAACACAGTTCATTTAGGGTAATCAAACACAAATCGCTTTCAATTTAAAATTAGAATGAAAATTATTGGTTGTATTTTAAATCATCCAATGTGTCACACCTTGCCATTGTCAACACTTTATAGAACTCTCGAACAAAATAATGTATAACTAATTTTTCATTGTGACTTCCTCGTAAAGAACCTAAAATTTAGTTACTATCATTTTGTTATTTCTATTTCTTTGGCTAAAAGGCTTAATTATATAATCTATTAACTATTTCGTTTATTTTAGTTTGATCTATTCTCTCTTGATTTGGTTATTCTAGAACGATTGGATTTGAAACCTATAATTGAACACTTTACTTATTCTGACTAAGTCTCTCCCAGAGATTCTCTTTGTTGGATTTCCTCTTATTTCTTTATTTCGGGGATTGCTACGTCTACAAAGTCTCTGTCTAATCATTGAAGTAAATTTTCTTAGGTGACATATAACGAGGTTGTGACATATCTTGAGACCTCATTTCAATGCTCTTTTGACTAATTCTTGGCTTGAATGAACATTGTTGCAACTGATGCTATTCATAACTATTTCTTAATTAATTCCTTCTTTGTATTAATTCTTGATATTCTTAATTTAATTTATTGTGAAGATTTTGTTTTTGAGTCAAAATTCTTGGATTTAGTAAGTGGTTTTGATTTAATTCTTTTTCATGTAAAAAATTATTTTATTAGCTTACAGGATAAAATTAATCCTCATTATTATTGTCAGTGAGGAGCACGGACTTCTCGGTTAAGGGTGTGATTGGACTATCACCTAATAATGATTTCATTTATTAACAGAAAAAATATTATTAATAAATTATTTTAATTAAACAACTCAAATATGAATTCAATCAAACTGTTGATTAATTATAATGGATTCTTTTTCACTTTACTTAATCATTTTACAATATATTGCTTAATTACTCAATTCTGGGTTTAAAAATAAAATTATTATTAATACCTTTTGGGAGAAGAGATTATTTTTTAATTTATTGGTTTTTCTTGAGTTATCTAAAATTCTTGAAGATATTGGATTTGATTATAGTATGTACTGAAAACTATGACTATTATCATTATGATACTGAGAGATGAATTAGAAATAAGTTATAGAATCAAATCTAAAGAAAAACTTGTAAATATATAAATAAATAACGAGATATGAAATAATTTTGATTTGATTGCCAAATAAGTCTACAGAAATCTGTTAAAGAATTTAATTAAATCAATTTATCAATTTATGGCTTAATTATCAAAAAACAATAAATGTATTTTGTAAACATAAGGTAAAATATGATATTCTTCTAGAAAGAAGATTACTAAAACTTAATAAGCTACAGTATTATTCTTTTTCCAAGTTTATGTGATTATATTATAGATAATTATCTCTAAATTTTCTATGGGAAATCATTGTTATCAATAACTTAATACTCACTTTGAGTTATCCAAATTTTGATATTGAATATTTATACTCTTATTGGTCAACCTTAATTTGTTCCATAGGATTATCAATATAGAATTATTCATTATAATTATAATATTAATTTAATAATGGTAAAACTTTAAAACAAACCAAATAGGAAATCTAAAAAAGCTCTCCAACTCAAAAAACTTTCTGAATAAGTACCTTAGTAGAAATATTAATAATATTAATAAGAAGAACTATTGTTATTTGAAAATGATAATTAAAATGAAAGTGAATAATCTGTCAAATAAGAGTAATCGAATTAAAAAAAAGAAGAAGAAGATTACGCTGATCAGCCTTTGGACCAAGAAGGAGATTTAGCTTAATGGGCAGATGAATTCGATGAAAAAATATAAGTGGATTTGAGTAAATAGACAAAATTGAGAAAACTTATAAAAAATGGACAAAATCTAGTTACAGGAAAGGAATATTAAAAAAAATTAAGAGAATTTTATAAAAGCTCCCAATAAAATAATGAATTCTTAAGTTGGGCCCAATCTAAATAGCAAATTAAATAAGAAAAAGATAAATTTGATCAAACCTAATTGAATGCCAATTTAAAAGAATTATTGTCCTAAAATATCTAAAATCAACCAACCAAAAGTAGTTTGCTTCCAAATAGAATTATCTAGATTGAATAAGCAGGAATTATTAAAGCGAAAATAAACACAGTTATTTAATCAATTAGTTTTCATAAGAAATTACCAATATTTGCAGAAGGAGGGTTTGATAAGTTGATTAGGATTTATCAATTCAATCCAAACAAATAGATTCAAGTAAATAGTTTTTTCAATTATAGCTTATCAAATCGATCGGATTAGAGAAGTTTCCAATATGTAAATTGCAATTTATGAATGAAAACAATAACATAATAGTAGCATCCCCATTCAAAACATATCTGATTGAAGTTGACATCAATTCTTAAAAGTATAAGAGAATATAGTCTACTTTATTTGCTAAGCATTTCAATTAATCTGGGAAATATAATAGATAAATAGAATTTACAATTAGTGAAGATGACAAATACATAGCACTATTTAATGAATCTGGTTACATACACATTTTAAGTGGAGATAGTAAAATTCTTTTGAATGAGTTCAAATAGAATGAGGCATGTAAAGCTGTTACATTTGCTGATGAATTTCTAATATCAGCAGGTCAGGGTGGTAAGATCTACTAATGGTCCTTGTAAAAATAATAAATATATAATGTTTTTCATAATCCAGGAGGATTTGAAGTGAATTGCTTAGATTTTAAATTAGATCTATTGGCAGTCGGCAGTAGAACCGGTATTGTGAATGTCTTTAAATTAAATTCTGCTACAAAGTTATTCAACAAAGATCCAATAAAGGAAATATAGAATTTAACCACAAGTGTAAATGAAGTTTAATTTAATAAATTTTGTGAAATCTTATGCATAAGCTCGAAATGGAAAGATTCAGCTTTAAAATTAGTTCACGTTGATACTTTTACAGTATTTGAAAATTGGCCAACTGTCACCACATGTCTGAAAGTAAATATTCAAATAATAATTAGAAAATCTCAGCAATAGGAATAAGTAATGATTCCAGATTCTTGGTGATAGGAAATGAGGATGGAGAACTGAGGGCTTTTCGTTTGCTACATTATTGATATTATTGTATATTAAGAACCATTAATTGAATAAATGATATTTAAATGTTTAATTTAAAAATTAATATGTTTGGTATAATTACATATACTGATCATGCTCTTTAATCTGTTGTTAAGAATTTTGCATACAATAAAGTATCCTTTTAAATATCCATGGTGACCATAGCATATATTATACCAATCAAGACTATAACAAAGAAAACTCCAAACCAAACATAAATTTGATAAGTGGTTGCATTCATGACGTATCCAGAAGAATTAGTTTACTAATAAATAATTCAGAACATAATACAGTAACTTAATTTAACATTCTTGTTCTTGTCTCCATTAAAATTCTTTAAACTTTTGCTGATTCCTTAGTTGTTGTCAATTGAGGATTCTTTTCTTCTTCAACTAAAATGAGACCGAATAATTCTTCGTTTTCAAAAGTATTTCTTAAGTTTTTAGAGAGCTTAAAATCATTTTAATATTACTTTTTTATGGGCAATTCTCATCATATCATAGACCATCTCTATTTCTGATTCTTTCATGAGTTTTTCTAGTTTTGCAATAGATTTATTTATAATTGATAACATGTTGGGTTAATTAGCTGATTAGATAATAGAATAAGATTACATTTTTTAAAGAGTGTAGATAGTTTATTCATAGCACACACATCTTTTAAGAACCCAATGATTTATTCTTCATTGTCTTAAGTAATTTCGATCATTTCATTTGTGTTGTATTTATAAATTTTCTTCTCATTAGGTGCATAATCAAAGGTTGTTCCGAAGAAATTGTCAACACATTTTTCTAAACTTGAATCTACTTTATATGATTTATCTTTGTTTGGTTCATAGAAATAAACTTCATTCTATATAATAAGTTTATATTTTTACATTTTTGCCTAAATAAAGAGTGATTGTCCATTATAAATAATTAATATCCAAGTTGTCCTCATTTTGATAGATTTTGAATCCCAAGTTATTTTGGTTGTACATTTTTTAGGCTTTCTTAATTAATGAATCATCTAAAGTGGGATTCAAATGATTACCTTGTTAACCAAAAAGTGATTCCAAAAGGGATTTTGGATCTTTGTCCATTACTTTAAAGCTCTAAGAGAATCCCTCGGTTATTCTCTGTTATTTTAATTCTTATCCTTAATACAATTTCTCGCTCTCAATGAGAATCAAATAGTTCATGTCGGTTGGTGATAAGATATTGCCTTTGCCAAATGTTCTAATTGACGTAGAAATATATACTTTATCAATTATTCAAAGACCTTTTGCTAGTCAGCAGAAATGTGTTCGACTAATCCAATATTGTATTTTATCAATTAAGCAATTTGTTTTTGATTCAGGCCTTCTAATTCATTTACATTGTTGCTATTGAATGGGTATATATAAGCATGTGATGCCAAAGCAGATGCAACTATGAAAGATCAAAATTTTGATACCACAAACGACGAAAAGAAGAGCTTTCATAATTTTATTTAATAAAATTTATGAATGATTGCTAATATTGTTATTTATAAGCCTTTTTGAATTGTTAATTCCTAATATATATATTAATAAATTTTATCTGTTAACTCCAATGAGTTACGATATTTCCCAATAGTTCATCGAATTTCGTAAGCAAATTATGAACAAAACCTTGGCCACTCCAGTGACCAACAACAGCAAAATACAAACTGTATCAACGCCATCAAAGAAACAAGAATTTTCAGTTGACATCCTCAAATCATCGATCTGCAAAAACGCTAAACGTCTCAAAGTTAAATCTGCTATATCAAGTATGAACATTATCTATTACTCTCAGATATTCCTTTGAGTCCCAATAAACAAAAAGCATAATCTCCAATCAAGAAATAGCCTTTCAAAAGTCCGTAAAGATTGAATCAGAATTAACCAATCAGGAGTCCAAACAAATAACTATACAGCAGCACATCCAAAAGTTAACAGTCTTAACTGAACACTTTTCAATTGCCACAATCTTATAGATAATCAGATTATGTCGATCAATAAAGTCAAATCAAGTTGTACTCTTCCAAATACCAGAAAATTATGAATGAAGAACAAGGACTTTATTATAGTCAATTGCAAACTAAATTAGATCAACTTTCGTAGATTATTGGTAATCAAGATGATCGACAAAGAAACCTACTTGAAATCGACAACATGATTAATCAATCCAAACAGATCAATGCAAAATCTAGGGTCTAAAAACATGTCGATAGTTTGCAATTTGAAAGCAAGGCATTGCAAAGCGATCTAAACACTATTAAAAATAAAATATCAAGATTTTCTGATTTTACTGATAATTGATATATAAGTTATATATGAGATCATTGAATTTAAGATAAACACCATTATACTAGTTGCATAGTTTCAGACCATCGATCTTCCTAATTTCGACAACCCAAAATTACTATTGTAAATGATCTGTTATTTGACTGATAATAACTTGCCAAACAAGGACCTGCTACTGAAGTATTGCCAGTTTTTATTCCTCGAAATCCTTAGTAAAGCAATTTGTTTGTGTTTTCCCACATAACATCCCTTGTAAATCCTTTAAAATTATTTATTCGCAATGATACCTTCTTCATCTTAAATAGTACAGAAATGAATCTTTGTATTTACAACCTTTTTAAAGAAATCATCTTTTAATAATTAATTGCAAAGTTTTGCGACATCATATGCTGAAGATAGATTATTTTTATTGTTTAATCCATGTGGATTTGCATAAGTAGTTTGAGTCATTCTTAATTCTCTTGCTTTGTTATTCATTTCCTGAATAAAATATATGATTGGATTATTTCCTTTAATTTTATTTTAATACATAGCATAAATTCCAAAATTTTCAGCAAATGTCATAGCTGCATCGTTGCCTGATGGTAACATTAATCCATAAAATAAATCATCTATTGATAGTATGTCTCCTTTGAGCAAATTAGCAGTCGTGCCTCCTACTAAACTTGCTTATAAACTAACTTCAGCATATGTATTATTAGTTTAAACATTCATAGTCTTGCACATACTCAAAACAACATAGAATGTCATTATTTTTGTGATCGAAGCTATCTCCCTTCTTTAATTCTCGTTGTAAGCATATAAAACATCCCCAGAATTTGAATCTACTACAATCCAAGATTTAGCAGTCAATCTTGGAGCAAGACTTTTTTCATCTGTCCCAATCAAATAAACTGTCTTTATTTGTTACAACCTCTGAGATTATCTTTCCTCCTCTGATTTTGGCTTCCATCTAATATGATTCGAATTCATATAATATAAAATATTTATACACAATAAGATAAATATATTTTATAATTTTCACCAAACTTTTCAATTTTACTACACTTCCCTCTTCCATTTTATTTTTCCAGTTCCAAAATAGGAAAGTAACTTATTGTATGAAAATTTTCGTATTTGTAAAATTCAGAATTATTTAAGTTATTCAGAAGGTAATTTATTTTAGAATAAATTTGAAACTAATACAAATATTATTTAGATTATTTTTCACTTTTCTAAAAATCCAATGGCCTAATACTTGAATAATCAATAGATACAAATATTAGAATTGTTTCTTTCTAATCATAAGGTATAATATAGGTAATTAGCTTCATTCTAATTAGCAACAGTAATTTATAATCCTTATTATTTAATATTTTCAAAGAATATGTTTAAAAAGAAAGCGAAAGATAAAATATGAGAGTAATGCTTAAATAGTAATTAGATTAAGAAAATAATCTTGGTGGATTGTTTTATTAATTAATATTTGTTTTGATAATGTCGGAAAATAATATTAATTCAAATCATAATAATATTTCGCATCATCATAATTAAAGAAGATCACCGTCACCATATAATCCTAGAAGATTTGATAAATTAGCAAGGGAAGAATGCAGGAATAATGTATCAGTTGGTTTATATTGAATAATAGGCTTAAATAATGGAAGGAAGAAATCCAGATAGATGGAGATTAGATGCTGTTGGTAATCCAGTTTGTAAAGCCTTAAACAGTTGCAGAGGATCATTATGTTATCAATTCGATCATATTGTGCCATATTCTAAAGGTGGAGAAAGTATTAGCATAAATTGTTAATTATTGTAATCATTTGTCAACATATACAAATCAAATAAAGAAAATATTTCAAAGGATGAGTTGAAGCATGTTTCTCCTTAATTAAAATTCACTCCTGTATAATTTGATGCTATAGAGTATGCTATATATGGTTGACATTGGAGGGAAGTCTGTTTGTTTGTTTTTACTTTTTTTTACATTTTTATTTAACTGTTTTGTTTGTAAAAATAATTGTCTATTTCTATAAATGCCTTGTTGTTTTAAAATTACAGTAAAATTTATTCATTTTCTTGTCTTACTACTATTGTTTTCCCATCCCGATTTTCTTTTTGTCTCATATCGATTCTATCGATGTTTTCTATCATGATGTTTTCTGTTATATAATTAATTATATATTTTAACTTAGAACTGTCACTTGAACTATGTCTCCTCTTTCTGGATTGTGATCTTGATCTCCTGCCTTTGTTTCTGCTTCCATTCTCATCTACATTAGGTTTACTATCTCAATACATTTATTATTATAATTATGATGATAATGGCTATGATAGGAGTTTTGATTTCTTTCAATTGATTTTTCTGATCTTTCATGAATTTTGCTGCTATTAATTTCAACAGTGCTGATATTAATATCTTGATAGTTTTTTTCTTGGATTAATAAAAAGATCATTTACTTCCACTCAATTGTTTATCAGACCTATCTTTTTCCTTATCTATTTTCTCACTTTTTTCTTTCTCAATTTTCTCTAGTCTTTCTTTTTCCATTCTCTCTTGTTTCTCTTATCTTTCCAATCTCTCTTATTTCTCAACTCTTTCAATCTTTTCCTGAACTTCCTTATCAATTTCTTATTGTAGAATAAGTTTCATTTATTTTTCAGTGTCATAGTTGATAGAGAGAGGATTCACAAATTCTGACAAATTCGAGAGTTAAGGCACTTTCTTACCATCTTCATTCACTAATATGATTTCTGGTTAAGACAATTTTCTCTCAAAAAAGTATCTAACTATAGAAATTCTGGTCTTTACTTATTAAAAATGTCTACCAAACCTTAGGATTATTTTAAATCGTCACAATAGATCACTCCATATTTACATCCTTCGACTATGATAAATCCATCACTTATACATTCAAATAACTCTTCAACTCTTAATGATCGTATGTCTATTTAATATTTGTCATTCCTTCTTTCATACACAATACTCTCTATTTTCTCCTTATAAAATTAAACAGGTAGAAATCTTAGGATAATTTTATATTAGATTTTAATGTCTCTGATTTTTCTTAAAATTCCAACCTTTGGAAGATAGAGGATTATTTATTACTTGAAAATTCTCCCCAAGATATTTCTTGTGTTTTGGTTAATTTTTATTCATATTATAATAAAAAAATTAGGCTGATTTATCCTCATTTATTCTTATAACATATGCTTGTTCTCCTGCCAAATATACCTTCTAGACTTCTTCAAAATTAATAAAATGATAATCTTTGAATCTATAAATAATTTTAATAACATAAATAAATTTACTTTTCCTTTAAATACTTTTTAATAGCATGCTTATCTTGACATGCTTCAAGTGAAGAATCATAATAAAAGAGAATTATATCTTTTTAGTTTTGCCACTCCAAAGGGATTCTAAGATTTATTTAAAAATTTAAAACTTCTCGTATTTTCCTGTTTTTGTGGGTTCTAAAATTCGAATTTCATAGCAATTAGAATTAAGAACAGAATTACATATATCACGAATTGATAATTTTGTACCTATGAATTCTATTTTAGCTTAATATTGATCATCATCACAAGGACTAGAATCACCAGACGAAAACTCGCACATGGCCTTAGATGGCGATGGTGGCTGACTTGGAGACCAGACTACGCGAAACTCCTTCTCGTGTGTATTTAGATGTTTCAAGTCGTAGGTTGAGAGTTTTTACCTAAAATAAACAATCGCCTGACGTGTTATAGTATAAAGTATATAATCAATATTTTCAAAATATCTGTGTAAATTCAAACCTGCTGATTCTTTTCCATTGAGGATAATTTAGTCTCTTAATTAAATGCTTGCTCAATTCCAAACTCGTTACACCCTTTTCCGCTATCTCAATCATTTTAATTATATTTAAATTTAATATATGCTTTTAGATATTCAAAATTCTTTCTAATATTTTCCTCAATAAAATTATTATAAATATATCATTTTATTTAATATCCCTTCTTCCTCTCCCCTTAAAACATTGACAACTGAGTCTTCAGAGATTCTATCTCCTAAGTATATTGATTCAGTTTCTCCTTCAAAGCCTGCTACAAACCCCTCATATGATCAATCTCTTCGTCCCTCATCTAACAAACTGACTTCCACTTCTCAACCTACAAAATGTAATCCTAAATATTCTAATCAAATTTATAATCATTTTCAATCTAAAATCTAATCTCACTCTCTATCGACATTCTTAATTCCCTCTCCAGTTTTACTCTTAACTCCGACTCAAACTTCATTCTCTACTGATTGAACTGCTATTCAATCTGCAATCTCATTTAATACTGTTCCTTTTTCAACTGCTCCAATTATTGATCTTTTGCAACAACTTGCTTCTTCAATTCAAAAATGTCATACATCAAAGCATCCACATCAATCACTGGTTTTATTTGTTTCTACAAAATTAAAATCTACTACTCATATTTTAGTCTCAATTCGGTTTCTATCTATAATTTCTACTGCTTTTCAACTTGGATTTACTTTCTCAATTCCTCCCTCTCAAAATTATACCTTTCAGTTATCTATCTTATCTCCTGCTCCACTCTTAATTTGATGTTCTTCTCCGATTGGAATTTCTACTCTAAATACTCCTGTCTCTCAATTTCATACTGCTTCTCTTTTTGAACCAATTGCTTCTTTAGTTCAAATATCTCATACATCAATGCATCCACGTCAATATTTACCTACTTACTTTACAAGACTTCATACTCCCGAAGAATCTCTTAGTATTTGAATTAAAACTCCTAAATTTACTATTACTTATTCTGTTAATCCTTTTTGAAAATATCAATCTGCTATATCAGCATTTCTATTTCTCGTTTCATCATTATTTCCTACTATTAAAATGAACTCAAATCCTATTAGAATTGACTTATCTATATATTTAAATGTTCTATTTAATCCTTGTAAGCATTAATGTTAGTTATGTAAACTTGAAGTTGTGATTTTACTTAATTTTTATCTTTCTCACTCTCCTCTAATTTAATTCTTATAATGTCGTATTCCTATCTAAACTTTTCCAAATCATTCTTTTAATTAGAGGCCAATTGCAATTAAGATCTTAGAGATAGGTGTTCCCTATCTTGTTCCTCTACGTTTATTTTTAATTAGGAATATTCAACCTTTATTCTGTCAAATTCTCCTTTCTAATTATTTAAGATTTACAATTATTATCTTAAACTAATTGTTTCTCTATCAAGTTGCTCATACTTTTATTTAAAGTTTTCATATTCTCTTCTTATATTTTCTAATTCTACCTTTGTATTATTTAAAATCAGTATCTATTATTTTAATCCTTGTCTCTCTCTATCAGACTCTTCTAATTTCATAAGAGATTAATTCCTTTCCTATTCCAACATTTATACTTGTGATTTAAATTATTGTAGTTGTTGTCGAAGTATATCCATCTCATTTCTTAATTGCGACTTCTCTCTTTCTTACTCTTATAGTCTTATCTGTAAAGCATCATAATCTTTTTTAATGAGATCGTATTAAGTTCTCTATTGTTCCAAAATTATTATCTATTAACGAGTAGCATCTGCCTCTTTTTCTAATCTAGCTATCTTAAATTGATAATTTTGATTGTCCTTTTCTAAATCATTGATTCTATATCTCAGTTTATCTAACTCCTATAAATTTAACTTTAATTATTATCTTTCTCTTTCCAATTCTGAACACTTTATCTACCATCTTTCTAATTCCTTTTTCACTAATAAATTTTCATTATCATTATCTTAGTAGTCTTTTATTGTGGATCTCAGAAAATTGATTTCGTTTTCGTAAGTTTTACATTTCAAAATCCAGGTTTACATTTCTGATTTGAGTGCATCAAATTCTGTATTGAACTAAATTGTTATTTGTTTTTTAGAAATGATCAATTAGTTGTTAACTTCTTCAAGTTTATATCTTAATTACTCATAGTCTTTTTTAACTATTTCATTTTCTTGAATTATAAAATTATATTTATTTTGTAATTCTGCATATTGCATTTTGTACATGTTTGCTTCTTATAATTATTTCTCCAATTAACTTATTTTGAATTAATAATTGGCATCTAAATTATTGTATTTATTCTCCAATTCCAAATATTGAGTTTTATAAATATTAGCATCTGCTAATTATTTTTCTAACCACACCATCTTCTATTACATATTATTATATTCTTCTAATTTGATCCTTAATAATTCATAGTCTTTTCTTAAATTCTCATATTTGCTTTACAATTCTATAAATTGTGATTTGTAGAGATTGGAATCAGCCAATTATTTTTCTAATTGAATAATTCGATATTCAAAATCCTTTCTCTCCTTCTCCATCGTAATTATCAAATCAATCTTCTAATTTTATTGTTGAAGTTTAATCTACAATTCTTGTATTAATTTATCCTTTTTATTAATTTCAATCTATTAATATTAAATCTAGTCCAAAAGTTCTTTAATTTTGGCTTTCAACTAGTTGCTTTCATTTAAAGCATAGTTTTATGATTATAAATCGTTCTGTGCTTATTAAAATTTAAAAGTCAACTATTAATTTGTATTTCTTAAATTATTAAGCTCATCATTTAATTGTTAATTCTGATATTTAAGTTTTTCTAATTCTGAATTTGCTTATTAATTTTACCTATTTTCTATCATTAATAATTATGATTTATATTGATCCAAATCTTATTTGTTTTTTACATCCTATTATTTGTAATACTCTAATTCTCTCTACAATTAAATTAATTCTTAATTCAATTCATCGAAATCCTATAATTACTTCTAAGAAGTCTTGAAAGATAATTGCAATGCAGTGTAATTCTCATTCATTTAATTCAATTATTATCTCAATCTCTAAGTATCTGCCAATTGATCCTACAGTTCTCGAATTTGCTTTTCCAAATTAATAATTTTCTATTTATCATGTTCTTGAACCATATTTAATTGGCTGTTTAATTATTCATTTTGATATTTCTTTTATTCATATTATTGTAATAAATTATTATATTTGTTAGTTAAGTCATACATTTATCTCTATAATTAATCTAATTGCTACTATTATTCATCAATTCTTCTAGTATATTAATCTATACGATGTTTATCCTTTTCCATTAAAGATATTTAATTTTGTAATTCCCTACATCTATTTTGCAATTGAGTATTTCCTTATTCTAATTCAATTAAGTATTATTGATTTCTATTTACTTCCTCTTCTATCTATTATCTTTTTCTTAATATTTACTATTCATTCTAACTCAATTATTGTTTAAGCAGTTAAATCTCTTATAATAAAGCTTCCCTTTCATTCTACCATTTTTATTGTTCTCTTAATAATTGATCTTTAATTTGAATATTAATTGTGTTTCTCTAATCTGAAAGTATTTTATCACGCTCTTAACTCATATCCTCCAATTGCTTTTAATATTGTTTTTATAATTGTAACAACTACTACTATAATTATGCATTCTATTCTTTCAATATCATGTTCTCATTATTATTCCCTTGAGCTGCTTTATTGATCTACATAATATAATTATCCTCCTTTGACATTAAATCTCGAATCTGCATCTCCAGTTATCTAATTTTGGCAAGATATTATTAGTTTTCCTATTAATAATGATATGACTCTTCTTGAACGTATTTTGATTTATCGTTAAGTGATCGCAATCTATAGACCTCTTGTTGTAGATTTCTCAAATCATTGTTCAGTCCATCAATTGTATGTTTCATTCTCTAATTATCTTATTACAAATTCTGTTCTTATGACAATCCTCGATGTTTAATATCATTGAATCCTTATAACAATTATTCGTTATCTCTTTTTGCCTTATCCAAATCAAGGTTCAAGCGATCAATTATTTATTTCTATCGCTAGATTTCTTCCTCATATTCTTTGACTGATTAATTCATTTAATCAAGAGCCTTCTTCATTTGCTAATTATCCTTGAATATTTGTTGAAATTCTGGCACTTTAAATTTGATTGATTATTACAATACCTTTTTAATTCAGATAATGAAGCTAAGCCTATAGTTATTAGATCTCTTATTTTAAAGCCTCATTTTCTCTATCTACTTAATAGCAATCATGAGATGATTGCTATGGATTTTCTTTTTTTGCCTTACAAAATGAACAAGGACATGCAAATTAGCTTGATTATCATTATTAAAATACTGCTGCATCAAGATATCCTTATAATTATACAAATAAATTATATTTATTAAGAATCGAATTAAAATTGAATTAAAGGATATTCAACTTAAACAATGAATAAAATATCCAATATCTCTGCCTTACAAATATAGAATAATAGAACTAACTAAAGGTAGGAAATAACAATAGAGGTTCAATCAAATACAGTTCCTTTTACCTTGATTTAATAATTAATTGAGAAGTCAATAGAAGAGGATCAATGACAAGAAGATACAGAAAAACTCTTAATGATTGTTGTAAATTGTTTTAATATTCTTCTCCATTACACAATAGTATGTATTATAAACAAATCGCATAATACTGTAAACAATTTTACTGAATCTAAGATTTTACTCTTTTTAGATTAAATTTCAATAGGAAGTGGAATACTCATTAAAAATTAAACAGAATTAAATTCTAAAAATCAAAGAAAACTTTACAAAAGTAAGTTTATTATTTTTTATTAACTGTTTTCAAGATATGGATATATATATTAATTATCCGTATCATGAATAAGGTTCTCATGCAATTCTTTTACAAATTAAATTAGAATCTACAAAGTTAACTCAACAAATATTTACATTACAGATTTTTAGTAGTGTTGTTTATCCATGAAGTTATTTTAATGTGAAATCATTAAAATTAATATGTTTTTATTCTATATAATTACTTTCATCTTAATAAAAAATAATTCTACTATATTAATGATGAAAAAATTATTAAATAATAAATGAATATTAATACTTTTGGATTGATTTTAAATGAAAATAAAACACAGTCTAATATTTCATTTTGTTAACAAATGACTTCCAATGACCCCTTAGTCTATTGCTCTAACAATCTTATTCATATAATTCATTTGCTGTCTTTTGATTTCACTGAGTCCAGTAGTAAATTGTAAAGCTTCACATGGTAATGCATATTACAAATTTCCAATTCCTTAAGTATTCTATACATTATTTTGTAAGTTTCGACATTAATTTAAACTCTTTAAGATTTATATATTGCTTCGTATCTCCCTTAATTCTTACAACAATATTTATTTTTTCGAACTTATATCCTGAGTGTCATTTTATTAAAGTTTTGTCTCCTCTAATTTGATTGTGGACTTGCATTTAGGGCAAAATTAATTTTAATTACCTGAGATCCATGTTTTTAAGCAACTGCTATGGAAAACATGACCACATGATAGTAATTTCCCTTTTTCTAATTCATTAAGACAGATTAAACATGTGGAATCATGAGATTCATTTTTTTCTACATCTTAAATCCTATTTATCATTCTCACTAGCTTAATCTGATTATAAACGGCTTTTATTTTTTTATACAAAGCAACCAAATTTCCAATAATATCTACGAGTAAAATGAGCAAAAATCCTTATGTGTTTAACACTTGTTGAAAGAGGATAATTTATACAATTAATTTTAATATTTTTGATAAGACTTCTAATGCAGAAAAGACAGTTTGCTTTGATTCGAATTAGGAATAGGTTAGAATTTCAAAGAGATTCATTAAATATTTTATTACTGGCAGAACCATTCGAATTGGCAAAAGTGCAAATTCAAAACTAAACAATAGGTCTTAAAATTTCTCCTCTGCTCCATAAAAAAAATAGAGACTTATCTAACTAAAATAATTCTAATTTGCTACTTTGATATCAATATAAAATAGTATGATGAATGTCATCAACAATTTGACATGATCACTAAAATTTAATGAGGATTCTGCAATCAAAAATCCAGCTCTTTTTTTTGAAATCCAATGAATTATTGATAGTGCTATCAGCCATAGTATTAAAACTAAAAAGGTTTGTGATCATTTTTACATATAAATTGCCAATCTAATGACACGTAAAAGAAGAATAATAAATATGCTACTTCCAATATTTTCCTCTTTGTCTTATCAATCACAGTCTATTCATTAGTAATAATAAATTCATACTATTTTTTCGACATCCTTTATTTTTCCGAACATAATTTTTAAGAACATCATTATCAAAATGGAAATAAACATTATGGCACAATTTACTAATATTGTTCTATTTATTTTATTTGTGCTCAGGTATAAGACTGATGGGTAAAATTGCTTATAGGCACTGAAAGAGTTGTAAACTGCTCCTACTGTAAGGGCAATGCTGAAAAAAGAGTAAAACTTTAACATTCTTAATATTATTAATAATACACATCATTCAAACTTAATATTATGCATAGAATATTCTAATGTTTCTTTCAAAATTGTCATCCAATAATAATGTTGATGATGGTAATAATAGCATATACCTTTTCACCAAATTATATTCCTCTGAATAATACTTATGAAAAATAAAATACTAAAGGAAAAATAGGAACAATTGGAACACCAACAGAAAAACGCTTAAGCCAACAATTTAATCCATATGGGAATTAGTAGCTTATAATAGAGCCTCCTTTAGAGAGGATACCAAGTCAATCATACCTTTAACCATAATGTACATACCCTCTGCCTCATATTTAAAATATTGTCTAATCGAAGTAAAATTATTCAGAGCATATGTTACCTTATATTGATTTGCTACATACATCAAACCTTGGCTGAGACCCATATCCAAAGCTCCATCAAAAGATCTCGAACAATAAAAAGCGTAGTCATTATATTGATCTCCAGTAAAAAACTTACAAACCGAATTTTTTGTAATTAAATTTAGTTTATCAATGAAAGTTTACGTTGTTAAATAATCTTCCTAATTGAATTGTTATACATGTTCATCAAATAATTTAAGATTATCAATACCATTAAATAGTCGAGCTGTCATTCTTGGTTTTTCCTTCACATCTAAACTGTATATTACCCACCAATATAAGAATTGTCTTTACGAAAACATACCAGGTAATTAAAAGCAAAGATCTCCTGTAAATTTATAAAAGTCAGCTGTATTCACATACTTATATAGATAATTATTGGTTTATAATTGGATTAACAAGGAAGGAATAAAGAAGACTGAAAACACGAATGAAATTCCAACAAGCCCATAAATTGTAGAGAGCTTATCGTAATTTTGATAATTCTTTTTCTTTTTTAAATCATGTATTATTTTAGATTCCTTTTTGTATTTTTCAGCCATCATGAATTTCTCTTTTTGTTCCAAATCAAACTGATATTTGAATATGACATCTGAATTCTTAGTCAAAATATTTATTAAAATTTTATATCTCTCCATATCTCTATTCACCCAAACTTCATCAATGAATTTAAAAAGATTTAGAAAGCTTTCATAATTTTGCAGGTACACTTTATAATTATAATAGGTAGCTATCATAAATAATGCATCCAATACTAAAAAAGGGATCCAGATAGATTGCCAATTATCTTAAACTATTTGCTTTCTTTCCTTAGTGTACTCTAAAATATCATTAGTCATGTTATCAAATTTATCATGCAAATCCAAATAATTAAAATAGGGATAAGCAGAAAATGCTTAATTTGTTAATGAGGTTTTTTGTAAATATGCAATTTTAAATTGATATTAATATTGTAGTAACACATTTAAAGTTTCTCTGAACGAAAGTGTTTTTATTTCCATCGAAGTTGAATTTTCTTTCATGAATTAGACATCAAATTCTTAATCAGTGAAGAAATCCAACAATTAAGGATTCGAGAATTATTCTAAGAAATTCTTCTTCATATCATCATATCCCTCTCCCAAATGATTAGATAACCAATTAGTTAATACATTATATTCAGCTGCAGTCATTTGACTTGGAACCTATACTTAATAGTAAACAGTGGAAAATCTTAATGCTAAAAATACATCAAAAGGAGTCATAAAACTATAACTAAACAAAAGCATATCTACTTCTTAAATGAATCTATTGAAGTCTATGTTCAAGTTCTATAAAATAATTATACTATAAGTAGAAATTAAAATCAGTTGAATAAAGAAGAAAATGTGACAAAATTTATAAGAGATAGGTCTAAAAGAGCTATCTATAATTCCATTGATTAATTCGTACTTTTTATAGAATAAGGATTTCTTTAAACCTATCAATGAAGAAACTTAAGAAGCAGCATCATCAATTTATTAATTAGGTTGATTTTTCTGATCAATTTCCAATTGTAATTACATTTTGATGTTCTCTCTCATCTCTTTATCAATTTTATTTAAGTCAACGTCATATAATTGATTCACATCCTTCATCTAATTTTGGAATCCCTCACTTATTTTACTATTAGATTAATCCAGTTCCTATATCTCCTAATTAAAGAACTTCTGTTATCCAAACGATTTACTTGTATCTATCAGCTTACGAATACTTTGATTTGGAGTAATATCGATGGCATTATGATCTATAATTTTATGATTCTCAAATGATTATTCATTGAAAGTTTGATTCAATTTAATTAAATTTTCAGCAAAGGATTATTTATTAATTATTAAATTTTAAGCCATCTCTACATGTATTTAATGATTCTAAAATGAATTATTATCAAAGTCCTATTTAATTTCAGAAAAGGATTGTTAAAAAATATTTAAGGACTATGGTTTATTTATTTCTGCTTCTGGTTACGATACTTCTAGATCACTGACTTCAATTTCATTAGTATTATCAAATTAGGTTGTCAATCCTTTTCCTTCTGAATTAGATACATGGGATAATGTCTAATTCTACCTTAAGTCTTCTATTTCAATTATATGATAATAATATCCAAATAGTTCTTTACTTGAAATAATTATGGTCCCTCTATATATTGTTATATTCTCAAGGTGTTTCCACATTTCATGATATGATAAATTCGTACGAGATTCCTATCCAGTCAATAGTTTTTTATTAAGTAATTTAATTTACACATTATAAAATTTATTGTCTTTTGAGGAAATTTTTAATTCCTCAAAATCAGGTATTATACAATTGATATTCACTTAATATTAAGTAGTAATGAATTTTTAGTTTTCCTTAATTTCTGAAGCCTTCCAGCCTGATCTTTCCAATAGATTCGCTGTTATACCACCACATACTCCATTAACATCAACCATGATGAAACTATTCCCAAGAGAAACTTCCTCAAAAAATGCAGCAAATGATAAATTTTCTGTTTAATTCAATACTATATCAATAATTAAATTAAATGGCTTTAAGAATCCATTTTATAATTCAAGAAAACTTATATCAATATTTCTAAAGTATTTGCATTTGCCATCATTTATAAATCTTTACACTAACATATAATGTTCATTTCTTATTGCTTGAGGTAATAGTAAATCAATATTCTTATTTAATTTTGTAAAATCTTCATAACTTTATAATAAAAACTAATGAGTATTATTACTAAACGTGGATATCTTTAATGTTTGTAAGTTATCTGATAAATACAAGATCATATGAACTACATTTTTACCAAACAAATTAATTTTCAAATTCTTTTTCATGTTAATTAGTTTATCATCAGCAATTGTACTGAAATTTGATAGTTTAAATGCTGATAAATAATTATTAAGGATTTCTGATTGAAAGAAGCAATTAATTGATTGAATCTTCTGACTAGGGAATTGTGAATATTAGAATAATAGTTCTTTCTCTAATTTATAAAATGAATTCGATATTATTTTTGCATTATCAAACAATTATTGAGATCGCAATCCCTTTTTATTGAGAATCATATTATAAAATTGGAATTTTTATTACAAACATTTTAGGATTTTATGTTTGACAATCTAATTTTGCTATTCACTTTACAAATACAATTCTATGGCTTCAGCAATTTCCTCTTGTTATTTTGTTTGTTGTTTTAAGAAATTATTCTGTAATTCTAATTTAATATCCTTACTTATAATTTTCAATTTTATTTGAGAAAGTAAATCCAAGATGTTGCTCCTAATATTTAATTTAATTTTTTATTGTTTTTCAATAGATTTAGCATTAATCTCTTACAATTTGGCTTGATTAGCTTTATTCTAAGATTCAGAAGATTATGACGGAATGCTCTATTAATGGCTTTAAGAAATGGAATTAATATCACTATGACTCAAAAATCCCCTATTTTGGTGTATAGATAATGATAATAAACGATTGCATTCTTAAAAAGCTAAGGTGGTGAATCCGAAATGATTTAATGCACTAACATAAAATACACAAGTATTATAAGAGGAAACATCTCTCTTTTAGTTTAATTCCTTGTTCCAATGTTTAATTTTTTAGATAATAAATTTCTTCTGTAACTTTTATGATAAAAATAGAACATTCTTCGGATCCTCAGTATAATTCTCAGTAAAATTACAATGGCAATTTTAATCACTGCATTTCTGACGATGTTGAAATAATAAAATAGCTTGTGAAACTTAATCTATCTTTTCCAAACTCCTTTGTTTATTATTAATTTAATAGGATATATAATGTATTATTTTTTAGACATTTTTTTCGACTCGTATACTTTGATATAAATCACTTATAACTCGAAAACGATACGCCCAACTAACAGAAATACCAAGTGGAATTAAAATTAATCCTAATTGCCAATAATAAAGTAGAGAAGTAGCAACTATTGCAAAAATACTTATGTGAGCAACTAAAACAATCTAAGTAAAGACTTCAATAATGATGGATTTATCGACAATCACATTGAGAATGTAAGTTACGCTAACAAGCAATGTTAAAATTCCCTATATAATTTGAGCCTTCTCAAAATCAGTTATGATTCCAAACAGAATTAATTATATTAGTATAAATATTTCTCTCAAAAAATCAAACTTGGTAAAGTATAACCTTTCGTATCCTTTAATTGTTAAGTCTAAACAAGTGTTACTTACATAGAGTTTTATCATTTAATTGATTATTGTAATAATTACAGTGATTATACTTAAAATTGAGACATCTATGTTTATGATTCCTTCAGAAACTCCAAATGATGTAAATGATAGGACTTGAGCTGGAATATAAAGGTAAATTATAAATATTTGAGAATATATTGATGTAAAGTTTATGACCATATTTTAAAAAGACCCCGAAATTGTAATTTAACTGCTTTGATTTTCATAGTGTTTCTTATTCATTATTTAATATATAACTTATCCCTACAAAACTAAAATGTCGAAAAATAGCCAACAAATTAAGGGTAGTAGAAACAATTATTTATCTTCAATGCCAATCATCTAATTATCAATCCAAATTAAATCAGGTCTTATGAAGTATATTAATAGAAATTAATTATATAGTTTGTTGGAAGCAATATAACAGGGATATATGTAGAAAAAGGCACTCTGCAATTATCCTAAAATAAAAAAAACATATTTTAGAGTCTAATACATAATATACTACTTTTAATGTATAACTATTAGTAATCTTAGGTTTGTTTGAATGTATTTTCTTAGGAAATTTTGTTCTTTTTATTTTTTCATTATTCTCTAAATTAGAAATTTGAATTTTAATAATTTGGGTTCGATTATTAATTTATAGCATATTAATACTCAATTGAAGCTAAGTTGCCATCCTGTTGAAAAAAAATGGTATCGTATTCATGTAGAACCAATTCTTTATTTTCAAAGAAGTGTGCAACGATTTTAGTTTAGAAATTGAAAATAAATATAGGGAATGGGTTTTATATAATTGTTGGACTTCACTAATTTAATGAAACTTCCTAATTGCAATTTTAATCTTTTCTTTTTAATTAATTTTCATTTTCAACAATAATTAAATAATTTTATTAAAATATCGATTATGATGCTTAGCATTAATTTTCATTAAGAATAGTGAAGAGAAATCTTCTCTTTTTTATTTGGTAATTTGAAAATTAGAATAAGGATGTATATTGCCATAAAATATATTTAATTTAGACAAACACTCTAAATAAAATGATATTTTATTTGATATTTATATGAAATACACAGAAATAAAAATTATTAATAATTTTAAGCAAATACATGTCAGAAAATATCTAGAACAGGGTTTCATCAATTTTCGAAAAGCTTAATAACATCTCAACAAGTGTTCAGGACGAGTATTTAGTTTTTTTATATTTCATAGAAAAAATAATCGATTCCATGCTATAAGTCAATTAATCATGGCATTTGAAGCTCAATTATAACATCAATCTGACTAAAAGGAGGAGAAGTTTGCTTATATTGCCCAGAAAGTAAGACAATTAACAGAATTTTTGGAATAAGAGCAAGAAGAGTATAGATGTTATTAACTATTTTAGTCGTGAAAGATAAGAAAGTGAAACCTTTAAATTGATAACAGATCTTGAAAGACATGCTAGAAGATTGATCGAATAGAATTCCAAAGACAGAGTGGAACAAGAAAAAAAGATAGTCTATACTATAGGATAATAAATAGAAAGCTTACAATAAGAAGTTGTAAAAGAAGGATTGGTATATCATTATATTATATTTAGGCTCAATCCACATCTCATGAATATATTGATTCTTATTTGAATGAAGATCTACCAAAAATAGCCGATGAATTATAAAATGAGATAACAGAAAGAAAAGACGTTGAAGAAAAAATATATCACTAATTTGTAGAATAATTAAATGACTTAAGAGAATTATTTGAAAGGTACTAATTATATTTAAATAATATAGAGAAAAGAAAGAGAGAGAAGCTAAAGAGGAAGAAATCGTAGAAAGTTTGAGAGAAATCTCTGGAAGAATCTAAGAATAACTCAAAAAAACTAGAACTGAAAGAGAGAAAACTGAAGAAACCTTAGTCTAATTAGTCGAAAAAGTCATTGAAAAGCTTAAGAGAGAAATGTTAGAAATGAACTTATGATATTATCATCAAATATTATTTTATAATTTATTTTTGATTATCTAGTTCTAATAAATACTTATAAGAAGATATTAATTTTCTTATATAAAACTATTAGATTATCGTTAAAAATTTCAATCTTATTTTATTTTATCTTATTGGTTTTGTTATATAGATATACAACGAGTATTTAACCATTCAAAGGTTATTAGATATGCTTACTAATTTAAATCAAACATATCCATTTTTTCTTGAAATTAAACTCTCAATCCTGATGGTTTTATATAACCTATATTATTTTTCTTTATGATATCTTCTGATTAAGAAAAGATATTATCAAATTTCTAAAGAATTTCAATTGATTAGTTATTACTATTATTAATTCATGATTTATAAGCTAGTTGCTTAACTGCAACACTCTAATCTAAATGTATTTTATTATAGAAGAAAGATAGATATTAAATTATGATAGAATGAGCTTTATTAAAATAGATTTAATTCTTGTTCAGTCACTCCATAAAAAATCTATGATTCATTAATTGAATTTTATTAAAATTAATTTATAATATAATCAAATTCTTAATAAACACTTTAGTAATTTTTATTATTGTAAAAATACCTTATAATCAACTTATTTTGAATAATTAATGTATCTAATTTCGCCTTCATAATTCCATTCATTATTTGATTATTAATAAATATTATCTTAATTAATGTCTATCAATATCCTCAATATCATTATTTAATTTCTATTTTTCTTTTACTAATTTTCTATTATATTAGTATCTCTTGAATTATCATTTAACCAGACATCTATATATAAAGATATACACAAATAAATATATTCACAGTATTATTTCTAAATTTAAGATAAGTATTATTCTAAATTTTAATATACCCCTTACAAAATTAATTAGTTTTAGAATTTAGTTTGTTATCTAAAACACTCTATCTATTTTCCATAATCAAGATAGTAAAAAAGCATAATATTTATATCAATTTTAATAATATTAAATAGTATTATTATTAAATAAATTATTAGGGTCTAGTCTATTTATAATTGTTATACTGAAGGTTGATATTAAGACTACTTTTGATTATTTAAGAAATTCTTCTTGAATATATTTATAAATGAAAAAATTAACAATATCCTCAAAACTGAATTGAAGAATTAATAATGCAAATGTTGATTAAATGTGTAGTTAAAAGATTTTTTAATAGAAATCCTCGTTATTTTATATTAGAATATACTTTAAATATTAACGACTAAGTGATTTATAAATATATTATTTAATATTTTGCTTGCAAATGATAAAGTCAGTTATTGGTAATAAGGAGAACTAATTTCATCGTATCCACTAGTAAAGAGCAGCCAGAAAAATTGTAAAGAATTGAAAATATTTCAGATAAACAAAGTTGGGAAGTCAACACTTAATCAATCACCCATTAGGAAGAGAGTGGAAAATATAGCTTAATAAAATTTAGAAGCGCTGAGTTCCTATCAAACTTTGTTCGATAATTAATAAAGAATTGATTTGTGTAACAATTTTGATTATGAAAGTAAAGCAACATAATAGTAAAATCAATTTTACTCAATAAGAGATAGTGGGTTGGGATGATGAGAATTAAACTTGTGAGAAACCACAGAAGTTAACAACAGATCAGAGTGTTTAGACAAGTATTAGTTAAGAAAAAGCAAGAAAATCCTTCTCTCAATAAACTTAGAGAATTAAGACAATTCCAAGGATGATAGAGGTGAGGCAAAAAACATCAAAGACACCTCTCAGAACTACCAAGATCACAAGTCCTATGATTGAATATCCAACGATGCAGAAGTTCAAATTGTTCTTCGATAAGAATGTTTATAAATAGGGAATTCCTTAATTGATTATATGCGATAGACCTTTGAATACTATAGATGGGTTGAATTGTATTAGTTTCAATAATTTTACATCGAAGCACGTGAATCACAGAAGAAATCAGAGTTTGTGTGTTGGCAATAAAATCAATAGAATGGAAATCATCAAAGATGTTACTCACAATCAATGAGTTGTGATTATAGATACTTACACAATTAGTTTTTGTATTTTGCATTTTTTTAACTCTTAACAAGATGTTTGTCTTGCAAAATTTATTAATTAAATATTATAATAATTAAATTTTGATGTCGTAAACAATTAGAAATTCAGATGAATGCTAACTTACTTTTGAACTTGTTGAAAATGTATACTATAATTTAAATCAAGATAATTAACTATTATTAGAAAATCAATCCTCAAGATGACAAGAAAGAAATCAACAGCTAATTTTATAAAGTCGAAGAGGCCTCTGTTTGTTTCAAAGTCATATGTCATTATATGGATTAATTGACAATTGAACATGAGGAATTATTAAATTAATATTAAAATTTAGAATAACAATTAATTTCAAAAGAAGCTGAAGCCAGAAGACATATTTAGATTGAATAGCAATTAAAACTCTACGCTGAAAGTTTATTAGAGAATTCTGAAGAAAGTTAAAAATAGATGGACAGTTTAAATTCTTAAATTATAGTACATATATTAAATATAAGTCAATTTAAAAAGAAAATATTAGCCTAAAATAACAATTGAGAGCAAATAAAAATGAGAGAGTGCAAACAGATGCTAGTCAGGAGAGACTTATAACTTTAATCTCCCAATAGAAATCATTAATTAATGAAATTCCATTCAAAAACTCCAAAAAAAGATCTTTAGAATCATAAAAGTATAAATTTATTAATGCTTTAGATTTAGAATATCATAAACTCAAAATAATGACAGAATGTAAATGATTTGTAATATATATTAAAAAAAACCATCTCTTCAGCTTAAATAAAGATCAAACACTATTCATGTAACAGATTTTCCATCAAAATTTTAAAAGTTATAGAAATAAAGAACTAACATTTGATAATATAATTATGTATTTGTAATATATGGAGATTTATTTTAGAATTGAGTTTAATTTTAGTCAATCAAACAAATGAAATCAGTTAATGTGTTTCAGATATTTAGTTAAATTATATAATCAAATCCATTTAAGCCTCTTGCCGTTACACCATTCTCCCTTCCTTTGTTGCCCTGTCGAACTAGTATATTCCCCTATTCCATGCATTTTTCCGTTTAACCACTAGCCTGAATAGCATCGAGAATCAGCTTAATAATTGAACATAAAAGTACGCCATGTGATAATTCCGAATCCATGTTTTTTATCATCCAAATATGATCCTTCATATCGAGTTCCATCTTACCAAATCATTACACCTTTTCCATTCATTTTACTGGCTTCCCACAGACCGATATATTATTTAGTATTCGGCCAGGTGTATTTACTAGAAAAAATAGATTAAAATTTACCCCTTTCCTGAAAAATAGTTATTGTGAAAATGGCCTTCATATAATGATCCATCTGGAAATTAAAAATTTCCTTCACCAAATTTTTTACCATTTTGAAATTATCCTTTAAATATTGAAGAATCTTTGAAATATTCCTCACCATACCCATGTTGTTTATCCTTTACCCAATTTCCTTTGTATTTTGTTCCATCTGAATGATAGTACTCTCCATATCCGTGAACTAAAATTACAGATATTATTACGTTAATCGTCTAACCATTCACCCACATAATAATCTCCGTCTGGATATATCATTCTACCTTTACCATTAGATCTTCCTTTAACGAAATAGCCTTCATAGAATGCTCCGTTCTTCATTATCTATGCGCCTAAAAGTATTAGTTGTTGTTACCTTTTCCTTCTCTTAAGCCTTCAATCCAAGTGCCTTGATACAAGGATCCATTTTTTAGCTCATAAACTCCATAAAAGTAACCTTCTCTTTCTTCGAGATCCAAAGGTGGTAATTCGTTCTATAATTCCTATGATATTAAGGTTAACCTTTTACTCTAACTTTTTCTGATATCGTTTCAAAAATTTTGGTTGTTTCCCAAGCTTCTGCCTTATTAGGCCTATGCAATTCTAGCTCTTCCAAATCTTCCATTTATTTTGTTTTGGCTTGTGAAAATGCCTTGTCTGCTTCCAAAGGGTGGGTCGCCTAGCTTGCATTAATCTATTCTTCTGTAATCATCAATGGCTTCTGATACAAGTTTAGGGGAGGAATCTCACTTGTGATAGGAATTTATTCTTGACATGAACATTACCCCATTTATGATTAAATAATTTCTCTAATTACGGGACGATACAAATAATAATAATCAATAAACTATTATAATTTACTGTTCCTAAATAAATATATATAATTTTAATGTCTTTAGCCAAATTCATACAATACATTGAAATAGGCTTTTTGAATGAATTTTGGAATGCTCTCAGACCAGAATCACAAGTAAGATTTCATCTCCAATAATGCCTTAGGTATTCTATGATCGCGGAAATTAAATTTTCATTTTCAGAGAATTAACTCAAATATTTATAATCTCCAAAAATCAACTACAAACAGTGGTGCGAATTAAGATCCCACATATTGGAATGATCTACAGCATGAATGTCCAATAGGATTTGTTATATGTTGCATATTAAACTTCTGAAAACCAATTGGTAATTTGTTCTCAAGAAATGCTTAGTACTTGTTTTCGACAAAAGCAAATAGGCACTTCAATTACATAGTTCAAACAGAGAAGAATTCATAAATTATATAATTTGAATGGGCCAAAGGTTGTATGGGACTATTCGATATATTGGTGGTCGAAAATCATGGAATACATCTCCTTAAAATAGATGATTAAGTGAGGAGAGTCAAGTTTCTTTAACAAAAGATCAGTTGGTGTTGGTATGAACCAAGGAATGAGGTGCTGGCAACCTGTAGTACTCATCATAATGGTTTGATATCTACCTACTACTTCAAGGAAAAGCGAAAAGATTTCAAATTCAAAGGACAGGATTTTTATTTAGAAGATTTCGAACCAAAAGAAGGTACTTCAGCCTTTGCTTCTCTATTTAAATCCAAAAAAACAGACACCTAACTATTTAGTGCTCCCACCGACAAGAAAAACAAGGATTTAAGTTAAGACGAATAACAATCCGACTCAAGTTATAGAGTCTATTTAATATACATATACGGGAAGTCACTCTTGGCCTATTCGAATTCAACTACTGGTCACTTGTTATTCTATTAACTACAATATGAGAAAATACCTAAGAAAAAACATCTACTTAAATTTTATCCTGACAGTGCTGTAATTAATTTTTATTAGATCTTAGGTTCACCTTTCAGTTATTGATAATCTCATAGTCTTATCTTCTTTTAACGAAAAAGTGTCCATTGTCTTCGATGTCCAAATCAAAAAAAATCCTGAAGATCCCCTAGAAAAACCCTAATGCATCTTATAATAATAAGAAACTTAGACTAATAAATATCAAGAAGTAGAAAAGAAGCAGAACATTCAATAATAATAGGTGATTAAAGAGAATCCATAAACAGAGTCAGAGTCAGCTAAGAAAAATTCAAACAAATGTTTAGATGATGCTCAAAACGATTAGGCTTAGAATTAATCATCTGTGTTGAAGGAGGAATAATAGGAACTTGATCAAAAAGGAGATGGAAAAGAGGGAGAGGAAGATGAATCGAAATAGAAATAAAATTAGGATTAAATGGAACAATAAGAACAATAAGATCAAGGATAAAATTTAATTCAAAATTAACATATCTAATAAAATGAGGAAATTCAATAGTATAGTAGTTCTTAGTTTATTTATGATGTCTAAGCTTTAATCCAAGAAATCAGACAGTCTGAAGAGTATTATCAAACATTCTAAGTGAAAATGAAATTTCATCAACTCTCACAAAATCTTGCTTAATTAAAGGAAGAATAAAGCAATATTTGTAATATTTATATTAATATTTAGATGAATAGAGTTGTAATTATTAGCAGGATGATTTAATAATTAATTACAAAGATAAATAGATTTACTAATTTAAGTTAATTTTATAACACTTACCAAAGATCTTTAATAATTAGTCAGAAGCATTTTGTGTATTATTAAGAAGAAACAATTGTAAAAATGCAATCTTTGAATTCTTAATTTAATTGGCATTGACTAATGAGCCAATTCAGCTCTTTTCCTAAATCTACAAGCACATTTTAGATATTTATTTAAGATCCTTTTAAGAAAAAATAGGAAATGTTTAAGTAGAAAAACTATAAAATGAATACACTGTTCTATATCCATCAGACTTAGCAAACCATTTTTTTAAATGCTTATTCGAGGATGGAAACATGAAGAAATAGTTCTTAATTGAAATTCTGATTGAGTTTATTCGACAATTCTAGGAGAAGCTAAAAGATTACAGGATTCCAATCAACGAAATCTAAAATCTGTTAATTAAATTATTAATTAAAACTAATAGATACACTCAGTTGCATTTTCTAATTCAATATCAAGTTCTAACTGATACTCCGGACTTTGCAAAATTATTGACTGAAATCAGCAGCAAAGAAATTATTGATTAAAGAAATCTATAACATTACGAACCAGCTTTCTAGTTGGGAGCAGATATGTACTTCAGATTATAAAGGTACGATGAACTTTTAGAATAATTGTTAAAATTTGGAAAAGTATATGCATAAAGTTATTTAAGTTTCACGACGCAGCCTTTCTACTTAAAAAGATACCAAATATAAGAATGAAATTTGAACCAATCTAACACGGCATCAGATATGCTGATTGCTCAAAAGAAGATTTGGTTGTATTCTTAGAAGATGCTTATAGAAAATTAAAAACTCAATTTAGTGGCGCCGAAGTGAAAGCGTTATGATAAATTAAATTGTTAAATTTATTAATATAGATATTTGTATTCAAAGTAATTGCAATCTATAAATCAATTCTTTCAATTAAATCTCTAGAGTCTCACTAAATATTAATGCTTCAAATGGTATCAAATGCACAATACCCTTTAAAGATTTAAACAGCCAAGCCAAATATGGTCTATAAAAACCATATAGGAATGCTAAAATCAGAGCAATGTAACAAAAATAGCAGATCGATAAAAACTAAGATATTTCAAGTAGATTATACTTTGATGACCGTATTTGTGAAATCAGCCTAAGAGTCTGCACTTTAACTAAACTGTTTTGAAAGGGTAAAGAATACTCTTGTCACTATTTGAGACCCTTCTTATTCGTAATAATTGATTTCCACACGTTTGGTAAAATTGTTGATGGATTATTGTGTTTTAAAGGAATTTGATATATAATTTAACGTGGAAATCATACCTTATCTTAAGGTTCCATCAAATGCTAAGTAGCAATATCTAGAGGTCAAGTCCTGAAATCTCTAAAAGGTTTATTTATAAAATTACTTCATCTATAAATTAACACAGATTCTCCTTGCTTATGTCATGAAACAATGAAATGAATTCATCGTCTATCAAAAATTAATTGAAATTCACCATGTCTGATAATTCTATATAATCCTAGATAGACTATTATGCTTAATCAATAAGTGTATAGAGTTCATTTTTATCTTGATTGGTCAAAAATGTAAAGTTGTTCCATCGAAAAAATATTTCCCTATATAAGTATAAGTTACCAGTTCGTAATTTAAAGTCTTGTATTTACCCAAATAAGTTTAATGTATCATTGTATTTGCTTAAGTAAAGGTGAGAAGATATGAATATTAGAATAAAATAGAAAGTAATAACAATAAACAAACATACTAAAATTAAATAGTTTAGTAATTTTTAGTTGTTCAAAGATCCTATATGTAATTTAAGGTATCTTTACCCTTTAAATTTGAGGGGTTTTGATAAATAGGAAAATGATCGATCGATAGGATCATATTGTTATAGACAATGCCTATCCAATTTATATTGGTTCTTATAGTTTGTGAATTTATCGATTTCAGATTCTATCATTTCATAACTCATAGTATTTAGTAATAAAAACAACATGTCGATTTGGATGAAATAATAGACCTAATAACATTAAATTATTATGTAAAGTAAGAGCACAATAACAAATCCAAGAAATGATATAACTTTCCATTTCGTATCAATTTAATCCTTATTCTCTTTAGAATAATTAAATAAGGTGTTTGTGATATTTTAACATTATTAATGCAAGTGAAAATAATTAGCAAACAAAGAAACCTGAAATGGTTTGCCAGAGGTGCTTTCTCTATAATAAAATGTCATCATCTGAGAATATTGATATTATAATATGACCAATAGAGCATCTCTAAAGGATATATTCCTAGGGTATATTTAGGTCTCATTTTCCTCCATAAAATACATAGTAATAGTTTAATCATTAAGGAAGTCTCGTAAATAATCGTTGTTTAATTATTCATAAAAGTTGTCTTTCAATTCTTCGAATCCAAGATCAATATATTGATAATAAGGCTCGATTAAGTCTTGCAATCTATCTTATGGTATGAACCCCTCTCTCTACATTTATTGATAGCCAGTAATGGTTACTCTCATTGAAAAAAATAAATCATGAGGAGCCATGATTGCAGCATGAAATGTTAGCATTTCCATTAGAAATTTAAGATTTATAACATCAGATATCATGGAAATATTGAATAGAAAAATGAAAAATACAAATATCGAATGCCATAACACTACAAGAAAAAAGAACTTTTATAAATACCTTGGGGATTTTACTGCTAAAATAGATTAAATTAACTGGTATTTCTTATTGACTTAAGCATTTTCCAAATATGCTTCACTATAAATTGTAGTTTTTTTAATTTTTCTACGCACTAAAGCATCATCATTTTTATTGGACATAGCAAAGACTTATTCTGGCTAATCAATGTTATTAAAATCAGCAAAAAACAATTACTAATTATTGTTAGCTAAACTTTGTTATTATTTAAAAGATTAAATAGTCATCATATTCTTATTTATACTAGATTTTCTATTATTTTAATCAGTAGTTTAAATTTAGGTATTGGCTATTGATTGTGGCATATTCTAATCATAAAAATTAATAGCATTTATTTTTTCAATCCCTACTTAATCAGTTTGATCAACCAAATATTTACTTTCATCATTAAGCTTAGGCTGAGATATAGGAATTCTTACTAGTGAATGATTAGCTTGTTATTACTCAGCCATTTTAACTACATTTATCACAAAATATTCGTAATTTGCAATTTTATTTTTTGTTATAAGCAAATCACATTCTGTGTGTACGTAATTAAGTGTGAGCTAAGCATCTCCAGATAGGAAGGATCTTTAAGTTTATATATTGTATTATGGTTTTGGTAAAATAAGCACACTTTAATTGAGTTTTGAATATTTTATTTTATTTTATCGAATGAATCTCACAAAATTTGGATATATCTTAGTTATTTATAGATTTTCGTATTTCTCCTATTAACATAAAGACTCTATATCACTTTCAAACCAACCTATTAAGGTGAGTAAATTTTGTGTGAATGTGCATCTTAGACTCACACCATCCACTATAATGTAAACCTAATCCTAGGAAGCTTCTTATAAGAAAGAAGCAAATGTAATATTCTAATTGACAAACTTGTTTGTTATAATGAAACACATATTTATTGGTGTTAAGAGTTAGTTCTTATTTTTGATATAATTGATATCAAACATCTAATAATATTTAGCTTCACCTGTCTCAAAGAACCTCTTAACTAAATTACAATGATGCTGTACTAAGTACTTTGGCAATAAATCATTGAATTAATGTTCTTCTGTTTGTGAAACCCCTCCCCCAAAAGAATGAAAAAACTTATTGGAGAATTACTACACTGTCAGAGTCTCCATATCATCCTTAACTTCCAAAATCAAATAATGAACATTTGAGGAATTGATATTAAAATTCTTTACATGCTAGAATTGCAATTTCTATGCTTCAAAAAAGTCTGAATTTCTAAAGAAATGTATAGCCTTTTTGTAATCACACAACACTTCCCCATAAAAGAAACACACAACTCTATGTAGTTTAAAACAAGGTTTATGTTTATATGCTAATGCCATCTATTTTTGCAATTCATATAAGTTATAACACAATTTATACACTTTATTATGCAAAACACTTATTTATTCATTTATCATAGTTGTTGATACAATCATTTAATAGAATTGTAACTTTTATTCAATTAAATCAAATATCAGTCTTTCTTTTTAAGTCAACATTATGTCAAGTTCAATGTTTTATTCGATGTAATCTGAAATAAATGATTTTTACGCTGCGTAAAGAGAAGTACCTAATGATGCATTAATCTTGCTCTTAGCCTAATTAAATATAAATGCTAATTTCACAGTCTCAAGATAACTGAATTTTAAATTGTAAACTGAAATCATTTGTAATAAGGAGTTATTCTATTCAAAACACTCCTACAAAACTGTCTAGTTCATTGTTGATAGATCATAATTGTGTGTTTAAGTTATTTAATCCCTAGAAAATGATAAAGAATTTAATTTGTTGTTTTCGTTGTTTTTGCAATTATAATTCAAATAGCAAAGAAGTTTAACAGATCTCATGATCAATCCGAAATCATAAAGCATAAATGCATATTATAAGAGCACTTAATTCTCAAATTCTTATTTTTGATTGAGTTGAAATAACTATGTAAATTATTTCATTTTTTTCATTGTAAATTCTCTATAAATCTATAGAGTTATTCCACATGTCTAGGAAGGGTACATTATGTATTAATGACCGCAGTAACAGCATTTGACATCTTTACAATTTGATCTATGATCAGATGCTATCAGAGATTTTATGATGATTTCTGAGTACTACGAATTCAAATCTTTATTCATCAATTTTATTAAGGAGTACTTGATTTGCCAGATTGAGGTAAATTCTTTTTTAAACAGCAACTTTAATTATAAACTATTAAAATATTAATTATAATTATTAATAATGTAAAATATTAGCATGCCAAGAATTAAAAGTGGTAATAAAATTTGATTCAGTATCTGCTGTGTGAAAATTAAAGTATGTAAATGAAAGGCAATATTGATTGAAATTGCTATGAAAGTTGGTTGTTATTAAAAAGTTAAATTAAGAGTAAAATATTTAAATTAATCATAAATTAATACAATTTATGTTAATATTACTAAAAGGGTTTAAATATATAATACATATTCCAAATTCACCAATATTACTTAAAAGATTTATAATAGTATTAGTATATGATAAATTACACGTGGCTTCGTGAGTCTAGTTCTTTCGATATCCTAGACCTGATGTGTAATGGACTGATCAAAATAGTATAAGGTAAATAATGATTCCAGCAATAAAATAAATATAGTTATAAAATTGATTATGATGTGAATGATCATTATTTTCTCCTCCTCAAATTATTCAATTTATTTTCTTAAACTCGTCATACAGAACAGATTAAGTAACATAAATAAATAGGTGCTCATCAATTTTTAATACAATGAATAGATGAGACTTACTAACTTTAACAACAAATTCTTCTAAATTAATTTAATAAACCTGTCCTAAGTTTGTTATTTTTTGTATTGGTAAAATAGAAGAACCCAAAATACCTTATGCAACATAAACAGAATTAAAGGTATCAGATGCATATAAGTGCTTAGAATAAGAATTAATAAAAATACTTAGAAATTATGATATCAGGTCTAAAAATTAGAAGTAAAATCTGATAAATCCAATTTTACTTTAGATTATTGAAATTCTCTGATTCTAATGTAATGAGCAATGGATAAAGACTAATAATAAATTGTAAAACCATAGATATGTTCTTCGAAATTGATAAATTAGTTCTCAAAATGAATGTAATTGTAATATAGTGCGTTAGAAGGATGTGCTTTTCTTTAGACATAGAATCCAAATATATGAACTTCAAATAAAAAACTCTTATTTATTAATTAAAATAAATCAATCTCATGAGGGTGAATTCATTGGATCCATTTGAAATGCACTTAAATATTTCCTCGTTTGCACTTGAGATGATTCCTCTTTAAGGATTTATACAATTGTAATTAAATCCCTCCATTGGAAATGTCTAGTGCCAGTCTGTCCATATGCCATGATGGTGACGTTAAAGGCAGAGAACTCTGCATCTCTTGCTGTATTATAGTATACTTCTTCCTGTGAGTTATCTTAATCGTACATATAATCAAAGGAGAAGGTATGTATTGTATAACTATTTGGGTTGTTGAATTATTCTTCAAGATGCTCGGGATCAATTAAATTGAAGTTATATTATTTTAAAGCAGATTTTTTTGTGATTAGGAAACACTTAAATAGTGGAAATGAATCGTCCATCTATTATTTCTCTCTGCAATTCTTGAAAGTTGAACTTTAGTTTATATAAAATAAATTTAGTCACAATAAATATATATTATCAAATATTTAAAGAATTCACAACCTTACAACTAATTTTTAAATCTTTCGAATTGAGATATTTAAAAATGAGGAGACGTGATTTAGATCAAGTTTTTTAGATAAATAACAATCCTAATACAATACTTAATCACTATAATTCCAATATTATGAATTAATTTATAGTATTATATTTACTATTAGTATTCAATACAAAGAGGTTATTGTTAATTTAAGGGTTAAAATATAATTGAAATATTTTTATATTGCCAAAATTTGGTGTTATTTTTATTCACCTGAGGATTTTGAATTAAATACTATTTTTTATATGTAAATATATAATGTTTAACACAGGATCCTATTAAGAAATTTCATCTAAAATCGGTACAATTCGTTAAGTTGATATTGAAGTGACAAGATGCCTCTATAATTGTTGTTCAAATGATGCGTATTAATAGGTTACAGTCAAAATTTGAAGGTTGAATTTCAATCGAAAGATGGATGATAATGCCATGAAAAAATATTTAATAATAACTTAACAATTAAAGATGTCATTCATCATTAGCGTATGAAGTTTTTAAAAGATCTTTAAATTCCCCAAATTCGATTAGGCCTGAATTGTCCTTGTCCACATCTCTGATAAGACTTTCGATATCAATAGTTAATTCGAATTCAGATTTAATAATTTATACTAGTTTATCTGTACTTATCTATTGATTTATGAAATATTAATACTGATCCTGTTTTATCTGGGTTTCCTCCCATGGCAACAAAGGCATCAATTGTGTCTTAGTCATCATCTAAAATGATTAAGATATTAATAGATACCATCTTAGTTAGAATACTTAAATTTCCAATAGACGCCTAAGAAATCACTAAATCTTATAAGTCCTGTATTGGTTTCCTCTACCTCACTTATGATTTTGTAGAGTTCATTTTCTGATGGTTTGAAACCGATTTTTTCTAAAGCAATTTTTAAATCCTGGCCTCGAATGGCACCAACCCCATCCTAGATCAAATATTGATTTTACTTCATCCATTTCAGCAAACGCCCTTTAACACATGTCGATGTCCTCCTCAGTTAAATTCATATATAAATATTTTGTTAATTAATAAATTTATTTCTTTATATGGTTTTTTTAGTATGATCCTCACCAATTTAAATATAGAAATGGATGGATAAATACAATATAAATTCCATTTAAACAATATGATCAATTATTTGATTTCCTCTCCTTCTTACTATTTTCAATACGGATTATTAATGATCAAACTATGTAATAAATTACTCAATGAGTATATTGGACAAGTCTATTTAATTAAAAGAACAGAAAGAATCACACTAATATAAATATTTAGATGGAATTCTACTTTGAGATATAATATAATATGAATAGGATTAGAATTATAGCAATATATTTAAATATATTTTTCAACATCAAGGAATGTCATTTTCATCATCTTATAAATAATTAGTCTTTAGTAATTCTTTAAACTCACCGAATTCAATGACTCCTGATCCATCTGTGTCTACTTCTTTGATCAATCCTTCAATGTCGATCGTTAATTCGAATTCGTTCTTAATAATCCTGATTAGCTTTTCGGCATCTACATTTCCAGTTGTATCTTCATTCCCACCCATAGCTACAAATGCATCAATCATATCTTAATCATCATCTTATAAACCAGCATATTTAAGTTTGGCAAATAAAGTCAAAAACTCCTTAAATTTGATGCGACCTCTGTTTCCATCGTCAATTTCACTAATTAATTTATGAACCTTGTGTGGTTTCTACTTTAAACCCACCATTTCTAAAGCAAGTTCCAAATCATCTGCCATAATTTCGCCCTCTCCTCTCTAAAATGGATAATAGATTATTTGAATTTACATCATCCAAATCATTGAAAGCTCGCTGACATTGTTCAATATCTTCCTCTTACAAATTCATGATATTTAAGTTTTATTTAATATTAATATTTATTTTAGATTTCAATATCAATTTATACATTAAAAAAATGGAGTAAACTATGATTAACTTATTTTACACATTTTAGATAATTATATTTATTCATATTTTTATTTATTATGATAAGAAAATAATTTAACCCAAACAGTTGTAATTAAGGTGGCAAATAATAAATTGATACCCTACAAGAGAAGCATATTATAGCACTCATCAACTCTAAACCTCAAGTGCTAATTAAACCACCTCATCCCCATGTTGATGCAAACAAACCTCACTCCCTCAGTTTTTATTATATTAATATATATAGAAGATAAACAAGATTTTACAGAAATCAATGAAACATACCGTCGTGTGTAGGCGTTGAAAGCAGGTTATTCTGATAACAAAATGCCCAAAACTTTCATGATGAAAGAGTCATTGAAGAGGAAAAATAAAGTTTCCCAATTTATACAAGAATAAGTATCAGAATTTAATAACCAAAGAATCATTGCAATAACATCAAGGCTTTGGAAAATAATATTTAAGAGATCTCCACAAGAACTCAAAAAAATATATAGAGAATCAAATCTAATTCAAAAATGCACAGTGTAGCCTCATCCATTAAGGACAATTCGAGGATCAGCAAGAGAGAATGGGAAGAGAAGTCCTCTCATCCTTTGGAATATGAATGGAAGTAAATTTCCTATTTGAGTTAATTTGAGCGAAAAAAAGACCAGAATCAGCTTTTAGTAAATCGAAACAAAGCAGAGGGGACACAGTTTTATCCAATGTTTTTTCGTTTGATCAGAGTCTCTAAAAATAATAAACTAACTCCAAAAGGAATTAAAAGGATGTGCCTTTAGACTATGCTGATATCCAATTGAATGAAGATATGAAGGATGAAGATTTTTTCATCTAAACTGATGCTCAACCACTCCAGAATGAAAATGCCATCTAGTCATCCTACTCTGCTATAGTAGACAAAAAAACGAAATCCACAACCAATGTAGTCATTCCTTTAGTGAGACCAAATGAAAAGATGAATGACGTTAAACGCAAAATTTATTAAACTTTGATGGAATATAAAGTATGTTTTGATAATATTTCTATTATTCTATTAGCTATTTTAAAGGGATTAAGTTTATTAAATAGGATTGGCATATGTCAACAAAAATTAATGGCTTGATGAAAATGAAATTCTCTTGGAGTGCAACAGGATATCTAAAGAATTGTATGGAGTTGAATGAATTCAAATCTTTGACATTATTAATTTTCATAACAATCATTCTTCACCCCTCTTTAATAATAAATCAATTTAAAGTTGTTTATATTTATAATTGAATCTATTTCTATTATGTTTAGATTCGATTATGTTTTTCGAATTATTGGACATTTACATTAATAAAAATTATAAAGTAAATCTTTAATTAATGGACATCGATCGTCACATCGCATCATTACTTTCAGGAGGATGTCTTCCAGAAAGAGATTTAAAGTTGATTTGTGAAAGAGCAAAGGAAATCTTCTTGGAGGAATCAAATGTGCAACCAGTGAAGGCCCCTGTGAATGTTTGTGGTGATATTCATGGTATGCTACCAATGTCTATTGTTTAGGTCAATTTTACGATTTGCAAGCATTAATTAAAGAAGGAGGAGACATTCCAGAGCATAATTATATTTTTATTGGTGATTTTGTCGACAGAGGGTATAATAGTGTGGAAACCATGGAGTATTTGCTTTGTTTGAAAGGTATGAGTTCACATTAATGATCCATAGTGAAATACCCAGGAAATATCGTACTTTTGAGAGGAAATCACGAGTCTAGATAGTGCACTTAAGTTTATGGATTTTATGAAGAGTTGTTGAGAAAATATGGGAATAGCAGTCCTTGGAGATTGTTTATGGAGGTTTTCGATTGCTTACCATTGGCTGCTTTGATTGAGGGTTAGATACTTTGTGTGCATGGCGGATTGTCTCCAGATATGAGGACAATTGATTAGATCAGAACCATTGATAGAAAGGTAATAGAATTCAAAAAGGATTTAGATTGAAATTCCTCATGAGGGTCCATTTTGTGATTTGATGTGGTCAGATCCTGAGGAAGTAGAATATTGGGCTGTAAATTCGAGAGGTGCCGGTTATTTGTTTGGTGCCAAAGTGACTAAGGAGTTTTGTAGACTTAATGATTTGACTCTTATATGCAGAGCACATCAATTGGTTATGGAAGGATATAAGTACTGGTTCCCTGTATGACTTTCTGATTAATTTTAGGATCAAAATTTGGTCACAGTGTGGTCTGCTCCCAACTATTGTTATAGATGTGGAAATGTAGCATCGATTTTATGCTTGGATGAACAACTATAACAATCATGGAAAACATTCAAGGAGGTGCCAGAGAGTGCTAAAAGCATTAATCCAAAGAATGTTCTTCCATATTTCTTATGAAGTATTTTTTTAAATATTGATACATTTTTTATTGATAAATCTATCTTTAATAAATTTGATCAAATTTATTTATTTTAAGATCAATTCAATCAAAAATTAGTTTGTGTTTGAGTAAATGAACTATTTCTAAAGGAGAGGCAAGTGGCAAAGTTATTAATATATTAATACTGTATTTAAAAATCATGGTAATTGAGTATTTAGTAAAAAACAATAGAAATAATAATTCATTAATAAATAATTTATGTTGATTTTCTTATTATTTTAGATTACCTATTAACAGTGTTTAGTAAATTCTGAGGCTTAGACGGAACTTTTTTAAATTGTCAAGTGAAACGATAAGATTAAATATGTTTGATTATTTTTATGGATATAATTTGAAGTTTTCTACAGATTAAGATTATGAATTATAAAATGTGTTAAACCAGTTGGATACATTAGAATTAGAAGGGATGGTTATTGATAGTTCTTTGTTGATTAGTCAATATTCAAAAGAATGGATGAACAAGATTGCTAGTTTAAACTAAATTAATCAAGCATATACAATTTATATTATAGGTATATCAAATAATTAACTATTGATTCAAAACACATTATATATTCCACAATAATTAAATTAAGTAATTTGCAATGAAATTACATTTCTAGACAATGAATAGATTTTGGTGAATTGTTTTAATAGCCTTGCTGGATAATTCAATTATTTTTTTTATGTCTCTTAGATTCATGATTAATTTTCATGGCATATTTTACCATATACACCATCAACTCTGTAATATCAAGTGTAACTATTCGATTTGCAAGTAGCATTCGAAAAGGAGAATAATCTCTTGATAACATTGGGTAGGTACAACCAAGAAACATTGTCTGGAGTAATTGAGATCTATTCTTACACTTAATTAAGGAATCAGCAGACTTAGAATCCAATATAAATATTTAATCAAACCCAATATAGATAGTATAAGATAAGCAATTAATTAAGTATCATAGCAAATAAATATATTTAGTTTATCTAATGAATGCAACAAATGTGATTAATGTTTATTCTTTAATCAACTTTACTCAGACTGAATTATACAACATTAGTTCGTTAATTTAAGCAAATTATGAATTGCTAGCTTTCGATGTAGAACCTTATGGAGAGGACTTGCTAATCTATACAACTTTGAATGGTGAAAACTTATTTGAAATTACCACAACAGATATCATTCGTGGTTACATAGTGAGAATTGATTTCGAATAAACTTCAATTCCATAATTATTTAGTAATCATGAATTGATTACCTTGTACATCGATGATTAATACTACGTATATGATAGAATTCAGCCTAACATTATCATCAATACTTAAATATAAAATGTAATCGGTTTAAACCAATTGCCATACAATATACTAACTTACACAACCAATACTCTTTATTATTATCAAATCCTACAACCTCAGTTATTTATTGATTCTACAACTAACTCCAACATTGTATTGCAAGCAACTTCGAGTGAGCAGAGTATTGAAATTAATTGTTCTGTTACCATAAATGTCACAATTCATGGATTGGTTCCAGGTTTGTACCAATATGAGAAGAATTTGCCTCAATAGATAATAGTTAAAACAGATAAGATATATCTCAATGTATTAAGCTATGTTAGTGGCCCCTTAATTACGATTTCAGCTTAATCATCAAAAGAGTCCATTAATATTTATGATCCTTCAGTTTAAGTTCAATTGTCTAAACAGATTTGGGATCAGATAAATGGAGTCTTTTCATTTTATTCAGCTGATTTCCAATCATATGCTATGTTCATACTTTAATATCAATATGTTAAGGAAATTATTAGGTACAGTCAAATTTCACTTAAATTGTGCGATGTCAATCTTTTGGAATACATAGATTTGGAAGAAATGGAATGTCGTGATTATTCATAAATATTCGAGTTAAATGCCCCTATAAACAAATTATAGTTTACTGATTTGACAAATCCAGATGAAGTGTATTTTGTTGCAGATATTGCTTATAGTGCAGTGCTTATCTACAAGTTGAATTAATTTAATGCATTTACATTGGTTTAAGCTGAGTTTTTGTGTGAACCACTTCCAATAGATGATCAAGATTATTTCCATTCAATTACAGATTTCTATGTGATAGGGAACTATTTGTATTTTATATTGGCCAGAATACAACAAATTTGGATTTATGACATTCAAACATGCACACTTGTATTCAAACTCACAAATTCCTTTTTTGATACTGGCTTTTTCCCAGCATCTTTGGCTGGCAAGACTATTGTTGATGAGAATAACAAATTGAGACAAATCATTTTTATTAATTCATTATAATATGTTTATGTGATGGAAATGGTTAATAAGATTCCAATATATCAAAACACAATTACTTTGGATTAGTACACTAATATTAAGTCACTCTCTATTGTCAAAGATTCTATTATTCTTGTGGTTTAAGAGAAAATCGGATCGACTTCCATGTATCAATATTTTTATTCGATTGATTAACCTACAAATGAAATTAAATTCATTAAGAAATTACCTTAATATGGTGTGAGTATTAATAATAAATTTATTGTTGCATCAGATGACTCCTTGTTTTATATTTTAATGAACAACAACTTTTACTACGTTTACAACCCTACATTATCTTCTCAAGACTGTTTAATCCAAAAATTAAATTACATAGGTGATTACATTTCAGCCACTCACATTCCAAATATCTTAAAATAGAGCAATGTCATGATAGCCAGCCATACAAATGTGGCAATTTACTCAGTAACAAATCCTACTTACCTTTTGGTCGAACAAAGCGATCCTTTAAATTCTGTATAAAAAGAGCAAGTTAAATATTTAGTTGAGGTGCAATCTTAAATCAGTAACAGTAATATCTAAATCGAGGGTTCCTTTATAGCTTATGACACTTTGTTTGTCGGCTTTGCTAATTAAACTCTATTTTTAGAGAACAATTAAATCGATGAAGTTATTATTTTGGATTCTCCACAATTCAGCTTCGATTTCAATCTAGAAGGAACCATTTAAAATAACGTAGTTTCATATTCTGCAGCTCCTCCATTTATTGATGGTTATCCACAGTTTTTGTGTTTAGTTAGACAACCATTCTCTTATGAATACGCAATCCAATCCACTCCAAAAGATATAACTTAATTCACTTTTACGCCTTAATTACCTCAAGTCTATGCATAAAATATAGGAGCATTGTATCAAGTACTCAACTAAGAATTTGTGTAATTGATGAGTTATAATGATTAATTTACTCATTGTTGGGCACTGTTCTATTACAGCCAATAGTAATAAATCATTTCCCTTTGTTCACAATATTCAGATTATACCTTTACTGTTTTCAACCAGGCTTAATTATTACATTAGCAATATTAAGCCATTAATAAATTCTATTTCCCCCTTAAAATGGAATACTATTCTAATTTTGTTAGTACTTTGGCAATAAAATAAGGAGATCGAAGCTATTCTATTTTGATAGGAAATCTCTCCAATGCCAATTTCTACTAAAATATATAACTATAATGTCAAATCCAAAGTGCTGATTAGATATCCTCTCAAGAAGTTGGAGATTTCACAGCTACCTAAATTAATGGTATGTTCTTATTCATATATGTTTGTCCATTGTTACAACAAATTCAGTATGCTACAATTTCATCCACAGGAAACACAATACTTAATCAATCCATCATGCACATACAAACTGAATTACCCAAGAAGGCCACTCTATAAGAGATCAAATTAATTCAGTTCGAAGGACAATAAATAAACTTTCTTGTGACTACTAAAGAATTCTACAGCATCATCTTGTAAGCTAATTACAGTTTTTAAAATGAATACATTGTATTAACAAACATTAATTCCAATAAATAAGTTGCACCTATGCAATAATCATACTAACTGAAAAATACTTTATATTTCAATAACTTCTTGTTTTCAACATATCATGATACCAATATTGACACCTACCTTTTAGCTCTCTATGATCTAGGCAATCTCAATTCCAATATCTATTACTCTATTGACACCCTTAGATTCAAGTCTCCAATTACTTATACAGTACAAGGAGTTTATAATACTGTTTTAGTAATGGATACTGTGCCAGTCCTTTATTCTTACAATTATACCAATAGGGTGGGTTTACAAATAGAAAACATGTAGCAAACCTTCTACCAGCAAAATTTATACCTTAATATTATCTAGAAATATGGACCTGCCCAATCTGTGCTATTGGTATTTTACTTCCCTCTAATTGGATATACTGAAAATTGGGTTAAATACACATGTATCGGAGTTGGATCTTTATATGTGATTATTTTAATTACTATTATTGCCGTTTATGGACACAAAAAGAGAAAGTAGCCATCAGAAGATATGCAAGCATTAGAGTTGAATTTAAGATGAGAAATATATTTAAAATAAAATTATCTTTAAACTTATAAGCTTTGCTATCAAAGTTTTTGTGGATTTATTCCTATTGCTTTACAAGCCTTTTAGTAAGCTAATTCAGCTATCTCAATTTTTCTATTCGTGTTTCTTATTTTGTAAACCAACTCCTCCTCTTTTCTTTTTTACAACACATATGTCATAGCCTTTGTATATCAATCAATTTATACTTTTGGAATATCTTCATTTGTTGCATTATTCACTTGTTCTAATTGGATTGCAAACTTTTTCTTCTTTTCCGTCAAAGATGCAATTTATCTTTTCACCTTCTTAGTCTGCTCCTAAGTTTTAGCTGTCTTTTTGTTCTTATCATCAATTTCTTATATCAATTTATTGCATTAATCTATTTCATTTTATAATAGATTTCTTTCTTCAATTAAAACAGAAGATATCTTCCCTGTGGCTATCTTCAAACCCAATAACTTTTTATTCTTTTCATCGATTTATTTAACATATTTCTTATTTTCAATTTACAATTGATGAAAATCTATAAATTTTAAATCATCTCCCATCTCCTCTTTCTTTTGAATCTGATTACTTGTTTTAGTAATTTATTATTCAATATTGGCTTTCTTTTATTTATACTTCTCTATTTATGCATCCTTATTTAGAGCTAATTTAATACTTTTTAGGCTAGTTTTTCTTTAAAGTATTTTTCTATTCTCTCTGCTTCAATCTTTCCAGTCCTAGTATTCTCTCCAGCAAATAAAATTTCTCTCTGAAAATCAAAAGCATCCTTTCTAATTTCTGTGATGGCCTTGTCGGTTTCCTCCAAAATTGCCTAAATTCATTATTTTTTCTCTTACTCTCAAGGTTTCTAATATTTAATCTGATCTTATTCTTCCCTCCTCAATGTTCTTTTTCAAAGTATCGCTCTCAAATTATGCAATTTCGTACTTTTCCTCGTTTGTCAATTACATCGTCTATACATTAATACTTAATTCAACCTTTTTATCAATAGGCTTATCCTTTTTCTTTGTTTTCTGCTTCTTATCTTCCGCTTCCTCTTCCCTCTACAAATCCTTGGAGTTCCTCATTATATAGGATTCAAAGAGCAAATTCTCTCTTCTGATCTATTCCATATCCTTGTAAAGACCTTCCAATTTTTATGATAATTCCTCAATCAAAATGAGTTCCTTCTCTTCCTCTGTTATCCCTTATTATTACTCTTATATCATTTTAATTAATATTATAATAATATTACAAATTAACGATGAAGAAGAATGCTCCAAATATATCAAAAGTAGCATCAGATTTGATTCTGGCATATCAATAGTTAACCAGCCAACAAAAAGAAATTACCATCTCTCCTAGATATGAAAAAACTGCCTTATATTTCCCACAATCACGTACTCATATAATTATGTACATTATGCAGCTATTGAAGAGCAAATTGAAGAAGAAAATTAAATTGATAGTCCCAGAAAAACCATTACAGAGGAGGAAGAGGATTGCTTATTAGAGATTTCTGAACTCAGAAGAATAGTAGATCAAAGTATAAAATATTAATAAAAACAGTGAGAATGAAATACATGAACATACCTGAAAAATATTTGCAATAGCCATTGTAAACTACCAATTAAAATGCTACCCCCTCTGCTCAGAATAAGAAACCAAAAAAATAGGTGGTCATTACTTAATACTAATCAGATTTCTTAAGGCAATAGTATGGAAAAATTAAATGAGTGTTTATAATTTATCATCCCCTTTGTTTTTATTACGCAATCAAAGACACTTTTTAATATAATCTAATTCAAATCTATTTATTTGAAAATCTATATTTAAATCATCAAAACTGCCTTTTGCTGCTTGGATTCAAAACTATAAACTAAGTTAATACTTATATATAATATTCATACTCTATTTCACTAATTATTAAAAATAAACATTTAATCTTCTCTTTCTCCACTGTGTTCCTAATTTATCGAAAACTCATATGCATCTTTTACAACTTGCCATAATTAAATAAATCAGAATACAATATTCAGAGCTTATCTTAAATCTTTCTCTTGAATATCAAATAAATTAATGATCGGATTAGAATGAATGTTGCCTTTTACTAATCGCTATTTAAAGTTTAGAATTTATATATATAATAAACAGCATTATATTCTATTATTTATTTAATAGAACTTAATTAGCTGTAGAATAAATTTTCTGATTTGCATTTTTTATTTGATCATCTATGCAAAACTTATATTTAGTTGATTTTTAATTGGATAATAATTCTAATCAAATTGAATGTCTTTTTCATATTAGTTATTAATTAATTAATCTTATTTATCCTAGTTATTATTCGAGACGGATTTATCAAAGAAGAATAATTTATTTGATTTTAGTTAAAATTAATTAAAACTTTTTCTATTAATAATCAAGTTCTCTATCAATGAATTTTTAAAGACTAACGAGATGATTCCAACAGAAATGTCTTTGATATCGCATCATTAACATATGCATCTAGTCTTTCTATCAGGCGGTGAATTAGAAAATATGTGAAAAGATTTTTGAAAATCAATAATCCTCATAAAAGTGTTTTATTTTTTTCATAAGAAAAGGGGAACTATTTTTTAGATTTTAATATAATTCTTTTGGATTACAATATTATCACTTTTATCTCACCTTATTAGTATTTGTTTGAGAGAAGAAAATTTTGGATTTAGTATTAGTTTTTTGGCTTATAATAAAATTTGAAATTCTATTAGCAAGGGGATAATTTTTTGGATTTCAATTAAAATTATTATTAAAAAAAATTCTTAATAGAAAAAATAAATACAACCTCATGAGACTATCATCTTCTATTTGAAATTCAGACTTAGATGATTAAGGTTCATTAGGCTAAACTCATCCTTATTCTTTTAGAGCATTTCTTAAGAATTTTATATATACATATATATTAAGATTATATTATTATAAACAAGAACGCACTACTTTTTACTTATATGTAATAGTTAAAAATAATCTTTGTGTTTAGTTCTAGATTTGAAACATTTATTTTATGAGATTTCCAGAATTTATAATAGTAATTCAAAATATTTAACATATGCGTTCCTGAACTCAGATTATAAATGAATACTATATTTTAAGCTGATTTTTTTCAATAAATATAAAATAATTAAAAAATATAGTAGTAATAATTTTTGGAATTTCGAATAATGACAAAGGAATTAATTATTAAAATTGTTCAAATCCTGTATTTATAGGCAATTAAAAAAATATTTTGAATCTCAATAATAAATTTATCGAATGACTGAAGACTCAAAAAATAGCTAAAACAAGAACACTAATCCAACTTTCAATTTCAAAGAAGTAGCAAGCAAGGCATTTAGGTCAGGTCTATCAGGAAGCATGGCTATGGCTATTCAAGTGTGTTCTTTAATGTGGTTAAGAACAACTATGAATTACTAGTATCGTTATGGAGGCACAATTGTTGGAACACTAAAACATTTGTATAGTGAAGGAGGGATCTTGAGATTTTATAAAGGTAAAGAATTTTCATAAAATTAAGGTTTGGCACCAGCATTATTACAAGGACCATTGTCTAGATTTGGAGATACGTTTGCTAACACTCTATTCTTGACACTAATGGATTCATTTGAATCTACAAGAAATTTGCCAGTGATGATCAGAGCAGCTGGAGGATCAGTTATGGCAGGAGTTTTTCGTATTGCCTTGACTCCAATTGATACTGTGAAAACTATTCTTTAGGTTGAAGGAAAAAATGGTTTGACTATTCTTTAATCCAAAATAAAAGTCAAAGGAGTACCCGCACTTTATCATGGTGCTTTGGCAACAGCATCAGCTACAATCGTAGGGCATTATCCATGGTATTTGAATTTTATTTATCTTTAGGTTTGCCACCTTCAATCTCTTAAATGAAAAACTTCCTGATTATACCGATAAGAAGAAAAAATTAGCCAGAAGAGCATTTATTGGATTTTGTAGTTCCGTGATATCTGATTCAATCTCAAATTCTCTTAGAGTTATAAAAACTACAAAGCAAACAAGCCAAAACCCAATAACTTATAAGGAAGCGGTCAACTTAGTATTAGAAAAGGATGGCGTAAAGGGATTATTTGGAAGAGGTTTGAAAACAAGAATTCTTACAAATGGCTTACAAGGATTAATATTCAGTGTCCTTTGGAAAGGATTTGAAGATTTTCTTAATAAAAGATCATAACAATAGTGATTAGATATGTTATTTTATATATTTTAATTATCATTTTATTGTAAATACTCTAAACAATAGTGTAAAAGCTTTATTAATACATTATTGCTTCAGAAATCACTTTAATTATTTGAAATTTTTAATTATTTGAAATATTACTATAAATTGTAATAGTTTATAAGTAATGTATTACATCATTAAGGTTACAATAAAAATTTGATTTCAAAACTGGGGAATTCAAATACCGTGTATCCTTTGATCACTTATTCAATTGTAAATTTAGGATCAATATACAAAATTTATTTTTCATGACTATTTACTTAGTTTAATTTCTTTTTTTAATTCTTAAACTTATACTCATCTTATTCTGTGAAGTCAAGAACCTCATAAGATTACCAACATAATTAGATCTTACCTTCCTTAAAGAAAGTTTTCAATGATTCCTATGAAGTGTTGATTTTGTATTAATCTAATAATTTAGAATCGAATAAATCCTACTCTAAAATTGCATCTAAAATGATTGTCTTCTATGATATAGGTTTTGTAACGTAACTCACATTTAGATACTATAATTCCAAACACCAATGAATTTATTTATCCTTTATTGAGTAAAATGATAAATTTTGTCTGTGTTTTTTCATTATTTTTGGTGCTAAAATAACATCCACATTCATTTTTCTTGCATAATGTTTTAATAATTTATATCTCATTGCATCTGGTAAAGCTGTGATTCCAACTAATTTTTTTTAAATCATCTCCGTATTTTTCATCACTTCATTAACATAATTATAATCTCTTTATACTAGGAGTTCTGAAATTTTATTTGGTTATTTAGTCGGATCTCGAATTCCATTGCAATTATAAATTTGTTTATGTTTTTTGCAACAATCTAAGGAACAAGTCTTAGTTTCGCATTAAGGGCATTTATATTTATCTGGTTTCCCACACATCTTGCATAGTTCTGAAATCTCTCCGTCTTCTATCATTAATTAAAATAAAATATAAATTAAGTATCGAAATAATTTTTCAAAAGGTTGAACTTTCAATTCAATACTCATCTCTATTAAATTTATTCCTTTTTAATTCCCTTTTTAGTTAAACCAGTTCTATCTTTTCTTTTTCTAGTAATTATTTATTGCCCTTGTGCCAATTAGGTCCTTTTTTATGTACTAAAACTCCCTTTAAATGAATTTATTGTCCAACTAATGTTTTTTGTAATTATGTTTAGACTTTTCGTTTATTGAATTGTTTTCTCCTCCAGGCTCTACCTTAAACTCTTTTATGTTTAGTTATTTTAACTATTTTACACATTTTAGTATTGTATCTAGTTCTTCCAGCCTTAATTAACCACGCTGGTCCCATTTTACCCATTTATATTACAATTTAATAAAAATTCTTTAATAAATAGTCTACGATTAAATATATTAATACTGAATTTTTCTGTCAGATTTATATTGGTTAATTTGTGTATAGTGCAAATAGTATTTATATTGATTTATTTTGAAATCATTACAGAACCCTTGAATGATTTAGATAACTACTTTTAATTACATTTATTGATTATTTACTCGATTTTGTTCTCAAATCTTTTTAGTCTAGCTATTTTGCTATCCTTTTTTTGAATTGTTCTGATTTTTAATTATGTTTTTAGAGAATATAAAGAAAGTATAATATATAAGTTCAAATTAAGAGATTGGGGTATATTTAATTCTTCTCTATTTTATTTTATTTGATTTCTTGCAAGTAATTAAATTAATCTTTATTTTATTATTATATGTTCAATGAATATGATGATTAATTGTAATAAAATATTGATTAATTTCATTACCTATTAGTAGACACTGATTGTAAGGAGAGTGAAAAGCAATAATATCTAAATTAGTGTAAATAGCAATCAGAAAAAATAAAAAAACTAATTTAGTAAAGAATAAAGTCAGGAAACGAAAATCAGACTATGAGATATATGAAATAATTTTCTTCGTTAAATAAGAAACTGTAGGAAATGGAATATAATTATTAAGATGAACACATTAGTTTAATTTTGGAAAATAATCAAGATCGTCAATTAGAAGTGCAGTTGTTTGAGGAAAATGTGAATAATAGAAAGTAGCGATTACAAAGTATCCACAAAAATATGGGTAAAGTTTAAAGCATTTATGATAAAATATCTTAATTAGCTCATTAATAAGTTGATTCAATATTTTAAGTTGAACAAGATTTTGCATATGCTGAAGAGAAAACTTAAAAAGCATCTCAAGAGTTGACAAGAACTTAACAATCTCAAAAATCAAATGTTGGCTACAGATTTGTGATCATCTGTATCTTAGTTTTTATAGTTATAATTTTATTCATAAAATGAAGATATATACAATATTTATAATTATAACAGTAAATAATTATTTAATATAAATATTCAAAATTGAAAATAATGAATGAGGAAAGAATGTAATTTGTTGAGTGGAAGAATGAAAAAGCTATGTTATTACAAAAGATACAAATTTAGGAAATGTATATACAAGAAGCAAAAGAAAGGGAGGAAAACCTGAAAAAGATGAATGAAATCTTTATCAATACCTTAAATTAACCTTAAAATGAGAACATAGTTTAAAAGTTCTAAAAGTCCTTTGAATAGAGTGAAATTGGAAAGCAATAATAAATAATAAATACTTTGCAAATTGAGAATAAACTATTAGAAAACAAAATATAAGAAAAAGAAAATTAAATAAAAGCAATAATGAAAAATAATGAAAAAGAAATTGAGAGATTATAAAATAAAATTATCGAGTTAGAATATCTAGTAAATAACAAGGAAAATTATAATTCTCAAAATGAATCTTAACTAAACTCGCAATATGAAGATGATAGAATATATATGAGTAGAAAAAGGAATTAAAGCCCATCCCATCCTACTACCAGAATAAGAACAACATAGTAATTACAATAATTAGCAAACAATAAATTTGAAGAATAAATCATCACGAAGGATTCGACAGAAATTGGTGGGTTTTTGAATAGAATCAATCCTCATTTAGAGAAATAGATAAAAGAAATTTAAAATAAATTATACAATACAAAAAAGAAATTAACGACTACAACAGAGTAAGAAAGTTCATTCATTCGACAATCAATATAAAAAATAAAACACGTAAATTTTCGTTTTTATAATAGAGATCCCGCAATCATTCAATATCTGTCAATGAGACTGGATTTTGTGACTAAAGATCTAATTGGGATGATTAAGTTGAATACAAGACGAATTAGACAAATCAAACTAATCAATCATTGATGTACAATGGTTTTAGATTTTCTTGATTAATTAATTAATATCATAATAAAATCAATTCATTATTCAAAAAATTCGTTGTTTGTATTGTTTGTAGTCTATTGATCATTTTATTCATTTGGAATTAGTTTGTTCTAATTGTCTTCTTATTCACTCTTTTTAGTTTCTTAATATCACTACATTATTTAAACAGAACAATACCCTTTAACAGTTTCACAAGATTTCATTATCTAATTGCAATAAAGAGTGGGAATAGTACTAATCAATTAAGGAAATCTTTCTTCAGTTGATATTTAGGTTAATTCTGTTCTCGTTGTTTAATACTTATTGATTTTTGGAAGATGATCATCTTCATTATCCAAGTCCAAAAAGTGTTTCAGAAATTTTTCTGTTTGCAAGACATTCTTCTTATCAACTTTATTGAATTCATAACCATATCCAAGCAAATCAAAATTTCTATTTACTGCATCTTATAATTCATTTTGTCTTGCTTTCATGGCTTGCTCTCTAATTATTAATCGATTGCTCTATTTTGCTCCAAATCTTATAGTTATTAATACAATTTTGTACTTAGGGTTATCAGACACTTTTTTGATTATTAAGAACTTCTCTAATTACTTTATTTTTTAATCGTATTTCATAAATTTATTATGCTCTAGACAGAAACAAAATCATCACTATATGCATCGAAATTGATCTAACAAACAAACTATTCTGCTTTGTCATCTTTACCCAAAACTTACATCAGATAAGTTTAAGCAGAAGGTATTCTTTATAAAGAATGCTTTAGGTGAAATATTTATGGCAGCTCCTTAAAAATGTGCCAATATTTGGAAAGAGTTTAGGAGGAATGACTTTACATAAGTTTAAATACCTTATAAAACAGCTCTTTAAGTGTTTGATGCTTGTAAAGATGATATCTATTCTATGCTAAAAGTAAATAGTGGAAAAGATTTTTTTGATTTATTCGATTAAGATAATGATGGGTAATTCTATAGATGATCATATAGATATCTAAATGAAGATGAGTAAATTCTAGTCTTTAGTATAATCAAAGAAAAAATGCAATAAGTTGCAAATTTATTATTATAAATCTAATAATATGTCCCATTCAAACAATTGATGAAGTCAATTAGGACTTTGGAAACAAACATCTGCGAGTATTAAGATGTGCTAAGGAAAAAAATATATAAGTCTGAAATTGCTACATACAAAGAAATAGGTTTAGAAAAATTGGATGATTTTTATGAGAAGTATTACAATTACTTCTAAAACTTTGAATAACAAAAATAAATTAGAATGTAATTTCAATAATAACCGTAGATAAACCTAAATCATCTAGTAATAAGAAGAAATGAATTAATTGGAAGAAAAATTGTCAAAAAATACAGAATTCCTCAAAGTAAAGCCCAAGAGAAAATTAAAGGACTTATAAACGCAAGAAAAATTAGTATCTTTAGATGAAAGAGTTGAAGAAGCCCTTGATTTTCGAAGAGAATTAAAAAATATGGAAAAATAAGAATAACAAAGAGTTGCTTCAGAATAAAATAAACGTATTGAACGCTAAAAGGATGAATTAGAAAGAAAACATTAAAAATAAACTGAATAACTTAAAGCTAAGTTAATTGAATAAGAACATAAATTAATAATATAACTAAAAAAGGAATACAATGTTCTTTTGAAATAAATAGGATTACATAGTAACGAAATAGAAAGAATATAATCTTCGGCTATGTAGAGTGCAATTCGAAAAGGAGAGAAGGAAGGAGAATTAAAGAGAATGAAAGAAAGGACAAGAATTTAAAATTTTATTATTGGAGATGCAAAAAGTACTTTGATAAGTCCTAGAATCCAATAATAAAATGCAACGACTTATGAAGATTCCTCTAGTTCATCATATAGATAACCTCTGACATCATCTAAAAGCGAAAGAGCGATGCATGACATTAAGACTCTTATACATAAACAGAATTACACTTAGTTTTATATTAAAAAGAAATATGGAGCTGTAATTATAGATACTCTTATATTAAGGACCTTCCTGTGAATTATTAGCCAGAGCCTTATAAAGTATAAGGGGATAATCATGAAAGAATTGAAAAAATTCTTTCTGTGAAAAAGAAAAACCCTCATGATATTTTACCATCTCTTACTGAATTGTATGACTTGGATATGAAAGAATAAGTAATTTTACCAAATATACCAGAATTTAGGGCACACATAAAAGTCAGAATCGGAATTAATATAGGAAAGGCTTAAAAAAAAATAGTACATATTAGAAAAGTTAGAAGAATCAACTCATTGATTTATTTTATATTAAATCCTAATTTTCTATGTGGAATCAATCATCTTATACTTAAAGAGAATATTTATCAAAAAGTTAATTCCTTAAATTTCATATATATTATTTGCTTTCATTAAGTTTATATAATATTTTTGTAAACTAGAGATGGAATAACTTAGATTATTTAAAATTACACGTAAAATATGGATTTTCTATTTGTTAATTTATTAATCAATTAAGTTATCTCATATTTTATTTGGTATAAATAAAACCTTAAATTGATAACCTTCTATTAAATTAACTTGTTATTGTTATTAAGACTATATCCATATATATTATAATATATGATTTGATTCAAAGTAGATTCGATGACTTATGATATTTCAGAATTCAAACATAAATAGAAAATGGAAAGTTTGTGATTATTAATTATAATTTAAATGAATAGAAGTTAATAATAATATTTGAACAAATAGCAGAATTATATTTAGCTTCAAGATTAAAATAGTGATTAATTATAGGAGAACTTAGAAAGACTAAGCAATTTGATGATTAAGAAGCCATCCGAAGTTAAAAAAGTGTTTGTATAAATGCATGGTTATTTGAGATCACCTTCTGCAAATCTCACTATGCAAACAAGGGATACTCCAGCCTCAAAACTTAAATCAATAGGATAAGTAGATTTCGAAAAGAGCAGTGATAAAATTGCTTAGCAATTAAATACCAATTTGAGAAATTCCTCCCTCAATGTTACAAATCATTATTTAGAAAATTCAAATTTAAATTTTAATCAAACTCAGAAACCTAGAAATTATAATAGTTGGATAGGATTGAGCGTGATTGAAAGGAACAAAATATTTATGGAGGAAAAAGAAAAAAAATTGAAAAAATTAAAAGAACAAAAAGAGGAAAATGAAATTAGTTAATGCACTTTTTCTCCCGCCTTTTTCAATCAGATCAGAGTATAGAGAAACAAATCATTTTAAGTTAACAAATCCTATTAAGATATTCATTAATAAAAAAAACTTCATAATTCAAGATTATATTGAAAATATTTTATATTGTTTTTTAATAAATATATATACCATATAAAATGTAGAAAAACTCAGCTGCATGTTTTATGCAAAAACCAGACAAACAATTCTATTACAGTTTACTAAGGTAAGAACAATTAATACAAACGAAGCCAGAAATAGATATTGTCAATCAAGCCGTCCAAATGTATAGGTAATGTGTATGAAAATTCACTAGAAAATGTGTTGAGTATTTCGATAGTTTACAAGACCCAATAAAATATTATTTTCTTGAGAAAATTTAAACTGCCTTGAGTGAGACCAAAACTTTGATGTTAATTATGAATACAAAAAATGATATAGCAGAGTAATCAATGAGAAAACCTCCAAAAATTAGTTTCACTGCTGAAAAAAAGCTTACCAATGAGATTGATTAAATTCAAATTAAAAAAGCAAGAGTTTAATAGGTGAATTTAATGATTAAAATTAATAATGAAGCTGAATAGTAAAGTTTAAATGTAAATAAAACAATTTAATAAAGGTGTAAAATATGGTGAATAATTATGCAGATGAGAGAGAGAATTTAGAAAAAAAATTGAAGGAAGATTTAGATAGCCAATAAAATAATATTGATGCAAGATTAATGAAACGAAGAATGACGTAGAGAAATATGACTGTAAGTCATTCTATGTAATAATTAACTTGATTATCTCATTTCGAATTAAACATATGTACAAAAATTAATCATTATTGCTGTTGTTATTATTACTATTTTCTGGCTTCTCCCAATCTTAATTTCTCCATTTATTTCTCCTTTTTCTTCATCTTTTTTGTCATTACCACTGGTTTTTAGACTTCACTCTTAACTTCCTCTTTAATTGGGCCATGATTAATTTTCTTTAATTTTGCATAGAAGAATCCGTCCATGTTATGAACATGAGGATATATACGTCCTAAATTTAATATGTATTTCCTTACTTGCCAAATTCATAGAAGGATGAAATTTTTTATCATCAAATTTCAAGAGTCCTGGATTTCCTACTTCCAAACCTGTTTCAATTAACTTTACATGACGGTTATTCAAAGCATATTATAGTACAACCTCATTTTCATGTACACTAACTGAACAAGTTGAATAGACTACTATTCCACCTTTCTTACAACAATCGATAGCTGATAATATTAATTCTTTTTATAAATGAGAATGTTTTAAAATATCCCTCATCTACTTTTATGCTTTGATAGATGGATCCTTAGATATAATTCCTAATCCTGTGCAGGGGGCATCTAACAAAACTCTATCGAAATTTTTCATAACTTTAGGAAATTTACGACCGTCATAATTTGTGACTATACAATTTGTTACTCCCATTCTTTATAAGTTATAGAATAATGCCTTTTCTCTATCCTTGCTTGTATCATTAGCAAAAATAACTCCAGAGTTTTTCATTAATTATGCTATGTATGTAGTCTTTCCTCCTGGAGCAGCAGCCATATCGAGAATACGTTCATTCATCTATGGAGCTAATGCCAAAACTGGAAGGAATGATGAAGCACTTTAAAGCATGTAATGACCTGATAAATATTCTGGTGTTGCTCCGATTGGAACTTTAGATTCATAAATAACTAGACCTACTTTGGTCCAATCTCCAACAGAGTCTAAATTTACTCCTCTTTAGACTAAGGTTTAGGCTAATTCCTTTCTTCTTGTTCTTAAAGTGTTAACTCTAATAGTTATTGGTCTTGGAGCATCATTAGCATCTAAAAATGCTACTAATTCAGCTGGTTTGAACATTGATGAAAAGTGTGACATCAAATCTGAATTATATCCATAATATGTGCATAGATGTTTCTTTAATTCATTAAGCAATTCTTCTCTACTGAATTTTCCATACTCTTTTTATTTTAGTATTTCGATAATCTTATTAATTCTATTCATGATAGCATTTAGATCAGTTTCGAATAATTAATCATTTTACTGCTCTTCCTCTTAATAAGATTCTAGTTCATTTTCTTCAACTTCCTACTCTTACTCTTCTTCAACTTATTACTATATTTTTATTTTCTTTTGTTTTTTTGGTTCCTCTTTTTATTCAACTATTTCTTCTTCGTCTTGATTTTCTTCTTCTTGATCTCCATTTTATTCATCATCTTCTTCATTTTATTCAACATCTTAATCTTCATCATTTTCATCCTCTTCATCGACATTATTCTCATCTTCTTCACCTTATTATTCTTCAAATTACTCGTCCTCTTATTAACCTGAGTTTTATTCATTTTGATCATCTTCTATATTAAGTACTTCATCGTCTGATTTAATCTAGCTATATGAAAAAAAATTTACATCGTTATCATCATCACTTTTTAGTTCTATTACATCCTTTTGGCTTAGTTACTTAGCATATTTTTGAGCCAGCTGTAAAGTTTTTTTAGAAAATTAAGGTTTTTTATTGCTCATCACAAATTAATTATTTATTATTTATAATAATCACTTTTTTTGTTTCTAGTTTCCTAACATTTTAGCAATTAATTCTTCGGTCTCCTTTTTTTCTGAAGTATAATGAATTTTTTAGGCTACTTTAGCATATTCAGTCAATCCAGTAGCACAAATGTCCAATAGTCCATTTAAAAAATGCTTAAACATGGACTTCATTTCTGAATTCTTGTCATTCACATAGGTCTAATAATTTTAAGATAATGTGGAAGTTGCAAAATGTTTATCTCTTTTTGCTTCGTCATGAGTCCTTTCAATTTTTTATAATTTTTCATCATTCTTAGACTTTGCTATAGCTCTCTTTTCATTCCACTCATTTTCTAAAGTATTTTTTAAAATGTATTATTAAAGATTCTGTCTAACTTATTTAATTTGTTCTAAATGACCATTAAGACTAGGTATTATTCGTTTTTCTACTAATTTTAAGAAACCAAAATCGGATGGATCATCATCCTTTTTTAATTTTTAAATAACATTTAAGAATGCTTTACTTAATTCCATATAAATTTCTTTGAGTTTGAAAATCTTTTCTCTCTCCTTTTACATTTGTTCTAATGTCTTACACAATTCATTATAAACATTATATCTTTTTCTTTCCACATCAATGATAGCAGTAAAATGTGCTTTCAATTCTTTAATTGTTTATTCATCATAATCTAAATTGGCTTTGATCGTATCATGTTAAACAGAATTCATATCAAATAATTATAAATAAATTCAAATAAATGTTAAAAAATACACCCTCAAAAGTAACACTAAATTATCAAGAGACTTAAGAAGAAACAGATCCTGAAGGATATACTCTTATTTATGAGTAGGAAATAGTGTGTTAGATAGTAGTGGATGATGGAGAATAATAGCAAACACAAGAAACTCTGAATGTTAGAGTATTGATTTTAGGAAGTGAGCAAACCCTTGAGAAAATGAAAATTGAATTAAGTTGTGAAAATGATCTATTCTTCCATTTTATTCATGAGTAGAGTTAATGAATAATAATTAGAGTAAATGAAGAAACATTTCAGCAGATCAAAGAAGGGTAACAATTAACAGCCTCATTTATTGATTATCCTGCTATCTGTGTCAAATGTCTCGACAAAGCTCACAAAGACCCAAACAAGTACAGTGCAGTTTTAAGAATTACTTAAGAAGGGGATGCTGTGATTGAAATAATACAACACACTGAATATAAAAATGTAGAATTGATCCAATTCTAATTTGTCTCATTGCCTGAAGAATCTATTCGTATGGCAATCACCAAAAAATATTAAAAGGTCAAATAAAAGCTCTAATAGATGGAAAACAAATTAAAGGATGTAAAGATTTTGTTTGATTATAATTTAGATTAATGATGTTGTTAAAGTTAAAAACCCTTAGCTGTTATTACAAATGCAAAGAATGAACAGATGATATAAAATAAATAATAACTATTCCTTAGATTATAATTTATAATTGTTAAAATAAGTATGGCTGATGAACCAGATGATTTTAAACCAGCTCTCAAAACTATTTCTGCATCAATAAATACCACTATGGCTATTTCTGAAGATGGCGATCTCTATGTTTGGGGAAAAACCTTCCTGAAGAATAAAAATATTAAACATCTGCCAACAAAACTTGGATTACCTAATTAATATTTATTTTATAGAGTAGTTCATGTCTCATAAGGTTTAAATCATGGAGCTGCCATTTTATAATCATGCTTAGATAAAGAATGTGAAGGTGTGATCACCAACTAGAAAGGTCAAGTGCAAACAATATTGGGGATGGTTGCAGATCAAGCTAAGAAGTTAAAGGAAAATTCAGAATAATAATAATAAAGTGAATACTTTTTACAACAATGGGATTAACCCTTTAAGGAGTTTTTTAAATCCAAAAATAACAAAACCATTCTAAACTTATCAGAATTTCGACAATTTTATAGATAAGACAAACATTTAAAAAATATCAGTTATTAAAATATATCAGAAGTCAAAACCATACTAGGAACTGGGGATGAAGCAAATAAAGATGAACCAAATGCATTTGAAAAGTTTTTCATGATGGAAAAATCAAAAGATGGAAAAACTGAAATAAATATATGTTACTATTATCAAATGTTAACATAAGAAAGTAGGCCTGAATATATAGCGATTGTATGGGGAAATCCAGCTAATGGTAGATTAGGCGCTCCAAAATCGAAATTTCCAAATGAAAGTGATAAGTAAACAATTTTCAATAATAATAACCCTTCCTAAATGGATTTCACAAGCCGATAGATGCAACAACCTTCTAGAACATAGTAAGTTTAAAATTCTTAATATAATTTAAATCAAGCAGAACCAAATAATTCAGATTTTATATAGCCTATTGCATTAAAGTAAGAATTTGTAAAAATTGTTTGTGGGCATCATCATACAATGGCACTCACTGAAGAAGGAGCTGTGTTTATCTGGGGGATGGGAAGTTAAGGATGCCTCGGAAATGGTAGAGTAGATGATCTAGAGACACCAACCTAGATTGATATTTCTGGATTATTTTTCAATGAAATAGCTGCTGGAGCATACCATTCTTTGGCTCTTGCAAAAAATAATTAGGTTTATGGATGGGGAGTAAATAATAGAGGTTAACTAGGGATTGGGAATAAAGAAAATTAACTATTACCAAAACAGTTAACATTTTTTGATAGAAAAAAAATTCAATGCCAATATCTCTATTGCGGAGACTAACACTCTGCTTGTATTACAACTAATAAAGAGTTATATACTTGGGGAAACGGAGATTATTATCGTTTAGGTCATGGAATGTTATTGGATGAGATGGAGCCAAAAAAAATAGAAATACTCTAAGATGTTTATGTTTTGGATGTTGCTTTGGGTACTATACATTCCTTGTGCATAACAAATGAAGGGTTTGTTTATGCTTGGGGGAGCAGTAAGGATTCAGTATTGGGAATGCCAACCTAATAGTATAAAGATTAAACATTGCCTTAAAGGGTGGGATTAATGAGTTAAAGTTTTAGAGATGCTTCGTTTTATTAGGTGGCTGCAGGAACAAGCCATTCTTTGTCTTTATCCGAAAATGGTCATCTTTATGTTTGGGGATCTAATAAGAATAGCTTATTGGGTGTGAGATTGTAGGGATAGGAACATACATGTGTTCCTTAAAAAGTTGAATAGTCGGAAGATCTTGAAAAATCCTGCATCGAAAAAGCATTATTTTTTAATTTAAAAAAAGAGGAACAGTAAATGATGAAAGATGAAAAATTAGTTACTTTTGAATAAACTACTTTGATGAAAACAATTTTATAATCTACTATGGGACAGAGTCATGAATGCAAGTATAAGTTTGCTACTTTAGGAACTAAAAACACTTACTTCATTGATAATACAGGTCATTTATATGCTTGTGGGTCGAATTAAAAAGGAATGCTCTGTAAAAACCCACATAAAAAATAAAAATTCAAATAATTTATTCCTTAAAAGGATCCACCTGATATTTTGTTTGAGTAATCATTCACACCAATTGAAATTGTTTATTTTAGGAACACAATAATTAGATATATAAGTTGTTAATATAATCATTGTATTGCTGTCACTGCTAAAGGTAATGCATATTGTTGGGGCTCAAATTAATATAATTAATTGGGATTGGGTTTTCAAAGCGACCACGTTTTTACTCCAATACTTTTAGAAGGAGCAATTGAATAAAAGGTTATCATAATGGCTATTACAGGTGAGAAATTTTCAGCTCTTCTCACCGATTAAGGTGAGGTGTGGAGTTTTGGAACTTCAGAATTTGGTGTACTTGGCCATGAGCTAAAAAATTTTTATGTTATAATGGAACCTAGAATGATAAATGATATCCCATCCATGATAAATTTGGCTTGTAGCAATTAAACTATGTTTGCAATCGATCAGAAATAATAACTATGGGCTTGGGGAAATAATTAATTTGGCTAATTAGGAATATCATTACAAAGAGATGAAGAAGAGATTAATTTATAGACAAACAAATAAGTAAGTAGCGAATTTTTAGAATGGAAAGCTCAATTAAAATCATTAAAAAATCCTGAAAGATACATTGTTTACTAGCCAGATAAACCAAGTACAAGATCTATAACAGGAGAAGCCTTTGTTGATTAAGTTTCCTGTGGTTTGTATCACACTTGTATAATAACCACAAACTAAGAATTGCTGACTTGTGGCTTAGCTAAATATGCAGGTCATCAAAGCTAAGAACCGGAAGATCCTGAATAATAGCAGGCACAACAGGCTTAATTTATTGATGCTTTTTCCTCAACTCTCGAACATTCAAGTAAAAAATTTAAATTGGTTGCTTGTCATGAATATCATACTGTGGCAGTCACAGTATCAAGTGACTTAGTATTTTTAGGCCCAGAAGGTAAAGAGAGAGGACTTCATGAAAAATTTGCTAATTTATTTAGAGATGGGAAACAGATGCCTGTAGAATTACAAAATATTAAATTTGTAGCTTGTGGTCCTAACCATGCATTAATTCTAAACGATCAAGGATAGACTTATACTTGGGGTGCAACTATGGGTGGTAGATTAGGATTACATATTAATGAAATAGGTTTGTTGGATGGATAGGAGAAATTGATAATTCCTTATCCAACCAAAATAGAATGTGAAGTTTGTAAAGACAATAAATTGTAAGCAAAAAATAACAAAGACAAGGATAAAAGTGCTGCCCCTAAAAAGAAAGAAAAGAAGAAAGGCAAAAATTCTAAAGCAAAGAAAAAAAATCCTGGAGGCGATCAATAATTGGATGTTTCTATAGAAGATGAAGAAATTCTAGATGAGGAAAGTTTTCACTCCGAGGAAGGACCAGGAGTAAGAGTCTAGGATCCGCTTTAAAAAGGATTAAGCAAATAATCTTAAGAATGCGAATAAGAAAACTTATATTTACAAGATGCTGAAATTGAGAAAAAAGTATAATTCATCTTTAAAGATTCGGCAATTCAAGCCTATGAATTATAAAAAATGTACACTGAAATTGTATCAAAACTAAGTTGGAGTATTGATTACAGAGCTCGGCAATTAGCTGCCAAAAATTAAAGTAGACAAATTACAAATTTAAAATTTTCAGTGCCTTAATTTATTGTTAAGAATATATAGTTATACGAATGTATTTTTTCTTGTATGTATCATCATCCTTGTTACATGATTAAATTAATTCAAGCCAATCAATTAAATAAGTTTTAGTTATTGAAATTCATTAAAGTAATTTTTAAAAACGATCTAATGGAAGCTTAAAACTAAAGTATCATTTTAACGTTAGCTATTAAGTCATTCGAAATTGAGTTTAACAACGCAACCAGTTAACTAGAATACATATCTGAATTGAAATTATTTAAAAGTTCTTCTGTCTTTTTACAAATTTACTATATGTTTATATAAAAAGATGAAGATGCCTTTAAATATTTTGATGAGATAGCCAATCTTTTAATAAAGGGGTTTGCCTTTTCTAAAATACTAGAAGAGATTCATAATTTTGAAAAAAGACCTGAAGAAGCAGAGAGGGATGATCACAAACTAAAAAATTTCTTTAATTTTCATTAAGAAAATGCAAATAGTAAGGAAATTTAGGCTAAATATGATGTTTTAACAGAGCTTATAATCTTTTACATAAAGTCAATAGTAGAAAGAAAGGAGAAATGCAGAATTAAAGGGGATGAAATGATATCTTCGCATATCAAATACTTGCATAATTAGATAGTTCAAATAATGAAAAAGAAAATACTAAAAGATGAATTAGTTAGAATCACAGAAGTAGTAGAAGAAGAATCAAAAGTTCAATAGAAATTACAAAAATTTTAAGTCAAATTGGATGAAAAAATTGGGTCATTTTTATTACATCTTTATTATGGGTCGATTACTGAATTTATTTTGAAATTTTAGGATCAAATTTAAAGTATGCCTGAAGAAATTAGGCCTTTTTTACATAACGATCAAAATCTTAGATAAATTGCTTAAACTATTGACAGATTCTTTTAAAAGGATGTTATGCTGCCAAATAAATATAATTAAAATTTAAATAAAATAATATCAAGCAGAATGCTTCCAAAAATAAATTTACTTGGCATTTAAGATGTAGCCCAAGATTTGCAAGGGTTTGTTTAATTCAGCGTGGAAAATTTAAATATGATTGAATTAATTTAAGAGTGTTTTGAAATTAAGGATAGGTATATGTAAGTCGAAATTTAAGATATTTTGTTTTTATAACATTTTTATTGTTCCTAAATTTTAAATAATGGATTGCAAGCAGTATCGAAATTTTTTGCAAGAGGTATGAAAGATCCAATTTATATCATCTTTAGGCATCTAGAGTTTAGGGAAATATAAGTGAATATGTTCAGCACTGAAATTTTAAAGAGAAAAATAAATTTAAAGCTAATGCCTACTCCTATTATGTAATTGATTCGAAAATCTAATGACATAGGATTGTACAAATGTGAAGATTGTTCAATTTTATTAACAACTGAGTATATCACTGCAGAAAAACTTAAATCCCTATAAAATTTATTTGCAAATGGTTGGAGTTGTGCTGCTGGTCACCATAATAATATTACTGTCTTAGATTGTGAATCTCCAGGATGCAGTAATTTCATAACAGACTAAGCATTAAAAACTATGAGAGTGCTTAGATATTATTATAGAGAAAAAGATGATAATATAGATATGCTAGTAGAAATTCTAAGTAGTATACCAACCATTCCAAAAGGAATTAATATGTATAACTTTTTAAGAGATTTATAAAAAACAAACTGGGTTAAAAGAAATTCTAGATTAACAACAAAAATTGAGCAATTTTTATCAAAAATTTTTCCAAGTGAATTAACAGATCCCTTTATAAGATCTGAAACAGAAGATGCAGAACTAGCTTTATAATAAGTGACTGAAGATTAGAAGTAAGCATGGACAATTTTAGCAGCATAGAAAAAATTATAAAGAGAAGAAGCATTGCATAAATAATATAAGATAGTTTATGAGAAAGCAGTAATTTAAATGAATGAAAGATCCTAACACAGAGCATTATAAATTACTTATAATGACCTAATCAGATAATTAGAATTAACAAGAAGTGAAATGAAATCAGATTTACATAAAGAGATTAAGACGATTAAATCATACTAGGATTTTATTTAATAAAACATTAAAGTTTATGCCGAAGGAGAAGTTTAGTAATAAGAAAGGGCTAAAGGTTAAGCTTATGGGTTTTATACATCAGCAAATATGTTTTAAGCTAAAGCTTTGGTCAAATTAACATTTTAAAACAGATAAATTCCAAAAATTTTGAAAAATGTGAAATTCTATTTTTTCGGATAATCTGATGGCGGATGGGATATCTAATTGGTGTATTTATAGGATTCATTATTGAATTTATTAGTAACTTGTATCGAAGCCATTTATCCAATTGAATTATCATTATACAAGATTAGCATACCAATTGATCAATATCTAGAATTAAGAAGAATGGCTAAATATAGAACTTAAATTACTTTCAAATCCAAAAATATAGAAATTACTTTTAATATAGTATAATTAATAAGTATTTTTAATTCGCTAGAAGCTAGATTAATAAAATGAATAAATATCAATAATTATCATATCATTAATTTTTTATTGTATTTCTTTTTTAATCTTTACAACGCCTTCTGATCCTCAAATTTATTATTTGTTAACACTAATTAAAACCCTTCAAATGTTTGGTTCAAGAATTTTTCAATTTACACAATAGAATTCTCATCAATACAATTTAAAGATAAATTTAACAATGATAACTTTTAATTTCTTATAATATACCAATTATTATCGAGTTGCTAAATTGATTCTAAAACTGGAACAACATCTTCAGTTCCTTTCTTTTTTACTTTCTTATTCCTTTCTATAACTAAATCCCTTTCTTTTTCTTTTATTCTATATTCATCATATTCTTCTTAAGTCATTAAAAATTTGCCAACATTTTGCAAAATCTCTGATAACTGCTCAAATGAGTTTATAGAATTCTTTGCTAATCCCAATTATTCTAAAAATGTGTTATCCTTAAGAGATGTTCCAATTAGATTTAATCCCTCTTTTGATAATTAATTATCATATAAATCTAACACTTTTAGATTCCTCATATTTTAGCACAATGTTTCGATAAAAGGTAACTCTAAATACCAAAAATTAAATACTTATTTAGCAAGATCTCAAATATAATTACTCTAATAAATAATTTGATTACAAGAGTTATGGTTAAATTAGTTACCAATCAATATACAATTTTTTAATTTTACATTCAGAATTACTTATTATTTGTGAAATAATTGAATATTCAGATTATCCTAAATCATTATTGCAAAATTTTAGAGCCTAAATTCCACCTTAATATAAACAAAATTCAAGTAATTTTAAGGTTATTATATCAACTTTCACCTAAATTAATCTCATAAAATACAGAATTGAAAAAAACAACCTAAGAAGTTTGATCATTTTCATATTCTTCTGGATTCTTGAACTTTTTGTTTTCATCAAAGTCATTGATATCCAAACTTTGAATAACTTTAACAAATGTTGGATGAAGATTGATTCCAATAGACTAACATAATATCTGCATATTGTCCTGAATGTTATTTTTCATCATTTAAGTTAGTTCTGGTTTGAAGTAGGTTAAAAATTGTGACACCTAATCCAGATTGTCTTGCTAGTATGTTTGATACTAATAGAAAGGAAAGTTGCTTTATGAAAAGATTGGTTCAAGTGGCCTTCTTTCTTCTTTTTTCGGTGGCATAAATTAATATATAAAATAAATAATGATTCAAATGGGAGTCTTCTATTAATGTACTAATTTAACAACTGGATTAATGTAGTACAATTAGAATCTTAAAGAAATAAATTCTTAACTGTAAAGTGAAACAAAAGGATTATAAGAAAGCGTAGCAACACTTCATTAAGCATTTGAAGAAACAGTTTTCAAAATTAATCAAATATAGAATTAAGTGTCTGAATTAGAGCAACAACTCTTCTCATAAAGATCGAAAACATTAATAGAATAAAAAAAAGGATAAGTCGCAAGCTATGTATCAGAAAGAGAGAAAACATTAAATGAACTCAGAAATTCATTATAATAGTTAATCTGATATAAATATTATTAATCAAATTTAAGTTAAATTTATGAATTAAATTAATTCTTCCATTTCTCTAAGAAATATCAGTCAATGGGATATTAAAATTATCCTTAAAAATGTATATTAAAGCAAATTTGCATAAAATTGAGATTTGAAATAATAAGTATTTTTGTTTTGGAATATAGCTTTTAACATATTCAAAAATGTAAGAATCCAAAAACTCTTATCTTAATTATCTTTCTTTTCTGAAGGAAGAAAGTATGATGTATGATCGGTAACAACTTTAACATTACTAAATTAATAATATTCTATTTAGTTGTAAATATTTCAATAATTCAAAATGAAAACTTAAAAAATACTGTTTATAGAGATAGAAGTGGATATTTATCATTTTAACTCTTTTATTCAGTAAAGTAAAAGCTTTATTTTTAATAAAATTGAAATTTTTCTAAAAATTAATAATTTATAAAT